TCTCTTATTTTCAAAATTAAATCTCTTTTTTGCATAACTGAATGTTCTGAAGATCTAAACGGCAATACAACTACTCCTCTCATTGTTATCTTTCTTGAAACAAGACTAGCCACTTCATTCTGAATTTGTGATGGCTGCTTTCTATGTTGCATTATATTTAAGGGTTCAATTACATCGAGTAAAGCTTGGCAACTATTGTAGGACTCAAAAGAATTGAGCAGTAAGTAGCTACAATTTCTGGACTGTCTAATCTGATCTAGTCTAGTAGCTAATTACTCCGTATTATAGCTAGTTATCATTTGAAGTGATCTTCCGGGAACCATCACACCGCCACAATCATAGATTAGGATAGTTGTGGAGATGCAGATGCTTCTCGCGGATCGGTTAATAAGATTGATCGAATTGCGCGGGAATGTATGATACAGCGCAACAGCACATGCAAGAGCAAAGCACTTTGCAGATAGCTAGCGAATCAATTACTAGGTCGGCTGTCTTTGTTTTCTCCCATTAGCCCATGATTATTCAACTAAGCTAATGTCAAGTAGTAACAAGTTCCAGAGCATTAGTTCAAAAGGAAATAAAAATTGTTACAGAGCACTTGTTCCATTGTCCATGTCTCCTCACCTAGATCTCACTACTTACTCAGGGGGGAATAACAAGAAATAAAAGGCAAACAGTAGAAGTTAAACTTGCCTTTCTTTATATACTTTTTCTTCTGAATAACACTAAACTAATTGCATGCAAAATTGAGACGGGGACACCTAAAGAGCTCAAGGAAACGATGCAATAGATTTGTATAGCTACTATTTATGCTGCAATTGTTCTTCTGAAACTTGGATCTTCACATGCATTTGAAAATCATAAAGTGAATGAATGAATGTATACTAATGTCGTGCTAGCTGTTCAGATATTTCAGAATATGTTTATTGTAAGAAAAGGTACGCAGCTGTGCTGGAAAAATCTTCTCTGCTATTTGATCTGGCCCCACCAATCCAAATAAACTAAAGCCGTAGTTCTGAATTTGTCACCAGAAAGTCATCAGCTCTTCATTACTCTACCAGCTCTCATATACCTGCAACAAAATAATACTTGGAGGTGATGCGGCCACAACTATAGCCACAATCTCAAATGGCTAAAATATTGCAATGTGGTGTTCTAAAAGTCCATATTGTCTTGCTTTGTGGTCCTTGACAGTGAAATTTTTAAATATTGCTAGTTAATTGGTCGTCGGATAGAATATGAGGTTAAATGGAAACTGATGCTTTATTATCTCTTCTACAAAGTAGAGTTGAAAATTCGAACAGCTCAAATGGTCCATGCTGCCAACTAATTCATTTCCATGCAGAGTTGATTAAACCTAAGGGCGATTTTTTAAAACTTTTTTGCTTTTCTTTGGGAGAAAAAAAATCATATGGACAAGCAACTAAGTTGGCACACCTTTTTCTTTTATCAAAACATGTTAGTTTAGTTGCCATTGTCATGTCAAAATATTCATATAGGAGTATAACTTATTGACAGTCTATGAACACCAACTGTATACATGCATATATTCCATATTTGCTCACTGTTTATTTTGTAGGTGTAGAAGTACCTGAACTAGACTTGGAGATGTGGTCCCACTAACTTGTAATAATAATAAATCTGTGAAGAATTATTTGGCCTGCTAATAAATCTGTCACAATTCAAATATTAGCTTTTGCCATTCTTGCTAAAATAAGATTTTGAGAAGGATAAAAAGAAATATTAGGTCACTGACAGGACTGCTTATATTTACTATGCCATATTCCCCTGAAAAATCCAAATGGTAGTAGGAGTATATGATTTCCGCTCCATGATGTCATTATCATGGTAACTATTACTACCTCCGTTTCAGGTTATAAGACTTTCTAGCATTATCCACATTCATATAGATGTTAATAAATATAGACATATCCGTAAATTGGAGTATATGAATGTGGACAATGCTAGAAAGTCTTATATAATATGAAACGGAGGTAAGTAGCACTAGTTTACATCAGGAGTCATTAACAAGACTTGTTCGTCTTCCTTCTTTTATAATTATCATTTGTCTTAGAACTGCTTTAAAAAGACTACTTGGTGGAAGATTGTCTAAAGGGATTGAATATTATAAGCACTTGATCGATTCCTCTGTTTACCTGTGCCGGTAGGATTGATTCACCAAACCCAATATTTTGTAATGAAGCTTCACTCATCCTATTTTTTAACTAACAACGTAATATATGACCAATCTGAGAGACTGCATGAACAAAAGAAATTAGAGCATGAGCTGTCCTCTTGCACATGGAGTTGCATTGACATTATCATTAGTTTAATTTAATTATTGAGCCAGCCTCTCCTTTGTCGATCAGTTCATCTTCGTTATAGCTTCCTGTTTCTTTTTACATATACACTAGCTAAATGATCATGTGTTTGGTACTACATTTTCTTTTTAAGAGAAGTTTGTATGTTTTGCACTGACAAGCGATCGTTTCTATATATGGATTATCATGGACAACCGTAAAATTCTACGAAATGTTGTCGCACATTTATTTGTCGTACCTTCCGCAATTGCCATCAGTTGACCTCCGTTTAACCTATGCAAAAAGCTCATTTTGTCCATATAAAACATCAACCTAGAGAGTTCTTCATGTATTCTAAGGGCAAAATATATTTTTTTTATAAAGTTAATGGAGCTCACCTAGCTACGATGTAAAAAAGATCAAAATTACATTTTGTACAAAGAGAACACGTAGAGTATAATATTATAGACCAATATTAACTATAAAATATATCCACGTGGTTTAAATCTGCTCGGATAGTTGTGCTCCTTGTGATGGAATTATTCACATCAAATTTAAGTACGAGTCCTAGGCTCTGTTTACATCCTACACTAAAACTTTACACCCTTCCACATCAAATATTTGGATACATATATGGAGTATTAAATATAGATAAAAAAACTAATTACACAGATTACGTGTAAATTGTGAGATGAATTTTTTAAGCCTAATTAGTCCATAATTTGATAATGTGGTGCTATAGTAAACATTTGCTAATGACGGATTAATTAGGCTTAATAAATTCGTCTCGCGGTTTACAGGCTAAATCTGTAATTTGTTTTGTTATTAGTCTACGTTTAATGCTTCAAATGTGTGCCGGCATATTCGATGTGACACGCCAAAACTTTACACCCCTGGATTTAAACGCCCCCCTAATTCTTTAGACATATGTTAGGGGACCCCTACGGTAGAAGTAAATCTAGGGTCTGTTTGGCATAGATTCAGCTTCAGCTCCATCTCTTCTGGTGCTGGAGTTCAACCAAACAGTTCTAATTGCACCTAAAATAGAAGCGAATTAAGCTGGGTGGAGCACTGTCAAAAAATAAACTAGAGCTGTGGAACAGGATTTAGGTTGCTCCACAACTCTACTTCAGACCCAAGTTCTTGAGCTAAATTTAAAAGTTGGAGCTCTAGCAAACAGACCCCTACTGTCATGAGTCGTGGGGGCTAAAGCAATGCAAACAACCAAACAACCATATGTGTATCCCATCGGCCAGGCCAAACTCAGCCTGGATGGAAGAGATGGGCCAGGCTGGGGGAATACGAGCAACCAAACACACCCTAAGAGTTCTCCTCCAATCTCTTTGTAGATCCGTCCTTGCTTAAATGGTTATTGCGAAGGCGATGAGTGGCTGCACCAAAAAATAGCAGGCAAATTTTGTCATAGGACACCCAAAATTTATGTAATTTGCTGATAGATATAGAAAAAACATGTCACGGTTGAAAAACATCCTAAAAACTAATAATTTGCTAGAGGACACTTTTGACTCAATTGGAGAGATAAATTCTTAAGAAAGATGAGAATATCCCTAGGACCACATACTTCAAACATGATGTTAGAGTAAAAATTTAGAAATTATGCAACTCTAAATTTTCCATCACTCTAAATACAGCACCAACAGACATCATATTCCACCTTCACTCCATCCTCAACTCAAAAGCTTTTGACCTAGGGGCATTCCTATCTTTTTCAAGAATTTCTCTCATCAATTGAGCCAAAAGTGTCCTTTAGCAAATTATCAATTTTTTAGAGTGCCTTTTAGCCATGACATGTTTTTACTTTTTACGATGTTTGTCAGTAAATTACACAACTTTTGAGTACCCTACAGCAAATTTTTGCCAAATTAGTACTCCCTCTAGTTTTAAAATTCTAGACATTTTGAATAATGTTGAGATCAAACTTTATAACTTTGACTGTTAATAACTTCAAAAATATTTAGTTTGAAGATACTATAATAATATATATAAATGTGTCTTACAATATGCTATAAAAATTATTTGTTGTATATATTATAATTAAAAATATAGTCAAAGATATATTTTAGAGACTGAGTTATTGTCCAAAATATCTAGAATATTATGAAACCGGAGGAGAGGGATTAGCAGTATAAGAAAAAAAAATAGAAACACAATTAGACTGTAATTTATGGTGGGAGCCACAAGAAACGTCAAATAATTTATTTTTACACTGTGTTTAGATATAGGGGTAAAAAATTTTGCCATGTCACATCAAATATACGGACACATATTTAAAGTATTAAACGTAGACTAATAACAAAATAAATTTCAGATTTCGCTTGTAAACTGTGAGACGAATTTATTAAGCCTAATTAATCAATTATTAGCAAATGTTTACTGTAGCACCATATTATCAGATCATGGAGCAATTAGGCTTAAAAGATTCGTCTCGCAATTTACACGCAATCTGTGTAATTTGTTTTTTTTATATTTAATATTTAATGCATGTGTCTAAATATTTGATGTGATAGGGCGGAAAATTTGGCAGTCATCTGTTTTCTTAATTGATAAATATACTGTTATTAGTAAAAAAAAATATGGTAGGCAGAGCCGCAGAGGAGGTGTCGATGAGAGGGCGACGCGTGTTAACGTTGAAAAATGCCCGTCTGCCGTCGTTGTTTAATGGCGCTATAAATAAAGGTAGTCAGAGACAAGCACCAATTCCCACGCCTTCCTTTCTTCCTCTTCCTCTCCCTCTTCCCTACCAAGCGAGACCACTCGGCCCCCACAAAATCCTCCGCTTCTTCTCCGAGACCGAGATGGCACTCGACTCTGTTCCATCCTACCCCAGCGATCTTGGATCCAGCAGGGCCAGGACGCCGCAGCAGCAAAGGGTCAGGTACATATCTATGGCTACCATTCTTTTCTCCTCCATCGATTTCTTGCTTGCAGCAAAGAGCCTCCCCATGTGTATGTGTAGTTCTTGATCTGTTTCTCTCCTTTCTTCAATTTGTGGTGGGTTCTGTGATGTGCCATTGATTCTGATATGGTAGCCCCAGGAAGGAGGAGCGGACATGGACGACCGACACCTACGCGCCGTACGACGACGGCCACCAGTGGAGGAAGTACGGCGAGAAGAAACTCTCCAATTCCAACTTCCCAAGGTACCTTCCGCCCTCCATTTCTTTTTTCTCACTTCATTTCCTTGCCCCAAAATTACTAGACTTCATGCATGCATCTATTTTTCTTTCCCTCAAAGGTCATATTTTTTACTGTCTTCCATGGTTAGAATCTGCAGAACGGTTAATTTCAGATTTTACTAGATTCACCAAAGCTAATTTTAAGGACAAGCAGAGTAGTTGCATTAGGTGAGTGAACTGTGGGTGGTGATCTGAAACCTTGGGGAATTTCAAGTTCCCCTTTGAATTTTGGCAGGAAAATTTTCTTCATGCCATCTTGGTTTCTTTCGTTTTGGCCTTTTCGGTAGTTCTGGTAGAACAGCTCCTACTCACCAATACCTTCCAGAATGGAAGTGTGTTAGTGTGGTCCAAACAGAGCTGTTAACAGGCTCCATATGTGTGCTTAATTAGTGTTTACATCTTGAGAGCGAATTTCAGTTGAAACCGGAGAACAAATCTAGCAGGGACTAGTTCTGCTCATGTAACTCAGTAACTGCGCTCTCATGTTCACATTTCTTAAATATTTATGGGTATAGCAGGAGTCTTATTTATGGGGCCAAACTATAGTCTTTGTTTGTGCAGATTGTGGTTTACTATAACCCAAATCATGTCGATGCCTAGTATTGTGTCCATTGTATATCAGCAGATGGTTTGGTCAACGCATTAATTTGGGTTCTTGAAATGAACATTCTTGTGTTCTGTGGACACAAATTAGGCTGCATGGTTGTCCGCTAGTCATCTCTTGGTAGAATTGCGAGGGGCACCTTTTCGGTAGTTTGGTAGAATAGCTCCTACTCACCAATTTCTTCCATAACCAAAGTGGGTTAGGGTGGTCCAACAAATCTGTTAACAGGCTCCAGATGCGTGCTTAGTGTTTACATCTTGAGCTAATTTCAGTTGAAACCGGAAAAGAAATCTAGCAAAGACTACATCTGTTCATGTAAATGAACTCACATGTTCACATTTCCTTAAATATTTATGGATATAGCAAAAGTCTCATTTTTGGGGCCAATCTCTAGTCTTTGTTTGATCAGCTGGTGGTTTACTATAACCCAGGTCATGTCGATGGCTAATACTGTGTCCAGTGTTTGTATATCAGCAGATGGTTTGGTCAATGCTTTAATTTGGGTTCTTGCAAAGAACACTCTTGTGTTCTGTGGACACAAATTAGGCTACATGGCTGTCTTCTAGTCATCTCTTGGTAGAATTGCAAGGGGCACGTGTCGAGCCTGTCGGCAGATGCCTTTAGTGAGCAAGATTAAAAACTAGTAAATTGACCATGGGAAAAGAACCTTCATAGCAGCAATCTCTTTGGCAATCGACAACTCAACAAGACATATAAAAATTTGAAAAGTGAGACCATATAAATAAAAAATATGCAAGTGGTTCTCTTTTATTGCCTGTCATCAGCGACTTGTTTGATATCTAATGTTTTCCTACCAGAATATATACTACTGGTGTTTTTCAAGCACATTTTGTTTGCAAATATTAGCGTGCATGCCGACAGTCTCCACAAACTCTTTTTTACTTCCTTGGAGTTTGATTGGCATGCAGCCTGAGGGAAGACCCTACATATCTTGTTTGCTCACAAGAGCTTGCTAATAGTTGCAGTCATTTCTTTTTGCAAAAGGTAATTTATGAAAGGTCTGAAAAGTATGTGTTGGCAACCACTCCGCCTAATTTAGGTAGAGTAAATGTTCGTGGAGAAAAGTGCAAAAGAGACATGATTTAAGAATACAAATGTTTTTCCTGTTGTCTTAAATTAAGGTTTGTTACACTGAATGACACTGCACATATATATGCAAACTGTAAAGTACCACGGTTCAAGAACTGGTAAAGAAGAATAACTCAAGTTGGTACCCTAAAGGTGAGATTGCGTGAAGATGAGTTGAAGAATGTGTTGTTCAACCTTTCAACTTGGAATATAGTAGGAATGCAGGATAGTGCTGGCTTTGGTGTCACCAAGAAATTCTGAAAAATATACCACGTAATTTTTGTAAGTAAACAGATCAACTAAGTTTTCTGATGGCATTCTGAAAAGTATGGTAATAACACATTGCCAAGCGGCAGATCGGAAGGTGATCCCAAAAGAGAGAAAAAAAAAGGGAAATTCCACTGTATGCTGGAATGGACAGTAGTTTCAGTGCAGTCACCATCATTCTAAATAAAGATAAGCTAAAACGGTGTATAACAGCAGCACACAGAATCAAAATTTCTGCTCTTGAAGGCAACTGCATTTGTACTCCCTAAATGCTACCTGGAAAAAAAACCAATCCCTTATCTGCAGTAATTTGCTCTTAGGATTTCCAGCAAGAAGGTATTGAGAATTTGAGATCATGGCTTTCTATTTGCAGGTTCTATTACAGATGCACCTACAAGAATGACATGAAGTGCCCTGCTACGAAGCAAGTCCAGCAGAAGGACACTAATGATCCACCATTGTTCTCAGTCACTTACTTCAACCACCACACCTGCAACAGCAGCCCAAAGATCGTAGGCAGCACTCCTGATTCTACTGTGCAGTCGAGGAAAGCCATTTCGATCTGCTTCAATTCACATGGCAAAACCGGTGAACTGCCCACATTCTTGTCACCATCAGCTTCATTGTTGTCGCCGAGCATGCAGCCGTACAGTTCCAACCAGCAACCTGACATGAACACCTACAGTCGCCAGTTTCATTGGGCAGACACATCGTCATCTACAAGCTATGCTCCGGTTAAGATGGAGGCGGACGATTATGCGGAAGCAAGTGCTTCGCCCAGTACAACCGGTGCTCTGTCGAGGACATTGCTGCCGATCGGTCAGTCAAGATGCATCGAGTATTTCCATTTCTTGTGATGATTTTGATGGAAAGTGAAGGAGATGCATATACATTCTGAGGAGCCTCTTGGATGGTGCCAGATAGGGTTTTATATTGGGAGGTGGGGATGTTGTGCTCATGAGATTCCATATACTAGTGGCATTATGTTGTTTTCTTCTTTGCATGTAGATTCAAGCCAGATTTTTTTGCTTGAATGATGTAAAGAACTGAATTGGCATTTCTCTATCTAGTAGGAAGGAGTACGTGATACAGAAAAAGGCTAATGTAGCAGAATCTGTTAAATAATACGGGGTACTAGTATAAAATTAAGGAAAAATCTGACAGTAAATTTGCCTGGCTGTTACTCTAATTTCTATTTGCAGATTATCGTTATTTCTTCGTAGTTCCTTAAAACTTGTGATTGATTTGTTCGAGAATTTAGTTTTACTTAAGATGCGTAGCGGAGTAGCCCCGATTTTTGGCCCACAGTCCAAAAATGAAGTCCAGTTAGTCGGCCCAAACAGTCCACGAAGTAGCCCAAGCAGAACATCAAGTGCATGCTTCTTGGTCTCGACCATTTCTGCATGCCTTCTTCATGGTGGTGTCCGAAGCAGATGGGAAAAGAAAAGGTATACCTGAGGTCTCTCATAGTGTGTGGTCGAGTTACAAAATTATCCTGTACCAAAAAACCAGATACATAGTATTTTTTAACTTATAAAATCGGGTCATTCTAAATCTTTAGATGGTTTTATCCCTGGTTTTGTTCGATGTGGCAGTTGACTTTAGCATGTAACCCATGTGAGCCCACATGTTAACAACTACTTCCTCTCTCTCTCTCTCCCTCTCTCTCTCCACCTCTCTTCCTCTCTCCTCTAGTCCTCCCCCATCTTCTTGACGATGACCAACGAGAAGAAGGGCCAGTGCGGTGGGCGTGGCTAGCGGTTGGTGGGGGAGGAGAGCAGCCAGTGACAGGCAGGGAGCACCGGAGGCTTTGTGGGCAGCATCGCCTTCCATGCCTTCAACGATGAGCTCTGCGACGCCTGCGAGCTCATCGGCCCCGTCCGTTCCCTCTGCCTTGCCGTCGACCCGGGCACCTCCTGCGCGGCCGTGAGCTCCATCTCAGCCTCGCCGACAGCCCCAGTAGTAGGCTCCGTAGCGGTGGTGGCCATTGTGAGCCCATCGGTATTGAGATCGCCGTCCATGCCATGTCCCTCGTCTTGTCTGGCCGCCCCCTCGAGTTCGCTACGAGGTACCTGGCGGCGCGGCCGAGATAGGAGTAGCAGGATATGGTGGTCGCGCTAGAGAGCCACGACACCGAGAGGATGGATAGGGCAGAGAGGATAGGCGACAATGGCGCGGTGCGCCGGCTTTTATAGCTGCAGCAAGGGAGGACGAGGAGTCGAGGATGGCGTCAGACCACGGGGCCTCTCGGCTTCCTCAGCGGGCCTCATACGCTCCTGTCGCTCCTCCTCCGCCGGTATACTTTGCTCCCCCCTTCCTCGAAGGACATATTAAGCAATGACCGACCTAAGCTTCATCATCTCCACGACTAGTCGATCTCGGTGACACTTCCACCGCTGAAGCCCAGCTCCTCTCCGTCGGTAGATGCTCTTCTCCCTGCTCGTCTTTGCTAGCAAGCGCTGCTGCTACCATTGAGGGCCACCGCCAACCGCCGCGCGCCTCCGGTTCTCGCTGCCTGTCACCGGCTGCGCTCCTTCCCCGACAGCCACTCTTCGTGCCCGTCGCGTTGGCCCTTCTCCCCGTTGTCCATCACCAAGGAGATGGGGAGGACTGGAGGAGAGAGGAAGAGAGGTGAAGAGACAGGAGGGGAAGTAGTCGCTGACATGTGGGGACCACATAGATCCCATGCTGATCTAGTTGTCACGTCAAAGAAACTAGGGACAAAACCACCTAAGGATCTAGAGTGACCCGGTTTTGTGAGTTGAGGGGAACCATATATTTTTTCGGTTCAAGGATGATTTTGTTACTCGCGACAAGATGAGGGACCTCAGGTATACTTTCTCCTATGAGAAATAGAAGAGCCCTTCCGTTGTCTGTTTTGGGCCGGACTTGCGGGACTTTGTGCATGTATTTTATGGGCTAGGTTTTTTGTTTCAGGAGTAGCCCAGAAAGGTCCAAAACCAAGTGATGGCCAACATCCTAGTAGTAACCACACCACATGAGGCCCATGTGGGCTTTTCTTTCTTTTTTTTAAGGAATAAGTTCACTTTTTAGATCCTCAGTTTGCTGCCAAGTCTGGAATTCGTCATGAACCGAAATACCAGGTATATCCCATCTCTCAACTCATAATACCGTGTTAACTTTGTTCCTCGATAGTATAGTGGCCAGTTTTGATTGATGTGGTGAGTGGGACCTAAGTGGGGCCCATATGTCAGTGGCCAACTTTTCTCACTCCTCCCCTTCTTCTCGCTCTCTTCCCCATTTCTCTAGGGCAGTGCGTGGCAAAGAGATGGGTGGCACACTAAGAGATGCTAGGAGATGAAGGCCCAATTTATATTAAGTTCAAGTCCACCTTGGAATTCAGGAGCAACCCGTACTAAAATCGTCGCTCATAACTCATTCAGACTTCGTTTTCAATGTTATACATATATATGGAAAGCTAACAAGATCACCTTTCCAATGGGCCTGGTCTCATGTCAAAATTCATTTTGATTCAATGAGAATTGTTGAAATAAGAGAGCGTCCATGATCTGTCTGATGTGCTACATCACCGTCTTTAGACCCGTTGGGCCGTGTATCTTGTTGAAGTCCATCAGGGACACATCCAGGGATCCTTGGTTTCCCTTAGAACCTATTAATTCGGTAATCGTCAATGAATTAGGGTTATGTTTTGCTTACATTATTCTGCAATTGCAGTTTTGCCGCTAGTTCAATTTGTAGATCCCCAATTTGTGAGATTCATCTTATATTCGCAATATATTCAGTTTGCATCTTCTACTCTCTTGCTTGTGTCCTCGATTCGCTCGTAGGAGATAGCCTTATCGGCGAGGTCAATCGTGTTTCAGCTCGATTGATAACCAACCAAGGAGTGATGCAGTGGTTGTGAGAGGTTTGATCGTCCTGATTGAAGCTTTATAATCATCAACGCCGAGTCTAGTTTCTCATGAAAACTCACCCAATTGAAGTTTCCGTTAGCCAAAAATCACTACATATTATATCGATCAAAACCACCGTGAAAAGTGGTTTATGATGTTATTTATCCTGTTGTGGAATTTAAGGGTGAAAAACAATCGATTTTATAAATCAAGTTGTAAAATAGACTCTAGACAAAGTTTGTTTGAAGGACTAAAAACGGAGTTTACCTAAATCCCAAGTCTTTGAAGTACGCAGTACTGTTACGAGTGGACTCACGCCCCCACAGCTGAGCCCACAAAAGATAGCTAGCTTCATGGTTCCTAATACAGTCATGTGCTGCAAAATACTCCTATAGATAAGATGTGAACGCACGCTGCAGCTAGCTAGTGCGCGTCCTAGCTTAGCTTTGGCCTGCATTCGCTATCCAGGAGCCGAACGCCAACTGAAAGCTAGTACTATACATATATATTTTTGTTGAAAGTAAGCCTTTACACTTGATTATACAAATGTGTACAGAGGACTGAAGAGCATTTCAGGAGATAAGCTCGATTGATCGAGCTGTGTTCGTCGTCCAAGGAAGGCTAACTGAATCTGCAGCAAAAGAAACAAAAAGACAAAGCCAGTCAGAGGAATTAAAGAGATAAAAAGAAATGAGAAGCGAGGGAGAAAGCAAATCTAAGGGACGATCATGCATGATATCCTATTTTTTTTACAAGTTGCCTGCAAATATGCGTGGTCAAGTTGTTGTACGTCCACCTGATTAATTAGCGTAAGCATGACCAACATCGATCTGATGTCACAGCTACATTCGATCGATATCTCTCTCACCATCGTTGCACTGTAGTACGTACGATTTATAGTCCAAGCTAGCTAGGTGAATGAATATATGAAATCGTCACTGCCATGACGAATTTTGGGTGACGTCGTTGGTGAAAGCGATTAATGAATACATGTATGTGTATTACTCTCTCCGTCCTAAAATATACCAATGCCTATATTTTAAAACGGAGTGAGTATATGGTTTCCCGTTTAATAGAGAACGGTTTCCCTTTTAATAAAGGTGTCCTATACACATAAACATACTATACTTACAATAGTATTGCATCGATATATAAAATTTTATTTTAAAATTCATTATATCTTAACGGTTCTAACAAATATATCCTTAAAAAATTGTCTGATTTTTTTATTTTTTATGTCTGAAATATAATGAATATTAAGGTTGAGACTTTACAAATATATATAATATTATTAGAAATATAGATTTTTTTTATGATATTGTTAGTTGGTGTATACGAATTGTGGATCGGAAACTCGTGTGCACAAGATATATTCTCTCTTTGAAATTATAGGAGAGACACGATGCACTGTCGTTGCACTTTTAGAATTGGCAACCACTAATCAAAGGATCTTATATATTTTAGATCGAGTCATACCTATATAATTACTATTATTACGAGTACTTTGTTAGTCTATGTGATACTTTTTTCTCACTCTTTTAATTCAACTGGTCTTCTTATTAAAGGAGTTGTGGATTTGTTTTAATTTTCAGCAACACAACTTTATTGGCTATCACCATTTCCCATATCTTAAAAAACTTATTAATTTTCTGCAGTAAAAGGTCTCTTGTAGTCTGACACTTGATGCTTTCAAAATCTCTAAAATTTCTTTGGAATGGGAAAATACAAGGAGATTTTAGCAAAAAAGTTAGCATAATGTCGAACAGCCTCTCAGAAAATTACCTTTTGAGTCGTCTCTCATCCAATTTCTACAATTTTTTTTCTATAGACTATATATCCAAATGGTTATTATGTATTTTTCCTATGTTTTTCAAGCATTTATTTTTACATACGTACTTCTATCAGAACCATGCATTTTTCATATTTATTCTCCATACGAGGGTTTATTGTGAAACATATGTATACATGGATATACTATACTACAGATGGGGTGCGTTGTATTAAAACACAACCCACCCCCACTCCCCCCCCCCCACATTTATTGTAGTACTGATAGTAAAATGATTACTGTATGAATATGCATTTACCCTGTAGTAATGTTGTTACTTCCCGCACATATTAGCCAGTTTCTTTACACCTGCTTTGTACGGTTATACCCCGAACTTTTAGGATCTGGGAACGGGCGGCCAAGGGAGCGGCGTCGGCGGGAGAACGGCGAAATCGGCCAGCGACAGGTGGAAAGGAGTCGCCGCCGCAGCCGCAGCAGGTCGGAGCCGAGGAGAGGTGGGCGGACAACAACGAGCGACGCCTCGAGGGTATCTTTCCTCTTCTTGTTCTTCTTGTTCCTCTTCTTTTCCAGCGTGGCCCCGACCGGAACCCCAAACGGGGGCGCATCTCGTTCTCCGTCCGCGTGTCCGCTGTGGCGGCGCCGACGGCAGGGTGTGATGCCACGGGGGATGGGGGATGGGGATGGAGGCGGCCGCCGTGCCGGAGGAGCTGCGGCGCAAACGCTCTGACGACAAGCAGTGGCGATGCTTTCCCATCTCCTGCAAACTCGTGTTCTCATTTACTCAGATCCTGTCTGGAAAGGAGGGCGGCGACGAGCAGCTGTAGCCCCTCACCCAGTTGTCGGCTCGTCACAGCCCCACACGGTGGCCGGGGAGAAAGAGGATTGTGGAGGCTGATGTCCAGGAGAGAGGGCTGCCTGCCTTCTGGATCCGAAGGCCCATCCTCTCCCCAGCCGATGACGCCATGCCGGCCTCCTCATTTGATTGATGCATCCTCATCATCAGCCAAAGCGGCTTGCACAAGGCAGCGAAGTTCAGATGGTATGCTTGGATTATCGTTAAGTTTCTGACAAACGCAACAATTTTGTGATGCTAATCTGTTTCTGCTGCCTGATGCTAGCTGGTTACGTCTGACAATATTGTCGATAAGCTTGCAGTTTCTGAAAATTTTCAATGTAGCAGAGCTATCAGTTGATTAGCCAGCAGTTTTCTGCAATTTTGAATTAGTTCAACAGAACATCACTAGATCAGTCAGCCACGCGATTAGCAGATATGGTACTAGTTTATGAAGTTTTGTAGTTCATTTGAGCATTGTTGATCGGGTAACAATTTTTCTGAAATTCCCTGGTTCAGTAGAGCAGCACAAATGAATTTCCTTTTATCCTTCACTGAATCAGTTAGCCATATGATTTTGATTTTGAGATATGAATATACAGGTTTGTGATCTTTTTCGATGTACTACATACTAATTACAAGGACGTTTCCATTCTTAATTTTCTTTCATTTCTTAATACTTTATATAATGTTGAGGCTCTTATTGCTATTCTTCTTGTATCTACGTATTTGCCCAACAGTGCTTCGATCGGGTCATGGTGTGCTCCACTTCGCAGTAACATATATGTGTTCCTGAGGTATGTGAAACAATAAACTGTTCCATAATTTTTTATACTAAAAAAATAACTTAGTTCTTGCATATGTGGTGTTACTGTCATATATCTTTAATGAGTGGAGAAAAAAATCAAGGTGAAAGACTGAAACAATGCCTATAATATTCCAAATTCACATTGCTTTGTATTCAGCTGTGCCTCATTATATTCTTCATGTATAGACCACTGTTATGTGAAATCTTGATGGATCTTGGACTTGATATCTGGATTAATCTTGTTATTTTCAAGTTTGTATATTTTCAATAGGTGCAGTGTGGGATACTGTAGTTGAGGCACGGGTTGATGGCATGTTGATGAGCCAATCCTGCTGCTCCAATTGACAGCTTCAAGGGGTACATCAAGAAGAGGATTTTTATTAAAATGTGCTAATTTTTTGATGTTATGAAAGTGACTAACAGTGATCTCTACATGCTAGGCACTTTCTATTTTATTGGCTTATAATCTGTGTCATTTAGAGTCATACTGAATGTAAATCGAGACTTCTCGTTGAAACCACCTATTGGAGACACTGGCAAGGATACACGAGCAGGGCCATAAAGATTATTATGCGGCATGGCACAGGACTAGCAGCAGCGTCGGCAGGGAGGTGACTGAGTCTGGTGCCGGCCATATCCATCATTGTTGGTGGTGTTGTAATTTTTTATTTGTTTTTGTGCATTCTACAAATGTATCACATTGCGTGTGTGATCAGACAGCCGTTGTAATTCTAAATCCGTTCAAACATTTGCCGGATGTGCATAAATGTTTTACTCCTGTAGTCTAAGAGTAATTTATTTACTCAAGGAAGGTGGATGAAGAAAAGCACAAAGTAATTTATTTACTGAGAGAAGACTGGACTAATATATATTGATATATCAAAAGTTTTTACTTCTAACTTGAGTGTAGTTTATTTACTGATAGAACATTGGAGCAAAATTTTAATGTAAGGAGTAATCTAACAGAAGGGCTAAGAACTACCTGTGATAAGGGGTGAGAATCTATTTACTAAGTAATAAATTTACTAAGATAAGGAGTGAAAACTACCTGTGAGTAATCCATTTATACTAACACAATGAAACAACTGAGAGTAAAACATTTACTGAGAAAATGACGTGGGAAGAAAAATCAGGTGTGAGATAAGGGTTGAGAACTACCCAGGAGTAACACATTTACTGAAAGATGAAAGAAGAAATAAACTGAGAGTAAATCATTTACTAATAGATGGATGTGTGAGTAATACATTTAATGAAAGAACAAATTAATTGTGAGTAAATCTTTTACTGAGAAAAGGACGTGGGAAGAGAAAAGGTGCGAAATGGAGGGGAGGGAAAGATGCGGGACAGAGAAAATGTGCGAATGGGAGGGGTGGTAAAGGTGCGGGTTGATGGGTAGAGGGGGGGTGGGGTGGGGGTAGGGGGGAGGGTGGGTGGGGTTTGTGAGAGTAGTTTAATTATAATACACCCTGGATGCGGTTTAGCGCATCCCTATATGTACATATATGTATATGTATATGTATATATGTACATATATGTATATGTATATATATCTATACATACATACACACACACACACACACACACACACACACACACACACACACACACACACACACACACACACACACACACATATATATATATATATATATATATATATATATATATATATGTATATATACATACACATACATATATACACATACATATATACACATACATATACATACATATATACACATACATATATACACATACATATACATATATATATATATATATATACACATATATATATATATATATACACATATATATATATATATATATATATATATATGTATACATATATAACTCGATCTACTACCGATCGATATACTACTAACAAGCAGAGGTGGAGACATGAGCCCTAGGCTTGTCTTCTTAATCCCTTGTAAATACTTTCGAAAATTCCTGAGAAGTTTGAAGATTCAACGAATTGTATTGGCTAATTAAGCCCTAGTTTTTATTGGTTGAGCTCTAGTCTTAATTTGTAAATTCTTGGCAACGCAACGCCAGCTGGCCTACCAATGAAATATAAAAGATCACAAGCAATTAGCGATGCAGTAATTACACCAGACTACCAAAGTCAAAAGCTTATGGCTGTCTAAACCGAAAGATGCGTGCTATATGGATTTAAAAATTTAAAGCCCTTTCCTTTTGGTCGGCTCACCACCGATCAGAATAAATTTTGGTCTTGGGATTATCTATTCTCATGTATGTTCCTTTAATTCTTATATCTCCCCAGCTCTATACTTCTATAACTCTTAATATTTTGAATAATAAAATGGTCTTTAAAAGCAAATATAATAATAGGCTACAAATCAACTATAAGGGAAGTCCCAAACCATAACACTAGACATAGTTTTCATAAACTCCACATCATCAAGAAACTAGTACTAGACACTACTCTTCCAATGCAAACACCATTATTCCATACTTCAATTTAATGTTACTTATCTCACATGATATATTGGATGTTCTGTAGAAACCATGTCTCATGCAAGACATAATTTCCTTCTCTTTCCTCATTTATTCACTTGCCACCTCATTTTTTATCATAGGTGGCAACTTATTTAATGCTATGGACACCATCCTAGTCATTGGGTTGGGAATGCCCTAAGCACACCCGGAAGTGATAAGGGAAGAGAGAGAAGGAAAGCGGGCTACATATTTACGTAGCCAGCCGTAGCACGGACTTGAAAAACATTTTGTGTGTATGAGATGTGGGACCATATATTAATGGTATAGTATATATTTATAGGTAACTATTGTATTAATGAGCTATTAAATTGACTATAGATGATTTTGAGCTAGTAGTTGGCTACACTATTAAACTTGCTGTAAAACATATTGTATCTATCCTATAATAATTCTATTTCTAGGACTTGAATGTATAGAGATGCACTTGTGGCTAGGATGCGTGGTTTCAACCCCGAGGTTCGGTGTTCAATCCACAGCACACAAATTCTTCTTAATTGTCACAACAGAGTATTAATGGTCCCATTAATCAGTTTTCATTCAAATTTCTCCCTATTTTACCCTCAACTATTCTTCCACTTTTACCTATACATCATTTAATAAGGGGCATAACATCATTTCTTCTCAAACCTTAATATGTACTAACCAACCTAGAATTACAAGGGCATAATATTATTTCTTCTTAGATCTTAATACTATCTCCGTCTCATATTACTTGTCGCTTTGACCTTTTGCTTTCAACGTTTGACCATTAGTTTTATTTGAAAAATTAGTGCGAATATAAAAAATGATAAGTCATATTTAAAGTATTTTTGATAATAAAACATATCGCAAACAAAATAAATAATAATTTTAAAAATTTTCGAATAAGACGGATGATCAAACATTACATAAAAAACTCAAAGCGACAAGTAATATGGGATGGAGGTATTATGTACTCTCTCCGTTTTAAAATGTTTGACACCGTTGACTTTTTAGCACATGTTTGACCGTTTGTCTTATTAAAAAAAATTTGTGAAATATGTAAAACTATATGTGCACACGAAAGTATATTTAACAATGAATCAAATGATATGAAAAGAATAAATAATTAAGTTAAACACGTACTAAAAAGTCAATGGTGTCAAAATTTTGAAACGGAGGGAGTACTAAGCAACCTAGAATTACAATTTTTTGGGACGGATGTAGTATCTTTTACAATAATTTTCTATTATAACATACACAATAAATAAAAAAGTTTTTACTTTTATTGTAGTATTTTTAAGACTAATCTATATATGTTTTTATAACTTCTTCAAACTAAATTTTTTCCGATAGTGAAAATTCTAGAAGTTTAACCTTAACCTTATGAAAACATTAAACTATAGGAGTACATTTCTTTAATTTGGTTTAATTCTCATGTGCGTTCCTTTAATTTGGTTTCAAAAATTCTCATGTACGTTACTTTAATTCTCACGTAAGTTCCTTTAATTTGGTTTCAAAAATTATATATTGTTGCTTGCTCATCAATCATGCATAGATATATAGGAGTACTTTATATGGATATGTATGTAACACGGAAACGTGACACAAAAAGCTGCTTTCAATCGTGCTTATATATACTGCTATATATGGGCAAGTTATTTAAGTACTCGATACTAGTTGCAGCCCTCAATCAGTTGGATCTTACGCGAGCGTACTAATCTTAGGCAGTTAGTAACTTAGGCTCTGTTTAGATCCTCTAAAATGTTAAAAGTTTTGCTATTTTGTAGCACCTTTTGTCATTTGGATCTAAATACTAGTAGTAAAAGTTGGCAATTTGACATTTGGCATTTGCTAGTCCATAGTAGCAAATTATACCAAAAAGTGCTTTGGGACTACTCCCTCTCTCTTTCTCTCTCTCACTTTAGTGCTAGAATGGCAAAACTTTAACATACATCTAAACACCAAATAATACTTTTGCAATGCCAAAATTTTTACCACCAAAACTTTTGCTATTTACCATTTGCCATTCAAAATAGATCTAAACAGGCCCTTAATCATCTTTTAGCTTCATTGGAATGTTCCGGTCGATGGCAAAGATCGATACAATACATTATATATTTGATCTCAATGTTTATCTGTGCTAATTGCAACACACGCACGCGCAGTCGATCGGAGTGTCTTTTTCTGATTTATATAATTGCAGATGCGCGTTGAGGAAAGATGACGACCTCAGTTAAACTGCAGATCGATCTATGAGTTTTAATTACGACATATATATAATGAATTGCGATGAACGCCGTTGCTTGTTTTCACAATTTCACATGTATATATATATATCAATTTATGGAAGCGTTTTCCAGCGCCGGGGTTTGAAATTCAGAAGTTAATTCTGAACCGTAATTTGGCTGATTGCATGGACGCGTGTGTACTTCCGTTCTCCATCTGCAGCAACATATATTCTGACTCTGTCCGATCGAATCGAGTCCAGATGGAACCTCTGAACATGCAGATTAATTTGCAGTTGCAGGGTCACCAATTCTCTCTGCATGCGTGCAGGGTGAACCTGTTGGTCAATAACTACTTATTCCAACCATCAAGTTGGAAGAAGTAGAGGGAAATTAAGCTTTTATTTATTGTTCATCAGAAATTCAGATGATGCAATATGAAATGAGATATGATGCACGCAAGCCATGGATTGGTGAGGCAGGCCAAGTGGAGAGACTAATACTGAGATAGCACACATACATGTGTTACACGAGTGCTTGTGCTGGTAGCAGATAGCATCCATCGATCGTACATCAGGTACGTCGTCGGTCTCGTCAACGTTGACGACGAAAGCAACGTCTTCTCATCCAAGCAAACCTAGCTAGCTGTTCTGCTGTTGTGTGGTAAGTATTTTCAGTTTCACAGCTAACAGCTGATCAATTCCAAGCATCTTCTCTTCTTCTTCTTCTTCTTTCCGAGAGAGAGATCGAGCTAGCCCACAGCATAGTACTCCGATCGAACGTGGGAGAGCTCACCTACTGATCAAAACTACGAAAGGCCGGTCTCAGGCCATCCATATATAAAGGATCACACACCACAATTAAGCTCTGCAGGCTTAGCTAGCTGATCCAATCAACTAAGGATTGGATTAACTAGCTATACACACAATTGCATATACTAGCTAGCTAGCTAGTACATGGCAGTTACTGAATCAGTTTGTTTGAGTGATGAACAACAAGCAGTGGCAGTGAGGGAGGTGGCGCAGGTGTACGAGCTGATCAAGACGCAGCAGCCTCTCCTCCTTGTACACCAGCAGCCGCAGCAGCTGGCGCATGGCCTCCTCAACCACGCCATGCGAGCCCTCAACGTCGCCCTCTCCGTCATGAACCAACCACATGCTTCTTCTTCTTCTTCTGCTGCTGCTGCTGCTGGTGGTCATCATTTTCCGGTGATGACAATGATCAAAGCAGAGTCTACTCCGGCGAACAGCCCTGCTGCAGATGTTTCAGACAACCACGTCGCTGGAAAGGCAAGAAGATCATCACCCGCCAAAAGAAGAAGGTATCAATTCTCAATCAACCTATCCATCGAGTTCATAATTATATCTGATTCTTTCTCTGCCTTTTGTGCATATATATGAAGTTTGTTGCAAAATCAGATGGTTGATTTTCTAGCTCTCTGCCTAATTATTGTTGTTACTATGCATATGCTTTTTGTAGGATTAACTGTGAGGACAAGTCATCGTGGGTTTACCACACAGTCGTCCCTCATGAAGATGGCTACCAATGGAGGAAATATGGAGAGAAGAAGATCCAGGGCACTCACTTCACAAGGTTCATATCTATAATTATATACCTATTAATTTTTTTTATAATGAATTATGTCCAGATGGCGATTCATTTCAGGTTGTTAATTACATGCAAAAATATGTGTGTACATGTGGCAGGAGCTACTTCAGGTGTACGTACAGAGATGACAGGGGTTGCCAGGCCACCAAGCAAATCCAACAAGAGGATAAGAACGACCCACCCATGTTCCAAGTGACATACAGCAACGAACACACCTGCACCACCACTAGGCTTATTAACAACACCAATAATAATCCTGCAGCCTTGCACAGCTTGACGGCTAATCCAAATGGTCACCCTGACGATGATTCAGATGATACAATCCTCACCAAGATGATCAAGCAAGAACAACAAGCTGCTTGGCTGCCTTCTCCTCCTCCTGATCTAACAACCATTTCTAACAATTTTGATGAAACGCCAGGATTACATGTGAGCCAAGAGGTGCCTCCTTGTTCATCCAATTCCTCTGCAATATCTCACTACGCTGATGAATTCGATCATCATCAGATGGGGCAGCAGCTGGAGACAACGGTGATGGAGGAAGCATTAGGGCTAGGAGCAGATCTGGATGATCCTTATTTCTACGATCCAAACCTTCTCCTCATCTATGAGAACCTCATGAACTGCTACTAGCTAATTATGGCTGATTAGCACAATTTTCAGAGAAGATACAAATTACTGCTCTTTGATGAGTGAACCTTTAAGCATTTGAGAGCTAGCTTAGTTCGTAGAGTTCAATATTCCTGGACATACATATCAGGACAAATTAGATTTTGTTGCACATTTGTACTTGTACTTCTTCTACTGAACCATCACAGGAAAAACCAAAAAGCAATATTGTCGTTGGAAAGAAAAAAAAACTCTTTTAGTATAGTCCATTTTCTAGCCAAAATGTCCTCTTGTACTGTTGGTCGCAGGCTGGATTGTTGGAAAGAAGTGATTTCTTTCGAAGCGTCGAGCAGTCCCTTAATCTCTCTCTTAATATGAGTAAACATATGCAGCTTAAAAAAAATTTTCCGATGAAAAGCTGTCATACGACTATAAGATCCTCTGATGGTGTAAAAGTGGGACGGCCTTCTTCTCTCTTACCTATTATAAATTGTCATATACACTTTCAGCCTCATCGGTTGGCCTAATAAGCTAAAGCAAAAAACTAAAATTTAAATTTTTCAATGAAGTTAATTTTAATATATTTTCAACGTAATTTCTTTTTAGCCTTGGTTTTTAAGTCGCTACGAATAAATATGTAATAGTTTTACCTATAAATTAATTTTTATTCTCTTATAAACCGTTTTGACTTATTAGGGAATATGGGCAACCAATGAGACCGTTTTCAAATTGAATGATTTTTCTAACAAAATATATATATATAAGTTTATTTGATATTTTTAACACAACTTTTTAATAATTAACTTGTTCATTTGTACTCTCGAATATTATTACAAAATCAAATATCCATTTAGGATAAAATGGACCGGGCCTCAATTGGATAGATGAGATCAACTTCTACAGTAACGGGTGAACGATAAATTCACACAGTCATGTTTTATTTTTTCTTTATTGTAACGACTACAAATCATTGTAGCGTCAAATATATTTCACCTTGCGCCTCAGTCAGCTTTCATCACCACAGCACTACTACTTGCATGACTCAATCAGTTTTTCTAGTTCATAGGTCAGTAAATCATTTGCTATGAGAATTCCTTTTGAATTCCTGTAAAGGTCTAATCTTATGCTATTTTTAAGAATAAATGGAGTTTTAATTACATTTAGAAGTTAGTGAAACTCTTACTAGATTTCTTAAAAATGTGCTCTATTGTGAAGAAGTCTCTATCTAGAATTCTCGCGTGGGAAGATAATGATTTTCAGCAAAAATAGAGCTGCTCAAAACTTGCAGAGAAGAGAAGAACGCTCAAAAAAAAAAAAAAACACATGGAGCCATGGACACGTTGCTCATGCTGCTTAACTGAATCAGGTTCCCTTCCCTCTGCTTGCTTCACGAACTCGCGGAAATCCCGTCCCCTCCCAAAATCTCACCAACGAGTCCACCCCAAATCCATCCACGAATCTCTTCCTCACTCCAACTGCCTCCCTCCGCCGTCAAAATCCAATCTTTCCTCTCACCTCCGCCGCTTTCGGCACGCCCCTTCAACCCCAAGATCGATACTCTCTCCACCAATCCGATCCAATCCGCAGCTGGGTTCCACGAATTGCAAAGGTCTAGGCGCGGATTGGAGCATGGGGCTCCGATCCCCCAACTCGATGCTGTGGCTAGTACTACTGGTGTGGGCGGCGCTGCTGTGCGGTAGCTGCCATGGGAGGTTCGTGGTGGAGAAGAACAGCCTCAAGGTGACGTCGCCCAGCGACATGAAGGGCACCTACGAGTGCGCCATTGGCAACTTCGGCGTGCCCCAGTACGGCGGCACCATGGTCGGCGTCGTCGCCTACCCCAAGGCCAACAAGAAGGCCTGCAAGAGCTTCGACGATTTTGACATCTCCTACAAGGCCAAACCGGGCTCACTCCCCACCTTCCTCCTCGTCGATAGGGGAGGTCAGCACCAAACTACTTAACGCCATGCATGTATGTGGGAGTATGTGAGCGTGTACGCCTAGAATAGATTTGTTGAGGTTGAGGCCGTTGAAGCATTGACCACAAGTGGGGAATAATTATTCGTTGATTATTATTTTGGTATTTAGTTAGGTGCGTTCAAAATTAGATATTGCTTTGTGATGATGTGATTATGTTGAATGATCCTTGACCCAGTTTGGTACGATGACCAAATCTATGATTGATCTGTGGAGGGAACCTAATCTGAAACATTACTGTCAGGTCGTCCTGCGGTTTGTAGTTTCTGCTTTCTGGGTCATTGTCTTGCTGTTTCACCTTCCTATTTTGTTGCGTTGATTTTTCTTTCAACCCTGTTACTATTATGTAACATTTCTATTTGTCTTCTCTCTAATGTCTCATTCTTACTTGATTACCTAAATATAAAGTTTGTTATGTGACATGGTCTCTGTTGTATACAGATTGCTTTTTCACAAAGAAGGCATGGAATGCACAAAACGCAGGAGCAGCAGCCATCCTTGTTGCTGATGACAAGACTGAACCCCTGATTACAATGGACACGCCTGAAGAGAGTGGAAATACAGACTATTTAGAGAATATCACCATTCCTTCTGCGCTGATAACCAAGAGCTTTGGGGACAAGCTCAAGAAAGCAATTGATAATGGTGACATGGTTAATGTGAATTTGGATTGGAGGGAGTCCCTGCCTCACCCTGATGAGCGTGTTGAGTACGAATTTTGGACTAACAGTAATGATGAGTGTGGCCCTAAATGTGATAGCCAGATTGATTTTGTCAAGAGCTTCAAAGGAGCAGCACAGGTACTTGAGAAGAAGGGATACACACAGTTCACTCCTCATTACATTACCTGGTATTGCCCAGATTCCTTCATTCTAAGCAAGCAGTGCAAGTCCCAGTGTATCAACCATGGGAGATATTGTGCACCTGACCCGGAACAGGATTTCAGCAAAGGGTATGATGGGAAAGATGTGGTAGTCCAGAATTTACGTCAAGTCTGTGTTTATAAAGTTGCTAAGGAGCATGGAAAACCTTGGCTGTGGTGGGACTACGTGACAGATTTTGCAATCCGGTGCCCAATGAAGGAAAAGAAGTACACCAAGGAATGCGCTGATGGAGTTATCAAGTCACTTGGTATGTTGCTGTTTTCTTATGCCTTTCTTTCTATGCTTTGTGGTGAGGTGCAGCAATTGTACTGAGTATGTTTAAAATGCCCAGGTCTTGATCACAAAGCCATAGATAAGTGCATTGCTGATCCAGATGCTGATAAAGAAAATCCTGTGCTGAAAGCTGAACAGGATGCACAGGTTAGTACATACATGCTATAATTTTCTATTCATACAACTGGTAATCTGAATTTAACACCACCCACCATTTTATATAGATTGGCAAGGGCTCTCGTGGTGATGTTACCATCTTACCGACTCTTGTAATCAACAATAGACAATACAGAGGTTTGTGCTCTGCTATCCATCATAACTACAAGAAGTAGAATGCAATTTTGAGGTTCCTGGTGTGCTTATCCAAATCTTTGTTTGTCAGGGAAACTTGATAAAGGAGCGGTTCTTAAGGCAATTTGTGCTGGTTTTCGAGAAACCACTGAACCAGCTGTTTGCTTGAGTGAAGGTTGGTGCATTAATTTCAATAGATTTTTATCTGTTTGCTCATTCATGATAAAAATTTATACAGCAAGCTTAACTTGCTTGGGCCTTGCTTTTAGTATTTGTTCATTCATGATTCATGTTACTTCGAACTGTAGATATACAAACAAATGAGTGCTTGGAGAACAATGGTGGCTGTTGGCAAGACAAGGCTGCTAACATCTCTGCATGCAAGGTATTTCTTATGGTGTTATCTTCTTCAGAAACTTTTCCATCTGGCTATGCATATCATACTTGGCTGTGTACGTGTAGGACACTTTTCGTGGAAGAGTTTGTGAATGTCCAGTTGTGAAAGGTGTTAAATTTGTTGGTGATGGCTACACTCACTGTGAAGGTATGCTACCAGACATTAGGGCATAAGTTATCAGTTGGGATATTTGTTGTCTGCATGTGTAGTTAAGATTTAAAAGCATACTTATGTAGATTAATAAGAAAGTATCATTTTTGTGGCAAGCAATTTTCGTCTTCTTGAATTGTTATCAATACTTTATCTGGGGTCCATTGATTTTACAAATCCCTTCAGTTTTATTTATGGTGAAGGGTAGTTATAGTTAATATTGATAACTAAATAGGAGATATGATAGTGACGTTTTTTATTTTACTTGATCTTGAAGAACTGCTGTTTGTCCTGTTCAATGCCCAATCTAATATGTTGTACATTTTGCAATAGCTACCTATGGTGGTAGCTTATCCACTGTTCCACATACAACCTGAAGAAAATGATTTGCATGAAATTTACTATAAATCCATAAATTTGATCTCCCTTCAATGATCAGCACATTCTAATATGTGCCCTCATTGTTTTAGCTTCGGGATCTGGCCATTGTGAAATTAACAATGGAGGGTGCTGGAAGGATTCCAGGCATGGCCGGACATATTCTGCCTGCACGGTAAGCCATCAGTTGGGGTATTTGTTGTCTGCATGTGTAGTTACAATTCAAAAGCATATTTATGCTGTTTTTAATGTACAGAATGATGGTTGTAAATGTCCGGATGGGTTCAAAGGTGATGGAGTCCACAAATGCGAAGGTAAGAATCGATTTGTGAACCCTGTTCAGCTGTTGGATGTACTTGCCATCCTGCAAAGCTTGTAGTTTTAGTGAAATATCACTTGCAATACACCCTTGTTGTGCACTTGACCCCTTGTACTGATGTGAAATATTTTATGAAAGATATTGATGAATGCAAGGAAAGGACTGCATGCCAGTGCAAGGAATGTAAATGCAAGAACACATGGGGAAGCTATGAGTGCGGTTGCAGTGGCGGCTTGCTTTATATGAAGGAGCATGATACATGCATAAGTATGTCCCTCCCAGCTTCTCATGCATGTTGCTCTTTCTTCATATCAAACAGTCCACTAGTTGTGCATTCATATACTTTTGCGGTCTGTCTGATCTATTTGACGGACCCACATAAATCATGATCTGCATTCTGCAACCATTGAAAGTGTAGAATGTCAGTGTATAGATTATAGAAGAAATTTTACTTAAGTGAGTAGACTAATTTGTCTTTGTCTATATTCAGGCAAAAATGCAGCAACAGAGGTAGGATGGAACTTCTTGTGGGTGATCTTCTTTGGCCTAGTGGTAGCCGGCATTGCAGGATACGCAGTATACAAGTACAGGATCCGGGTATGATATGGCAAACTTTGTTCAGGTTAACTCTGTTGATAACTCTGAATTGGCATCTAAATTCTCGCTTTTCTTTTGCATTGGTTGTGCCCGTGTACAGAGGTACATGGATTCAGAGATCCGCGCCATCATGGCCCAGTACATGCCCCTGGACAACCAAGGAGATGTTCCCAATCATTCTCACCATATCGAGCTATGAAAAGAGTGAGGATAGCATGCAACTTCCCCCCATGTTGCCCAAATGGGATGAGAAGAGGTGAACAACTCCTGGAGATCATGACACAGCCTGACGATATGTGTAGTAGTATCACTCTGACGATCTTATGTTTAGCAAATTTAGCCCATGTAAATTTCTGGATTATCCTGTGGCCGCATAATTTCAATCGTACCTGGCTGCTTTGCTCCCATATAGCGCTGGGGAAATATGGAGATTGCAAAATTAGGCAAGTTTGTGATCTCGAGGAAGAACACTAGTATGGCATTTCCCACCAAAAAAGACTAGTTTGGAAAGCATGAATTTTGTATAGAATTTTCGTGTGAATCAGTTTTGCTTGGTTCTTGCGGAAAAAGAAAAATCAGGCATTCCATACATGTTGGTGGAAAAGGATGCCCTTCACAAGCATAAACTGGTTGCGCGATCGATTATTCACAAGCATCCGTCGTCGTCGTCGTCGTGCTCTCGCGCCATTGGCGCCAACCGCGATCGCAATGCCAAGCTGCTTCACCCTCGACTCCGCCTCCGATGATGGAAGAAGCACTGCCCAGGGCCAGGGATGGTGCGCCGGAGTCGGTGGCTTCCTGTCCAGCTTCTTCTCCGCCGGCGCGGCGCGCGCGGACGGAGGGAAGCCGTCGCCGGACTGGGACGCGCACGGGCTCGCGGCCAGCGCGCTGCCGGTGCCGCTCTCCAGGCTGGACGGCAAGAAGAGGTACAAGGTCTCGGAGCTCACCTTCCTCGACCGCCGCACCCGCGCCGCCGCGGAGGACCCCCTCTTCGACGCGCTGCGCCCCGGCGGCGTCTACACCAGGGCGCAGCTGCGCGACGAGCTCGACGCGCTCGCCGCCTCCGGCATGTTCGACCACGTCACCTTCCAAACCAAGCCCAAGCCGGACGGCACACTCGGGCCTCACCGTCTCCTACGCCGAGACCCAGTGGCCCGCGGTCGAACACCTCAAGTGCATCAACGTGGGCGGCCTCATGGCGCGGCCGGACGGCGATGAGCTCGAGCCCGACGACGACATGACGGCGAGGGAGAGGATGGAACACCTCCGGAGGCAGGAGCGGGAGTACCGGCAGCTCGTCCGCCGCGCCAAGCCGTGCGTACTGCCGGAGAAGTTGCAGAGGGAGCTGCAAGGGATGGTGAAGAAGCAGAGGAAGGTGAGCTCCGGGTTGCTCAAGAGGATGGCGGGGCGCATCGAGAGGTGGTACCACGACGAGGGGTTCCAGTGCGCGCAGGTGGTCGGCTACAACGGCAACCTCGACGCCGGCGAGGTGGTGTGCGAGGTGGTGGAGGGGGACATCACCAAAGTGGAGTACCAGTTCGTGGAGGCAATGTCGTCAACGGCAACACCAGCATCTCTGTCATTGATAGGGAGCTTCCTCAACAGGTTTGCATACAAATAATTTTGCTAGTATCGATCACTGTCGAGCTCAATGTCTAAAAGAATGTTAAGATTTTTAATAGCAGATGGCTATGATTTTGTTGTTTAATTTTGCGACGAATTTCTTAGCCGATTTCGCCGATAATTATACCGGTTGAGCCAAGTGACTGTTTTGCAATAAAATGTCTCTTGATCAAAGTTTTGTTATTGTTGCCAGTATCACTGTCAAGCTCCATGTCTAACAAGAAAAACTAACATTTTTAATAGCAGATGGCTATGATTTTGTTGTTTGATTTTGCAACGAATTTCTTGGCTTTGCATATATTTGATTATGATTCTCTGATAACTGTACCAGTTGTGCCAATGTGACTGTTGTGCAATAAAATGACTGTTGATATCTTGCAGCTTCGTCCTGGGCATATCTACAACAATGGGGCAGGGAAGCAGGCTCTGAAGAATATCGATTCGCTTGGTTTGTTCTCCACTGTAGAAGTAGAGCCTCGCCCTGATGAGACAAATCAAGGGGGAGTAATAGTTGCAATTAAGCTCAAGGAACATGACCCAAAATCAGCTCAGGTGATCACAGATTGGAGCATTGTGTCTGGCTCTCAAGGAACACCAACTCTGGTAACGTGCCACTGGTTTTCAACCTTTTGTTCTTCCAGATCGAATGTGTACTTAAAATGCTAGACAGCATTGCGAATATATAAATTCCCTCATCACTGCAAGTCATTTTGTATAACCTCACAACTCATGTCACAACTTCCTCTTAGGCGTCCATTCAACCAGGAGGAACCGTGTCATTTGAGCACCACAACATCTGTGGTCTAAAAAGGTCTCTCATTGGTTCTGTTACAACCAGCAACTTGCTCAACCCTGAGGTGAGTTGGTAGTTAGTTTTTTTTTTCTTTTTCCCATCAGCTTCGATGCTGCTTTTGGCTGCTGTTATATCAGTCATACATGATAATATGATATTTCGGCGAGTATTAGGATGATCTTTCGTTCAAGCTGGAGTATGCCCATCCTTATCTGGATGGCGTCGACAACCGTAGTAGGAACCGCACCTTCAAAATTAGCTGCTTCAACTCCAGGAAATTGAGTCCTATATTCGTTGCTGGTCCCAATATGTATGAAGCTCCACCTATCTGGGTTGATAGAATTGGATTTAAAGCCAATATAACAGAGGTTTGCACAATTGATATTACCTTCCACTCCTTTTAACTATCATGGACAGTTATTAACAACATATAGGAAACTGCATTTTTGGATCTTTTATTCAGAGCTTCACAAAGCAGAGCAAATTCACGTATGGCCTCGTAGTGGAAGAGATTACAACACGCGATGAGAATAACAATATATGTACACATGGTTCTCGACAATTGCCTAGTGGCGCCTTGAGCATGATTGGACCTCCCACAACCTTAAGTGGGACTGGCGTAGACCGAATGGCGTTTCTACAAGCTAATATAACTCGAGACAATACAGAGTTCGTCAATGGTGCAACAATCGGGGACAGATGTATATTCCAGGTATGCTTATATGTACCCTGGTTCTAGGAACACAAACTCAACCTGTACTCATTGCCAGGTAGCTCTGTGGCAAAAAGTTGTCACCTGAAAAGACCAATGAGACTGATCGATGTTTTGGAAAATTTTAGGAAATGTTTCGGTACATTTGCTCAAGAGTTTCAAAGGATGGTGAACAAGTAATTTGCGTGTTATTGGGAAAAAAATACTTTGCAAACATATTGATGATATTTGGGTTAATAAGTTTTGTTCAATAGTAGCATGTTTTTATACAAAATTCTCCATGTTAAAGTACTCAGAACAAAGTTTTCTTGTCGGCTACAGATGGATCAAGGCCTCGGTATTGGAAGCAAGAACCCTCTTCAACCGTCATCAGCTTACGGTGACAAAATTCATAAATTTGAACAAGCAAGAGAAAGGCCCTCGCAAGCCACCACCAGCTGTTTTGGCCCTTCATGGCCGTTATGCTGGGTGTGTAGGAGATTTGCCAAGCTATGATGCATTTGCACTTGGAGGACCTCATTCAGTAAGGGGCTACGGTATGGGTGAATTGGGTGCTTCCAGAAATCTTCTTGAGGTGAGTATTAGCTAGTCCATTAGTGAATTTTGAGTCTCATGAATTGCTGAATTCAGAATTTCAGATGCACAATTTTCACCGTTTATGATATTACATGCTTAGAGACTCAGATTTCCAAAAATTTGCCGCTTTGTTTTCTGAATTGTTGTGACCTATGAAGATTGCCACTGAGCTGAGCGTGCCTATTACCGTAAAGAACAGACACACCCAGGTGTATGCATTTGCTGAGCATGGCACTGATCTTGGGAGCTCCAAGGATGTGAAAGGGAACCCTACTGAGTTTTTCAGACGTGTTGGCCATGGCTCATCCTATGGCGTTGGTGTCAAGCTTGGTGCGGTAAGGGCGGAGTATGCTGTTGATCACAATGCTGGCACAGGGGCCTTCTTCTTGAGATTTGGTGAGAGATTCTAGTCTAGGTGATGTGTTCCAGCTAGCTCCAGTCACTGGAAAGGTCATAAGATTTCTCTTCAGGATTCATACTACAATGCCAATATCACACAAGGTAGTCCCAGAGTGAGCATTCTTCTTTGTACGATACAGTCACTTATATTAGAGGACATGGAAAATCTTAAGGGTCAGAAATGTGTGCATTGAGATAGAGAGAATTTTCTTGGTAACAGCTTCTCATTCTGTTTCATCACTAACCATCTGCAGATTCGCTTGCTCAACTGTCGCCAAGTCACGTGCCATTTTCGGGGTGTACATCGGTAGCAAAACTCTAGCTTCCTTGTGATGTTATTCAGAACGGAACCCCGGCTTGAGTGTGCAGACATGTGAAAATGCCATGAGATGGATGATGGATCTTACAATGTGTTTGGCTCATTAATCATCTGCTCTGGTGAAATATGTACGCACATATGCAGTACAAAAATTTGAGAAAGCATTTTGATCCTGTCGAGGGTTCAAATGCTGTAAACAATACAGTCAAACCTGGGTGAGGTGAGGGAATGGGCCAAAAATGGGGAGACAAAAACTAATGCTCTGTTGATGTCTAGTCTCTCATCTCTTCTATGCTCTGTTCATATACTGGCCAGTTCTTGAATCAATCAGGATATCATCGCCTACGTTCACAAACGAGGGCACTGTGACAACAGCTCCTGTTTCCACGGTTGCTGGTTTTGTTCCTCCTACAAAATATACAGTTAAAAGATTATTATTCTGATCGTGTCAGCTTTAATAAGAAAACATTTTTTTTCTAATTGTGATATTCACATGCAGTTATACCTTGTGCACTGTCACCTTGCCCTGGGTCAGTATCAGTTACAGTCAGCCTAACGGTGATGGGGAGATCAAAATCAATGATCTGCAGGACATATTAATGTCAGTGACCAATATCCTATTCTGTGCAAGAATACATAACTAATCAAACAGCACATTATCAAGAGTTTGAAACAAAATAGGAACATATGAACTGACAACAGCCAATTAATTGATTGGATTTGGACAGCAGATTATGTAAAAACAAAACAGGAAATACCCGTCCATTCCAGTATAACAAATTGCAGTCCATTCCTTCTTTCAACCATTTCTGCCTGTCGCCAACATCTGACTCATTTAAGCGACTTTCTTCAAAGGTAGTCTGGAAAGGAAAATTATAAAGATAAGTAACATTATGCACTTGGGGAACACACCATAAAAGAACCATTCATTCTCTTTGCCTTCTTTGTTGGCAGCAGTTTGCTGCAAACAAAAGGAATCGGCAAGTTTAATTCATATGTTTCTAAAACTTGACTGTCTGTCTGTAAAACTTCCGACTGTCCGTAAAACTTTAAACGATACTTCTACCAGTAGTTTCTACATTGTAGAAATCAGCGAGTTCAATTCATATGTTTCTATAGTACCATATACCATATGGTTAGCACGTGCTTAAATTTCAAACATGGGTGTTCCATTGCATACTGATTACTGAAGCATACAGACAGCTAGCGACTACTCTTTTCATGATATGTTTGAATGAAAAACTGAAACATGTACCAGATCCATGAACACAAACTGGGCTCCATCCTTGTAGGTAAATTGCTTAGTTTCCTTTGAAATGGATGCCTCTGGGATCTAAAACAAAAGTGACAAAATAAGTGCTCTTCTTTGTTAGAACACATTGAAGGAGAGTTGATGAGTATCATATCAGTTGTTTTTTATTACATAAGCTAAAGCATGATCTGATACAGTCACAGAATGGTACTCCCTCCGTTCCAGATTATAAGACGTTTTGATTTTGGCCAAAGTCAAACTGTTTTAAGTTTGACTAAATTTATAGACAAATATAGTAATATTGATAATACTAAATTAGTTTCATCAAATCAATAATTGAATATATTTTCATAATAAATTTGTCTTGGGTTGAAAATTTTACTACTTTTTTCTACAAACTTGGTAAAACTTAAAGCAGTTTAACTTTGACCAAAGTCAAAACGTCTTATAACCTGAAACGGAGGGAGTAATTTCTACAGGTTTAGAAAGGTGAGTTTCTGCTTGGATTACCGTACTTCCAGCTCGAAAGGTTTTGTCAACTGTGTTGCCAGTGATATAATTACGCATTTTTGTCCTTACAAAAGCAGCACCTTTTCCAGGCTTGACATGGAGAAATTCTGTTGTTGCATGAAGACAGAAAGTTTTATATGATATTTCTTATATCGAGCATCTAAAGTAAAATGGAATAGATGAGCAATAGATGGCAAGAAATGATATACATCTGTCAGAATACTCTATGACATTTCAACATTTGTTTTTTCACAGATATAGATTCGTCTGGAATTTATTGAAAAACACATAATTTTATTTAAATCAAACGTAACAAATGGAACTCTTAAAGCTCCTTTTATAGGTACTAGAGTATGCTTTACCATTCCATTCTAGCAACTGAAAGAAACATAGCAGTGAGTGATCTGAAAAGCAGGGAATACTTGGGAAAGCAAATAACATTCACATATTGTGGCAAGCTAAGCTATATGTGAAGTTTGAAAAATCGAACCAACAGAAGCAAATTTGCTCAAGTACACACTGAAAGGTATGAAAGGAGGTAATTCTTCTGAAACAGTGGATGCAACAACCAAGAAAATAGTTGTTTTTTATAGCACTAGAGTGTCACATTGCTTATGAACAACATGGATTGCAGTTGTATAAAAGGGAGTTGTTATTCTTCCTAAAATGTGTTAAAGAAATGAAGGTAGCAGCTTTCGTCCCCCCCATCTGGTCCTATATATGCAGATAATAATGTGCCTTGAAATAATGAAATTTGTGGCTACATGAGGTATGTTCAACAAAGCTACTGTATCCACTGGGAGACTCCAACCAGGAATCAGGTATGTTTAGTACTAGCAGAAAGGAAGAAAGGCTGTGTTTAGATCCAACGTTTGGATCCAAACTTCAGTCCTTTTCCATCACATCAACCTGTCATACACACACAACTTTTCAGTCACATCATCTCCAATTTCAATCAAAATCCAAACTTTGCGCTGAACTAAACACCGCCAAAGAAGATGAGATTGTGAGTGGATACGATTACGAACCAAGAACCTTCCAGGGAGCTCCGTCGACCTCGAGGTTGGAGCCCACCCTGATATCGTTGCTGGAAAGCGCGTACACCCCTGCAAGAAAGAAAGGAACAAGCAGTAGTATTCAGGCAGTCAGCATTGGGACAATGGGAGGGGGAGCAGAAAGGATGAAGGAAGGATACGGGTGAGACGAGAGCGGAGAGGTCGTGGTCCGGCGAGGCAGGAGGAAGGGCGGCGGAGTTGGGCGAAGGAGGAGGGTGGTGCAGTGGCGCCGGAGGGAGAGAGGTGGCCGTGGCGGAGAGAAGCCATAGCTCAGCTGGCAGCTCAACTGATGCGATGAAGACGATAAGGAAGAGATGATTCCCCTTCGGAATAAGTTCACCAGAGGTCCCTCACCTTAACAGCGAGATTTCTTGATGTTCATTAACCACAAAACCAGAAATATGTACCCCTAAACTCACTCAAACCGTTCACCGGAGGACCCTCGGTAGTTTTTTTTGCCCAGTTTTGCTGACGTGGCATCCTAGTCAACAAAAAAAATTAAAAAAACACGTAAGGCCCACATGTCAGCTGCACATCTTTTTCTTCTTCTCTTTTCTTCTCCTTCTCCCCCCTCTTCTCTTTTCTTTTCTTTTCTCTCTCTTCTCTTCTCCTTCAGGCTGCGGGCGGAGCAGCCGCGCGCCGTGGCCGCCGTCGTCGTCGGCTCTCCACCATCGTCGTCGCCGTGGGCGAGGCTACGCGGCGCGGCTGTCCAGCGGCGGAGCGGAGGCAGCGGGCGGAGCGGCGAGCACGGATGCGGGCGGCGCAGCGGAGGGCGAGCGCGGCAACGGAGCAGCGGAAGGCGCGAGCACGGTGGCGGGCCGAGCAGTGGAGCGCAAGCAGGCCGCGGACAGAGTAGCGGAGCGCGAGCGCGGCGGTGGGCAAAGCAGCGGAGGGCGAGCTAGGCGAAGCGGAAGACAGTGGATGGGACGAGGAGCTCCCCCGTGCTCGGCCGCCACCACCGCTGTGCCCCCGCGGGTGGCCGATGATGCTAGGAGAGGCACCACCGGCGGGAGAAGGGGAAGAGGCAGAGGAAGAGATTGTTTCTTGGTCGCCGGCCACCTCCCCCTCCCTCCCAAACTCGCTGGCCACCGCGCTCGCCCCCCGCATCCGTGCTCCTCCGCTGCACGTAATGGCATATATACATGTGAGTGTGCTCAGCCATATACACATGCTTGGCTAATATATACGGTTGCATGTTATCGGGCGGCAAACCAACAAGAAGCTAGCTAGGCTATAGCTGGTTGTCTCCATGCATGCATATATATGCTCGTACGAAGACGCATGTACACGCGGCCGTCTGTACCCGGCGTATATGCGTATGAGCTACGACGTCAAGTGCTACCGCGACGTCGCCGAAGACGACGAGGGTCACCGCGCCCGCGCCGACCACCGTCCACGACGCCGATGGCACGCCGAGCGTGGACACGCTCCTGCTGCAGCTGCGCGAGCTGGGCGTCCGGGAGGACCATGGGATCAGGCTAGCGGCGCTGCCACCGCCACCACTGCCACTGCCGCGGCACAGGAGGAGTGCGAGCGACTAGGGTGCATCGTCAGCCGGCACTTTGAGCATCCTATGCACGGCCACTGCGACGCCTGGCCGATGCCGCCGAATGGCCGCGCCGTGTAGCCTCGCCCACGGCGACGACGACGGTGGAGAGCCGACGACCACGGCGGCCACGGCACGCGGCTACTCTGCCCATTAGCCTCCGCTCCGCCGCCGCGCTCGCCCGCCGTCCACTCCGCCCACAGCCTGCCACCGCTCTGCTGCCGCGCTCGCCGGCCGCCCGCATCCGCGCTCGGCCATCGCGGCTGAGCCCGCCGCCAGCCTGGAGGAGAATAGAGAGGAGAGAAGCGAAAAGAGAAGAGAAGGAGAAGAAAAAAGATGTGCAGCTGACATGTGGGCTCCACATACTTTTTTAATTTTTGTTTTGCTGACTAGGATGCCACGTCAGCAGAACCGGGCAAAAATACTGTCGAGGGACCTCCGGTGAACGGTTTGAGTAAGTTTAGGAGTAGACATTTCTGGTTTTGTGGTTAAGGGACCTCAAAAAATCTCGCTGTTAAGTTGAGGGACCTCCGGTGAACTTATTCCTTTCACTTCCACCCGGGGAATTTTTTTATTTTTAATTTTCTTTATTAAAATATTCACAAAAGTAATTTTGTGTTTCAAAATTTTACAAAACTAGTCGCCTGCCGTCCTCTAGGAGGGCGATATTTAAAAATCGCCCTCCCAAAGGGCGATTTTCGTGACGTGGCTGACCACCGTTAGCGCACGACTAATGGCCGTCTATAGGCGGCCTGCCATTTTGCAGGCGGCCCCCTCGCCGCCCTTACGGAGGGCGGTTTACTACTGTGCGGGGGGGGGGGGGAGGGCGCCTGCAAAAGGGCAGCGAGGACCCTGGTTTTTTTTGCAGGTGGCCCCCTTGCCGCCCTTACGGAGGGCGGTTTAGTACTGTGCGGGGGGCCGCCTGCAAAAGGCGGCGAGGACCCTGTTTTTTTTGCAGGCGGCCCCCTTGCCGCCCTTATGAAGGGCGGTTTGGTACTGTGTTGGGTGCCGCCAGCTTTAAGAGTAGCCCCTAGGTGTTTAGCTCGGTGCATTTAGAAAATTTAGTAAATCATCACTTTTAAAATTGTGAAACAAGAAAAAATATTATTAGAATTGAATGGTACGTTGTTTCGGCGGTTTGGAGCCCAACAAGGGGTGTTTTTACACCGAAATATTTAATTGTTACTGTAAAAACTACATAAATCATTGTTTCGAAGTCGAAGAAGGAATAGTTTCAAACTACATAAATCTAACTATTTTGCACTTAAAATTTTACGAAATAGGTATTTTACATAAACCTGATTTTTAGCAGTTAAAATTAGGTAAAGTATCATTTTGAAACGAACAAAGTACGTGCATTTTGACAAAATTTTAATAACTCAATTTTTCATATAAATTGGAGGGCTATGAGGGGGTTTGTTACCTATAAATTGCAAGTTACGCATAATTGTCATGTATGTTGAATCATGTACACAATTGAAGGTGGAAGTTATAAAAATATAAGCAGGTACATATAAATTATAAGGATACAACATATCATGGCGTCAAAGAAACTTTAGAAATCGGAATGATATAGTCACATTAAATTATAATTCGTGACACATACAACAGCACAACATAGTAATTAAACATTATAATGACAAGATAGCATGGATAAAAGATACAAATTTGTCGGTCCTGACAAATTGAGCCTGAGCTTATCTACCGACTCCTTCCGCGTCGTTCAACATGTATTGCATTTTGATGGTCCTTCTCTCGCTAGTACTCTACCTGTGTTTCAGACTCAGTTATCTTTTGGCCATCATATGTAGGATTGACATTGTCGATCCATAATGAATGCGCACCTCCTTGGATTGCCCTGAGAAACAAACATAGTTATTCAGATAGGATAGTAATAATAAGCAGATTCTACTTAAATTTGGAATTTGTTATACGTACAACGAAATCGTCGTCTACATTGGGGCAGACAAAGTATCTCCTGCCAATTGTTTGTTCTGCAAACGAGGTAGCCACCAGGCAGCGATATCTACAACCACACTTTGGACGCTCCGACCATTTAGGTAAACCTAATGGATTGTTCCTCCAGTCTAAGCTTGCAATTTGTACCTGACGTTCGTACTCCATCCATGCCTGTTATGAATTGCGTGGTCGTCTCAGGTTGCGTTATCGTTTGACCAATGGAAGTAACTCTGACCGTATCGATCCATTGTACGAATTGACATTTCCTAACCTCCTCCTATTTTAAAATTTGTGTAAATAGAGGTAAGTGCATGAAAGTAGTGATTAGTGGTACCCAAAAAAAAGATACTTACGACGAAATCGTCGTCGTCAATGTTAGGACACACGAAGCATCTTTGTCCTCGAGTTCGTTGTCTTACGGACCTTATCACCTGACAACGGTCACCACAACGACACTCTGGACGTTCCCGCCATGTGGGGAGTCCTAGGGGGTTTACTTGCCATTCTAAAGCTTCCGCAGCAATCTGACGTTCATGCTCATCCTTCCGCCTGAGGTAGTCCGATCTTGATTCACTACGTGCATATGGACGTGTTCTGTCATTTTGTGGGTTCTCTGTATCTACCCACTCAATGTAGTTGCACAATGTACGGTATGTCTGTGTAAGATGTTATGATGGAGTAGAAATCTGTTAGCTTTTGATGTGTTCAGTATAGTTAATTGAACTTGTAACGAATGAATGATACCTGATCAAGGTTTGCACATTGGAAGAATCTCCTGCCCCGAGTTTCTACCATGAGGCTTGACTTAAGTATGCATCGATCCCCACAAGTGCATAACGGCCGGTCACACCATGGTGGAAATCAACCGGCGAAAGGATCGCTTCGCTAGTTGAGACGCTCAAGAAATGGAGCTTCCATTCTCTCTAGATGTGTGGGAAGATGAAAGATGATTTGAAGAGCTTGTATTCGGCTTGTCTATTATATAGGGCCGCAACTAGTGCTATAACTGGACTTAATTTTGTTCATCTGGCCCACTTGATGTGACAACACGCGCACGCGTGAGCATCATTCACTTTATCTCCGAGAACAGGGCTGAAAGATGATAGTGACAACTCGAACTACCAAGGTATATGTGTACTGTGGTTTGCTGCGCTACCTAAAGGAGCCAATCTTCACGCGCCGAAAGTTTGTTGTCGTATGCGTAAGTAGTTTTAATATGCAGTGTATTGATGACACGAGCACATGCGAGCATGCAGTAATTAATTCACGTGCGGAATCTGTGGTGCAAAGTTGATGCTGACAACTCGACAAAACGCTTTGTCTATAATGGACTGGACCGTCACGCGCCGAAAGTTAGGCTTCGTACGCATGGAATAGTTGTAGCAGTGGACATGTGGAAGGAACGAAATAGCAGAGCGTCAAGGCAATGGTACCGTAGTACTAACAGCAAAAGTAATACTGGTCTACACAGCAAAAGTAATACTGGTCTACACAGCAAAAGTAAGCCTAAAGAAAAGTGCACACAACCACTCAATAGGTGGAACACTACTGCCGAGGCCTCTTACCCCGGTCCCTCCTGCCCTGCGCCCTAACGTGTCCCTGGGAGTACGTCAGACGGTCCGGTGGTACGGCACGGCCTGCTCGACCCTCCTGCACTGGTGTGACCAGTGGCTGCTCCTGGGTGTGCGCCTTCGGAGCTCCACCAAGCTGTGAGGACCCAAGTATCTCCTGGTCTGGCGCCCCGTGCAAGTCGTCATCGTAGAACCGGACAGTAGGACCTGTGCCACCGGCGTGTGAGGAAGAGGCTCCACTAGCAAAGATCCCTCGCGTCTGCGTGTTAGGACGAGGGATCAGCGATCTCTGTGACGAACTGCTGCCTCCGACAAAGGCGCCGGAAGGCAGACGGGGACCTGCGCGTAACGTATTTAGTTAGGACGTAGTCATGTTACCGAGAATAAATCATATATACTTGAACTAACCTCTGGGCGGAGCAGTACCGTGCGAAGAACCAGCTGTAGGTCGCACAACTCCGGTACTAGGGGCGCGTGGACATGGTGGTACTGGACCAGGTGGAGGTACCGCGTCCATGGCGCTGCAACAAGAGAAGACGCGCATGACAGCGTGCATCTTCTCTTGCATCCGGTCGAAGGTAATCCTCTGCTCAGCATCACTCAAGTATAGCCCGGCGTCCAACCTCACTATTATCGAGGTAATATCGGCGTTCACAGCTCGTGCCGTGTCGGCCTATTCAAGACATAAGACAGCATGTCAGTAGGAAAATAATTGAAGGAACTGAGTAGAAACTATTGCCAGAAGTGAGTAGAAGTTCGACATACCCCCATGAAGTAGTCTCGGTCACGGTGCGTGGGGTACTCGTCCCTGACAGTGGCAAGTCGCGGCTGTGGTGCGGCTGGAGTGATGTTGTTGCGGTGATGTTGCAGTGATACTTCTTGACATCTTGTAAGTGGCACTGGTGCTCGGTCACAATGCTAACTTTCCAATAATCTTTCCATGTACCCTTATATGCATGAACACGCCACGGACAATCTTCTTTCACGCACCTCACTTCATACACATAATTGGTTGACTTGACCACCCTAAACTCTCTCATCAATGAGACCGCCCAATGCTTCACTGCCTCCTTCATATCCTCCTTATGAGCATACGTAGCACCCTCAATTACCTCGTTATCCTTGTATTCCTAGGGTACATGATGTTCCTCTGAGATAACAAGTCCCGAGAAGTCCTCATTTGTCCAATCAGTGGGCATTACATCACCTTCCTCGTCGGATGATGCATCGCCCTCCGCTTGCTCGTTATCCGAATCTTCCCTCTTCATTTCATCAACGATTGTACTGATTCTCTCCCCCTCATCTGCCACGCCCATGGCCTGCACCACCCCTGTGTCATTTCCCTCATCTTCCCCCGATGGTTCAACAAAATCCCCCACATGGCTTGGACCCTCGACATCTTCGGTTTCCATTGCAATATTTCTATCATTTTCATGCACCGACACAAAAATAACCAAGGGCCATGACCTTTCAAAAGCCATCTCCAGATACCGTTTCCAAGCAATAGTGCTATGCGCATCGGCATGAGTTCCCAAAAATAACCTTCCGTTGCACGACTCACTACAACCGATACTGACATTGTGTGGACTTCTGAGTCTATTCTATATCCTTGCATCAACCAATTATAAATTGACTGAAATGATCTCTCAGCAGGCCTATCGATGCCCTTCGATGTCATTACAAAATCTGACAGATCAACACCATCAGGACCAAATCTAAGGTTGCCTTCACCGTGAACTATCTGAAACATGACCTTACTTGACATTGTGCTTGATGAAAAAATATCTATGTTAACTAAGTTCATATCATACTAACCAGATCTAACCCCCCATTCATCAATACATACTACGCCCTAAGTTAAAGATACTACAAATAAGTTGTATGTCCTATGTCTCAAATTCTAAAATAGGCTGTGTGCTACAGATCTACTAAAGTATATGGTAAAAAAACTAAAATGCAACAAAAAAAATGGAAACACATTTCAAATGAATGTATTACCTGTGATGGAGTCAGCAAACCAGCAGGGCTTCGCCGCTCCCCTTCTCTTCCTCCTCACCCCTCCCTCTTTCTCTTTTTCTGGATTTTGAGTGAATATAATGAAAATTCTGAGAGGGGGAAGGGGTTTTATACTCGGAGGGGTAAAAATCGCCCTCCCTAAGGGCGGCAAGGGGGCCGCCTGCAAAATTCCAGGCCGCCTCGCCGCCCTTTTGCAGGCGGCCCCCCGCACAGTAATAAATCGCCCTTCGGGAGGGCGGCAAGGGGGCCGCCTGCAAAAAACCAGGCCGCCCTTTTGCAGGCGGCCCCCCGCACCGTAGTAAACCGCCCTCCGTAAGGGCGGCGAGGGGGCCTCCTGCAAAATGGCAGCCCCCCTATAGACGGCCGTTAGGCGTGCGCTAACGGTGGTCAGCCACGTCACGAAAATCGCCCTCTGGGAGGAAAAAATCGCCCTCCCAGAAGGCGGCGGGCGACTACTTTTGTAAAATTTTGAAACACAAAATTACTTTTGTAAATATTTTAATAAAAAAAATTAAAAATAAAAAAAATTTCTCCACCCGGGTTGGTTCATCGGTACATGAAGAAGCCCATCGGCCCAGCATCAGTTTAGGCCCAAATGATCAGGCGGCCCATCAAATATGTGCACATGTGCTCTTCAGTGGTAGCATAGGGTATAGATTATTTGACTGTACGATTGGAGGGGACAACTCCTCTTTTTTATATTACTATATAGAATATAGATTATTTTGTGAAGTCACTCGCATAAATACATTAAATATTATAAAGCTAATAAATAACTTTGAAAAAGAAGCTATTTAAACCATGCTTAAAAAGTTTGAGAAAACATACTTTCGGAAGCGTGCTACCTACATTAGCTGTTTAAAACGCCACCGAAGTGATATAAGACGAGGACGTCCTAACAAATTCAGTTTTAATTTCCTCGTCTTTGCATATATGGAAGGAACCGAAGAACTTCACCTCAAAAAAAAAAAAAGAAACTCTGCTCTTAACAGATTAAATCTTGTTAAACTAGGATTAGCTTCGGTTTAAGCTGAGACTGCGTTTGGTGAACATTGCTACCTACCCATCCATTAGCAATTTAGGTCTCATTTTTTCTTGAGTTGCAGCGGTTTGGGACTTTGGGAGTGGTAGGTGTATCTGACAGTCTCGAATGTGCCACATCTCTTTTCTTCTCTCCTGTCTCCTTCTCCAACCTAACCCCTGCCTGCCTGCATCAACCATATATGTTGTCCTTCACCAATAAAACACATTGCCCTACTCCTCACGCTCTTTCGATCTTCCTCCTCTCCTCTCTATTTCTCTCATCAACAATTACCGCATCACAAGGAGCAAAAGCAGTTTCAGTTTCGGCTCCATTGCTTATTAATTTACCTCTACAGAAGAAGTAAGTTGATCTCTCTTTCTTGCTTCAATCTGATTGTTTCCTTGCTAGTTGAAAACTACTATTATATACTCTGTCTTTCGTCCATCTTGAGTGATATCATGAATTGATACACATTCTCATGAATGAATGTATCAAATTCCATCTGAAACTCTGGTAGTAGCTGCACACACATTTCAGAATTCAGACTTTGCACTAGCTTTGTGCATTGAGATAGAGAAATTACCAAAGTAGATGTAAGCATGTAAGAGTTGTTGAAATATGCTTACATACAAAAATTGTATAAAAAATATGATTATGAATGTACTAGTGAATAGTGATTACAAGATTTAAACTCCTAATCAATTAAGTTTGCATCATTGATGCAAGTTCAGTGGGCACAGAGATGGCCACCGTGGAGGTGGAGGGCATCCCATTTCCTCAGGAGATCACCGTCAGTAAGCCGTTATCACTGCTAGCCCATGGTAATTAATTAATCTATTAATGATTTATAAGTACTCCATTTGACTAATACCAGATTATGAGTACAACACAAGCCTCTAAATGCATTTGAAACAACAAATTGCAGGCATTACAGACATTGAGATTCATTTCCTTCAGATCAAATACAACGCCATCGGGGTGTATCTTGAAAAGGACAATGTACTAGGGCATTTGGAGAGTTGGAAGGGCAAGAAGGCAGAGGAGCTTGTGCAGGATGATGGCTTCTTTCAGGCCCTAGTTTCTGGTAACTAAAATGACTCCACCATTCAGGTTTTGCATTTCAGAAATATGTAAAACGGATTTGGAATTGCTTGTCTATAGTATATCAATACCATTCTCCCATTTCCAGTTACAGATCACAAATAGTAGTATTATCTCTGTAGAGTTTATAGAACAATGTTCTATCCTACAAAATAAAACAGAGTAAGGTTCAGTCTGCCGCTCCTGCATAACTGCAAGAAAAAAATGTTTCATTTTTTCATTTGAGTCATGCTGATTGATGCTGTGCATGTACGCTAGCTCCTGTGGAGAAACTATTCAGGATCGTGGTGATCAAGGAGATCAAAGGATCACAGTACGGCGTGCAGCTGGAGAGCTCAGTGCGCGACCGTCTCGTGTCAGTGGACAAGTACGAGGATGAGGAGGAAGAGTCTCTGGAGAAGGTGACTGAATTCTTTCAGTCCAAGTATTTCAAGCCCAACTCCGTCCTCACCTTCCACTTTCCTAACACCCCTGGAATTGCAGAGGTATAATCTTGTAGAGTACTCCTTATATTCAGCTGGGTTTGGTTAAGATATCAAGTGATCAAATCTTTGTTCTTGCAAACCTAATTGAAGCATGCATATATGTGTGCAGATATCATTTGTGACAGAAGGCAAGGGCGAGGCGAAGCTGACAGTGGAGAACAAGAATGTGGCCGAGATGATTCAGAAGTGGTACCTGGGTGGAGAATCTGCAGTTTCTCCGACGACTGTGAAGAGCCTGGCAGATCAATTCGCAGCACTGCTCTCTGCATGAGGCATGGAGTAATAAACTACTGTAGTAATGTTGCCTGTTTCCCATTCATTTTTAACTCGATCATGCTTTGATTTGTCCAGCTGCTCTCATGTGCATGCTACAATTGATAATGGTATTGGTTTCCCTACTACTTCAAATGCATGATTTACTTGCTCCAAAGCAGAGGAAACATACTCAAATGTATATGTTTCAACTTTACCTGTGTATCTGGTGCAAGCAACCTAAGACAGTGATAGAAGTGAAGGTAGGAATCTGTCCCTGTACTGCTCATGTGTTGGAATTAAGTCCACCAGTGGTTCCAACTTCCAACTTGTGTATTGGGCTTGCAAAATGAAGCTGGAAAAAGACACCAGAATATCTTTGAGAGCAACATCATGACACAAATTCATGAATAGTACTGTACTGCTATAGTTTGGTGTGCAGTCTTCAGTATTGTACATCCTTTAAAACCTCCTTTCAGTGTTGTACTCATTTTGGAATCAACCAACCCATACAAGTTACCTACTCCAACAAATAAATAAATTAGAGATGTTCTGCTTTAACTTCTTCTAAGGATGATCTAAAAAAAAGATTCTTCTAAGGGGAAGTTAGGATGCATGTTGCCAACAAAACGTAGATACTAGTCCACAGTCAAGTCAGTTCTTCATTTTGTTTTACAAAGAATATAGTACTATATTTGGATAGCAATGGAGATAAGATAGACACCACTTCGAATAAAGGAACAAATTAAGGGAGGAATCTCATAGGATCAAAATCACAGTGGATTTTTTATCACATATATATCCATTGAAAATTTGAAATTGTTGGGTTTAGTCCCCCATTCGTAATTGTTAATGGAGGGGTACAATTTAAAAGGTAAGGACGGTCGTTACTTATCAGACTAGTCTTTTAGGTTATGTAGGCCCAGGAGCTAAAGTTGTGGCACCAATTGAGTTTGTGGTGGAGCAGACCCAATGTGACCACGGTTGGTGGGCCGGGCTGCACACTCTATAACAAGTGGTATCAAAGCCCACGTATGAAAACCCAAAACATTTTTTATAGGTCACATGGTGGGGGAGCTCCAGTAATGTGGCGGGAAATATTGTTGGGCCTCGGCTACTTCAGTGGAGGCGGCAGATATTGTTTGGCCGTGGCCTGCACATCGAGATCCAAACATTAAGAAACGTCATAGAATATCTAAACGTGATGACGACACCAAGATATAATATTTGTTAACGAGATTCAGCCGAATCCTATATCTCCGGACACTGATTATGAACACTCGTACTAGATGTAGCATAATTACAGCGTATCAGAGGTACAACAAACTTCCGTCGGACACCGTCGACAGCCATTCCCTCTCGCCTATGCTAAGTCGTTATGTGGTTAATTATAATAAGTTTGCCTCTCTATTTAAGAAGAGCTGATAGAGTTTGATTCTAACTCTATCCTACCCCTATTAAACTTCAAGTTCTAAACTGAAATCGACTTTATATACATATTCACACAAACTCTAACAAGAAGAAAAGATAATCAATTAGAAACCTATATTGAATGGCTTAATATATCCGTAGAGAATTTTAGAGGAATCCAAACATATATAAGATTTGACATCACCGAAGACGTATTACTATGTGCCACCCCAGGCACCCTCTCCCCAAAATCCTACGTTATTTTTTTTGAAGCATTATTTGAACAGAACAATTGAACATTTTCTGAGTTTTTACTCCAATGCTTGTGCCATAAATCGAGCGCAGAACGCTGGCATGGAGCGATCTTATTCTGCTACTAGTACTAGTTGGCAACGTGAAGAAAAGGGAATTGAAAAGGAAAAAGGTCTCAGGCATGGGAGGTGATTAGATGCTGGACAACACCAATTTGAGAAAAGGACTTGCCACTTGGGGGAAAGTTTGGCCAAAATACCAATGCAATTCCTCCAAAAGAAAAGACCAATTCAATTAATGCTTTCTCTCCTTAATTTGGTTTTGCTGGTGAGTGGTGACAAAATTATGCCCAGAACAAACGAACAGCGAATCTGGGGTAAAAAAATCATGTGCTAGCACACAAATTAAAGGAGAAAACTCATAGAAACAGCTAAACAGATAATCCAAGTGAGAAGTGACAGTGACACTGCAAACATTGTGTCCAACCCCTTGCATTTACGCAATCCCAATTTATATTCTATTCACATTGTAGACCTCTTCTGTTCGAGAAATTACATACAAAAGAATTAATTATATTACTAGCTATGTTTGGCCGCCGGTGACTCCGGCATGGACGGAGAGAATGGAGTCCCGGCAAGTAGGGCAGGACGTGTGCGCGGCGAGCCACGTGTCGATGCAGCCGACGTGGAAGCCGTGGTGGCACCTGGGGAGCACGCGCACCTTGTCGCCGTCGGCGAAGTCGCCCAGGCAGATGGCGCACTCGGCGTCGGGGACGCCGGCCTGCTTGGCGCCGTACACCTCCACCGTAATCCTCCTCAGCTCCTTCTTCTTCAGCCCGCCCGTGGTGGTGGCAGCTGCCGGCGTCGCCATGGCGGGTGAGGGTGAGAGGCCGCGGGCGCAGTGGAGCGCGCAGCGGATGAGGGAGCTGAGGCCGAGGGAGCAGATGACGACGCAGAGCAGCGCGGCGAGGACGATGACCATGTTGGCGTCCAAGGCGCCGGAGCTCCCGCCGGCCTGCTGCATGGAGGCCGTGGCCGCCCATGCCGGCGTCAGCACCAGCGCCGGCGCCTCCACGACGTCAACCAGCCGCCGCATGGCTGGCTGGTACCTCTAGTTAAGCTAGTATAGCTCAAGCATATGCAGGAGGAGGAGACAAATTATAAGATGTTCTTTTTAATTTTGTTGTACATTGAATTTCCTTTGGATTTGGTGATTGGATTGGGTGCACCAGCAGAGTGAGATTATTCTGGTTCGTCGCTGCAGCCAAACCACACATTGGATTGAGCTCTCTCAAAAAGTGGACTCTGAAAGCTAGCTAGCGGCAGCGCTACATATGTCTCTATTTGTTAAATTAGTTTTCCCTGTTTCGTTTTCGTGTAAGAAATAATGTCGTATTTATATTTGTGCCACTTTCGAGGATGAACAACAATGCCCTTACCAGTATCTGGCGCACAATACAGGCTATGTTTGGCACCCCTTTTCCCAACCTCCTCTCTCGTTTTTCGCGCGCACATTTTTTAAACTGCTAAACGGTGTGTTTTTTACAAAAAGTTTCTATACGAAAGTTGTTTGAAAAAAATCAAATTAATTCATTTTTTTTTAAAAAATTAGCTAATACTTAATTAATCACGCGCTAATGGACCGCTCCGTTTTTCGTGCGTACTGTTAGTGTTGGGAACAGGGCTGCCGAACACAGCCTATATATGGTTTAGAGAAGTCCACATTAATTAATTTAATCATCAACTATTGCAATATTGTTCCAACTTTGATCATTTAACTCTATGAAACCGTTTATTTTTGTCTCCCAACACACTTATAGATGCCCAATTTCGTTCCTTGGTCTAAATTTCATCCTTGGGGTCTATTCCAGGATGATTTTCGATTACGTGGAGTTGCAGAGGGTATAGGTTTCATGCCCAAGTCTATTTCCAATCAGCCAACGACAACTTTTTACAATCTATATATGAAAAGGAAATTAATGGATCTACCATTTCAAGCAATAGATAGTGCGCTTATCTATTCATTAGCTCATGTCGATCAAATTAATTTTAGGTTTAGACTTGTAGATAGGGATTGGGCTCCCTATCATTGTCGAATATTCACAATGTGAACATTTAAATTATACTTTAAAAGACAGTGTCAATGTGAATATGGGTGACAATGTGAATTCTTAATGTGTGAATGTAAATGTATTGCCACACTAGTGGAGAACCCATTTCTAACACCAGTTGGGAACCGTTTTTAGTATCGGATGTAGAACCGGTACTAACAAATCGAGACTAAATATCTCGATCTTTAGTACCGGTTGAAATAACTGGTACTAAAGATGCATACGAAATAAAAAAAATGTGTAGGATATGTGATTCGAACTCAAGATCTCTCACCTCAGCCCTCACGCGTGTAACCATCCACCAACTCCACCCATCAGACATGGATATGGATGCTTTCTTTTTAAACTAACCCTGTAGACATCTTTAGTACCGGTTGTAACACCAACCGGAATTAAAGATGTTTTTGTACTTGGACTTTTAGAACCGGTACTTAAAAATATCTCTAGTACCCGTTCTAAATCTAACCGAAATGGGTATCCCGATAAAATATCAGTTGTGTAGTAGTGCCATTTTGTACGACTGTGCATAGTGTGGTGCATCTTTTTTGACATACTACGATAATGATACATGAAGTTGTCTTAAGGAACCGCTCGTAAAAAACGATTTTCACATACGGGTCTATTAAGACAACCGGCTGCACTAATTGTTTTTAGAGTGGGCTTGTTTTATGCCTGTAAAATAATAGAGATGATTTTCTATATATAGCAAGATCACATTAAACAATTTTGTTGCGTATCACAACGAGGGAGTACTACTACTGCAGATTTCCTCAGCAAGAAGCTGGAGTAGCTAGTAGCTAGGACCAAGACATTTGGACAACATGCAATTCATAAAACGTATAGGATTACACGTACGCACAGATCGTGTACATACTGAAGAAAATTAAGATAGAACATGCACACAGGGAGCGTGCAACATAAAGTATACAGCTGATACAGAGAGAGAATGGAGCGCTGCATGTCTGCCGCAGCTGTTATTTTAATTACTTTGTTCATATATGCTGTAGCAAGTACGTGCTTAATTACTAGCTGATCAACTCCGATTGAGCTAGCATGTTAAGCTCGATCGATCGATCCAAGCAGGATTGATTTAACTGACCCTGCACCAAAGAAAAAAATGCACATATATAGAAAGTTAGTTATTTTATGGGAAAATGTTTCATATCTCGAGAAATATCTCATTGTTGCTTTCATGCCCCCCACCTAAATAGCCATTAAAAAGTAAAACAAAATGATAAGCTAGATTAATATTAATATACATGTCCGTAAATATACATGTTTAAATTTAACTTGTACTTGCAACAAAAATAACGGATATAATAGCGAAAATACGTTAAGTAGTGTTAGTTTAGTTTGTTGTTTTTCTAATTAACTTGTATAAGTTGAATTTAATCTTTTATGTCTATGAAGTGAGATATATCTCACATATGATAATCTATTTTAACTTGTAAAAGTTTTTATTAACTATTACTCCGTTTCAGGTTATAAGACGTTTTGACTTTAGTCAAAGTCGAACTATTATAAGTTTGACTGATTTTGTAGAAAAAAAGTAGTAACATTTTTAACCCAAGACAAGTATATTATGAAAAATTATTCAATTATAGATTTAATGAAACTATGCTGGTATTGTAAATATTATTACTTTTCTATAGAATTAGTTCAACTTAGAGTAGTTTGACTTTAACCAAAGTTAAAACGTCATATAACCTGAAACGGAGGAGTATTTAGATAGCACTAAAAAATAAAGAGATATATGTGTGTATATATATAGAGAGAGAGGGGGGGGACGTCATAATAAAGAGAGATGATATACTTGTTGCAGTCGGTGGAGAGGCTGATGGGGAAGCCAACGTTGACGCCGCATTTGCCGGGGACGCCGGCGACGGTGCCGAGGTTGAGCGACTTGATGCTGCCGGCGAGGCTCTTGAGGCAGCGGCAGGCCGCCTGGCGGTCGGCGGTGGTGCGGGCGGCGTTGTTCAGCCCCTTGACGCCGTTGCAGCATCCCTGCGTCAGCCCGCTCCTCCCCGTCACGTACGAGATGCACGGCGCGATCGCCGATCCCACCTGACCGCACGTGATCGCCGCCGACGCTCCCGGCGCCGCCACCACCATCGCCACCACCATCACCGCCACCACCACCTTACCGTTCAAAGCCGCCATATTCAAGATTACTGATTTGATCGTCGGATGATCGATGATCTGATGATCGAGTAGCTAAGCTAGATAGCTAATCGTCGCCGCCGGTGATGGATCGTCGGTCGATGGGTGGAGGGTATAAATAGGAAGCTGCTGGCAACGAGCTGAGATGCGGACGATGGAATCATACATCCATTGATGGCAGTCGCTGCTAGGTCGTTGGGAGTTGGACTCAGATCGACCTAGGTACTCTACTAGAGTCTGAATGATGTACGTACTACATCACATGTGTTCCGTGTTCTCCAGTACTACCTCCGTCCTAAAATGTTTGACGCCGTTGACTTTTTTAAACATGTTTGACTGTTCGTCTTATTTAAAAACTTTTGTGAAATATGTAAAACTATATGTATACATAAAAGTATATTTAACAATGAATTAAATGGTAAGAAAAGAATTAATAATTGCTTAATTTTTTTAATAAGACGAACGGTCAAACATGTTTAAAAAAATCAACGGCGTCAAACATTTAGGGATGGAGGGAGTATATTTTTATGTATACATATAATTTTACATATTTCATAAAAGCAAATATATTTAAAAAAGTTAACAGCGTCAAATATTTAGAGACGGAGGGAGTAGTAGCTATCAGTATCAGGTGATTTAATTACATCATGGGCGATCGAGTTGGAATTAATATTTTGCAATCGATCTCTCCTCTATCGAGCGAATTCATCTTCAACAATTAATATTGATGAATATTGCTCCAGTCTTCTGAATATCAACGTTAAGCCCCTGTTTCTTTCAGCTTAGGATTATTATAATCCAGATTATTAGGAGTAAGCTGAAAGAAACAGACAACTTATTAGAGTAGCTTATTATAATCTGGAGTCCAGCTTATTATAATCTGATAAGCTCATTTATGTGAGCTTTTTCTAGATTATTAGGTGAAAAATTACCCACCATGCCACCACACTTCCTCTTTAGACTTGCAAACCTAATAATCTAGACTCTAATAATTAAAAAAGAAACAACTAACCGCTTATTCTACTACAGATTATAACAATCTAGCAATCTGACTCAATAATCCAGATTATAATAATTTTAAGCTGAAAGAAACAGAGCCTAAGTCTTCTGAATCTGATCAACGACATTTGTACAACATGCATGTGTTCCGTTATATAGTTCTATCAGTATCAGGTGATATAATCATGGTCATGGGCGAGTAGGAATCATTATTACTTGCGTTTAGCTCTTCTAGCGAAATCATCTTCTAATTACGGCAATGAATTATTTGGAACACCAGAATCAATATTCCGATAAGCTTTAATTTCGGTACTACTGAATTTTACGTTACTATATGTGTACGTGCCTAGCAAAATTAAGTTACTAGTACTACTCTCTCTATTTTCTTACTCATGACATGGTTTACTTTTAAACGTTATGTGTTGACCGTTTGCCTCATTTAAAAATTAAGTAGTGCATGTAAATATGTAAATACGTAAGTTATGTTTAAATTTTCTATATATAACAATAAAAACAAGTGGCAACAAAATAAATATACATAGCTAGTTTTAAATAAGATGAACAGCTAAACATCAAATTCAAAAAATATCAATATATCACATATTTGGAAACAGAGGGCAGTACAATGCAACGTGTACATGTGGATGCTACTGTGTGTGATGTTATTGTCTAGCTACTGGTTCCCTCAGGGCGGCGTACCTCTACAGCCAGCAGAAATGGATTATTCATCTGGTGTCTGCTCATGCGACGACTCATCTGCAGTCAACACGATGTAGGACAATGCAATATATGCATGCCAAGCAAATAGGAGTAATTGCCATTTGCCCCCGCTGCGTGCATGCATGATATAAGAGTAGCTTTTGTGTGTGTATAGTATTTTTAATTACCGGCGTCGATGGATGGTTATCCAGCCTGTTACAACCAATCAAAAATCTGGCCAGCAGGTCTTTACTATAGCTGTTATTCAATCAAAGCAGGTACAATAGACTATAAGCTAGTTATAAACTTATTTTAAGAAGATAAAAGATAAGAAATAAGAGCAGCGGGCTACAGAATTATAACCAGTTGTAACACATACTCCAAGATACATATGTATACGATAGGTTGGACCAGATATTAATTATATAGTACATACTTATAGGTAATTATTGTATGAATTGGCTATTAAATTGACTATAGATGATTTTGAGCCAATAATTGGCTATACCATTAAACTTGCTCGTTTCACTTCATTAAATATATCGCTAATAGTGATAGCTTTAAATTTTTTGTTGAAAAGTCATTGTTTGTAGTAATAATGTAGCCCTGCTTAGGGATGAAAACGGAGTGGATGATACTCATACCGTATTCGTTTTCATATTTTTGCCAGATACGAGAGCAAATACGGATAGCTCGAATATGGAAACAAATACGGATTATCTCGAATATGAATAAGAATCGAATATGATCGGACATGAATATGGAAACAATTTTTTATCGAAACACGAAAACCAACTCAAATTCTAATAGGAACAAATATCAACATATATAATTACCTCATTTTATATAAAATGTAGTATAATTTATAATTTTTTTTTAATTTTAAATAATATTAATATTGTGGACTAGTGTTAAGAGATGAACTACTATTAAAATCTAAAAAGGTATATTGAAAGTTATAGAATTATAAAGAAATGAGGTATGTCTCATGACTTCTGTGGATATCTGAATAGCACTGTTCACCGGATATCCGAATTATTATCCGTATCCGACGGAAACCCCGATACCATATCTGTATCCGTATCCGGGAGGAAATATCCGTATCCAAACTATCCGATCCGAAAGGTATCCGTATTCGTTTTTCTCTGGAGTGGACGGAAACTATCCGCTTCGTTTTTATCCCTAGCCCCGCTAGCTCCTAGCACGATCGTTGAGCACGCGTAAGTAACGTACGTATTTGGAGAAAATTACATTTGTAGTTTTTCAAAAATAATTAAGCTAATACCAATTATTTTTGTGAAAATACTACTCCCTCCATCTCATTGAATAAGACACGCATGTATTCTAATATTCATTTGTTTAAATATCTGACCCATAACTATTTCATTATAAATTAAATTTTATTTGATGAAAATAGTATTATATTGGATTGATATTTTAATTTGCTTTCTTATAATTATTATTTTGTTACTATAAATATTATATTATATGAGAAATTTAAAGTCAAAGATTAATTTTGTAGGTCATGCCAAGTTTGATTGTGCATTGTTCAGTAACGGAGCGGGTAAGATATTTAGCATCACATAGGTGCCATGTATTGGATTTGTATCACTTTCAATTAATTTCCTGGTTAGTGATAATATATTTAGAAATTTTAGTTATATTAAAGTTTAACACTGGAAACTGTAAATTGAAGGCTGTACACCTTATATCTTTTTCAGCAGGATAGTGCTAACACTATAATAGTAGCAGAACATATTAAAGAGTCAAAAATTTTCTCACAAAGTCACAAAGTGATGCATTAATATTTGCTCTGATCAATCGATAATGACCAGCCAAATCTTCTCAGCCGTGCAACAATGCAACACATATATTAGTTGCTTCAATTAATACCAACTGTACACGTATCTCGCGTAGGGATGGCAATTTACCCGGTAGGGGCGGGGACCCGTAGGGGACGGGTCCCTGCCCCTATGGGGCTGGGGTCGGGACTGGTTTCGTACCCACGGGGCGACCGGGGCAGGGCCCCGACTTTGTTCGGGGCCGGGGGAAGAATTCCACCCGCGGGTCCCCATGGGCCCCCGAAAATATAGCCAATGAATACCCATGTCTATACTAGTAATATGTCCGTGCTAACGCTACGTGACATCTCACAACAGCATCACAATGATACTTTGACAGGAAAAAAATTCTGTACAAAATATCATGCTTGATTCCATTGTTCAATTTTCTTTTGTATAACAGAACACCATACGAATAAGCCCGAGTACGGTCTGATATAGGTTAACATGTATTGCCTCCGTTTTTTAATAGATGACAGCCGTTGACTTTTTCTCACATGTTTGACCATTCATCTTTTTCAAAAAATTTACGTAATTATAATTCATTTTGTTATGAGTTGTTTTATCACTCATAGTACTTTAAGTGTGATTTTTTTTTGCGGGGAAAAAGAGAATAAATTACTCAGGAATCAAATCGTTTCTTACAAGATTTGATACAAAGGTGCAATCACTTCCGCACCAAACCTTGTTGAGGTTCTCACATCTACCTTTATTTGCTAAGTAGTGACTAACTGAATTTTGGCTTCTGTGAGTCTTCCTGAGTAGAATTTTGGCTAAGTGTGATTTATATCTTATACATTTGTATAAAATTTTTGAATAAGATGAATGATCAAACATGTGAGAAAAAGTCAACGGCGTCATCTATTAAAAAACAGAGGGAGTACTTTACGAACAGGAAATTTAATATACACAGTTTGAAATTTGAAACAGTAGTGATGTATATGTCTCGACTTTTTAGAATATACACAGAATTTATATGTCTCGACTTTTAGAATATACACAGAATTTGCGTAGTATTTTATGCAACGATTATTGGTTAGATGTTGCTCTGAAGAAAAATAAGCATATTTAATTATAAATAAATTGAATAGACCATGCAATCCCATCTCTGTAGAGCAGGTCATCAAGGCATACAAATACAAAAATATGAATTAGTATTCATTCATTAATATGAATTAAAGTCTGATTATTGTGTCTGCTTGGTGCGGTGGTGCCTATGCTTTCTTGCGCTGCAATGTCATCATGTCCCTCTTCTCTACCTTGATGATGACAAAATCCATTTGTTCCTCCATGAAAAATAATAAACAAGGTCATGATAAAAAGGAACATGATCACAACTGCCAGTAAACAGATGAACAGAAATAAAAAAGATCATGCAAAACTTACATCTCCAACTGTATAGCTGTATCACCTATGAAGCACTTAATGTCTTTCTTAACAGCACGTACAAGATGGATTCCAGTGTTACATTGGATATGCTATACCATTCTTCTATGAATCAATGATAGTTGCAACCTGGCTGTGTGTGTTAGTAGCAGATCTATGCAAGTAGTCTACAAGAATTACATTATTAGGTGGCAGGACAAGAAGCACTGTTATATGTCGAGGATATTCACATTCATTTGAAGAGTTTCCACATTTACCTAAAACAGGAAATGAAACCATTGTATCGTATACCCAGCCATACCTTTAACCTCTTCCAAGCCCCACAGCGTTGATGGAGCTGTTCGATTAACCAGCCAGCACAAGCACATCTTATTGATATGTTTGTCTTCGACTCCAAACTTTAACTTCAATGTTTTCCGTTAGCACACAATTCAAACTACTAAATGGCGAGTTTTTTTTAAAAAAATTATATAGAAGATATTTGAAAAATCAAATAAATCTATTTTAAAGTTTATAATAGTTAATTCTTAATTAATTATGTGCTAATGAGCTTTCTTGCTTTACGTGCGCGAAAAATCTTTCTTCAAACTCACCAAAAGAACGCAACCTTATCTCAACAGATCCAACTGAGCCTATATGGTCTGATTCACCGTGCACCCAAATTAAGAAATATTAACCGAATATGTGGTCAATATACATCCACGAAAACACTAAATATCTTAAACTAAACAGATATACTATCCCGCATTCCATTAACAAATCACAAAGGTGTCATTTTCATAATGCATAGAGAAACAAAACTTATGGAGTGAAGTCGTACCAATTTACCATCAGAGTTTATAAAATGATTATAAATATTCCACCATAACTTGAGCTACCAAAATAGCATGTACAGTTATCAACAGGTTAAGTGACAGTGAGTCAGTGACATGCCATACGAATGATCATGGTAGCACATCCTGCAATTAGGAAAAATTGTAGATTTATAACAAGGATTGCAGCGTTTAATATAAAGATTCATAGGGAGTATATTAATGCAATTCGGAAAAATCTGAACAGATATACAGTTGAAAAAAAGAACTTTTTTGCAAGATTAATCCAGCTCTTGTTCATCGCAGCCGGCGGCAAACCGAATAGACTGGCGTGCCAGTGAACATGCGCATATCAGCAAGAGTAGCGACTATATGTACCTTAGCAGTTAGCTAGACACATATGATGTGATGAATAGACAATGTTTGTTTAATTTCACCTTTCAACCTGAAATTTATCGGTTCAGAAAAGTAAGAACACTAATATTAGCCATGAAACAAGATTTCCAATATGGCGCATGAATATATATATATATATATATATATATATATATATATATATATATATATATATATATATATATATATATATATATAATGTCAATGTAATTCTGCAGTTCTACTGATAAGAAACTATGGAGATGGACACTTAAAGCACTGATTTATACAGAGGGGGCTGCGAGGACGGTGGCGTGGTGGAGATGTGTTCGGAAACTTATTAAAATAGGGCACTAGTGACAGTATTGCAAACATTTTCTGTGGAAGGAAGTGAAATGATCAAACCGAATATCCGACATGCATCAGGAAAGGAAACTATTTTACCAAATGCAGAGCTCTGTTCTCTCCGGTAGGCATTGAACCAAATGCTCAAAATATGCAACCGCCATACAACAAACATTTTGACAATTAGCAAGCTGACATGAAAAAAATCAAAACAATGTTATCTTAACAATTTGTGCATAACAATTAGCTTAAACTTCAACTTCTAGTCTTCTCTAGCCAATAGACATCAGAGAACCAAGAGAGAAATGAATAATTTAAAGCTTGTGGGTTCCATAAGCATACTAAGACCCTGAAATTACACTCTAATAAAATAGGGGTGGGACCCAAATTTTTCACCAGGCCACCTCTCAAGCATCAGAATATGGCAATATTTAATAGTAAAATTAGTCAAACCTCTCTTGAAGCCACCTCTCAAGCATAATTTACCCGTGCTAACACTACGGCGATGTTTAGGAAATATGCACATGAAATCCATGTTAAAAAGTTCATTTCCTACTTAAAAAATATTTTACTATTTTGAGGTCCAGATTTATTTAAATTTTATTATTACAAACAGGAGTAGCCTTTAGTTATAAAAGTTCCAAGTCTCAATCAAGAGTAATTTGTTCACTATTACCATGTTGATGTGTAATAGTTGATCTGACTACTTTATAAGATGGTTCTTATTTTTCTACATGCATAAACAAATACTCCCTCCGTTTCAAAATGTTTGACACCGTTGACTTTTTAGTACGTGTTTGACCATTCGTCTTATTCAAATAATTTAAGTAATTATTTATTCTTTTCATATCATTTGATTTATTGTTAAATATACTTTCATGTACACATATAGTTTTATATATATCACATTTTTTTTGAATAAGACGAATGGTTAAACATGTGCTAAAAAGTCAACGGTGTCAAACATTTCGAAACGGAGGGAGTATCAATTAAAGGTTTTCTATTGTTTCATCAATAATCACCATTTGTATCACAATCCTCTGTCCAGAATTTAAGAAAGGTTTAAAAAATATGTATGGCCATTTTTGGAAAGACCATATTTGAAAGAGAAACCAGCAATCCGTTGCAACACATGATACACATCTTTGGCGACACCAATTTCTCATAGTATGCCATAGTATGCCAAAAGAAAATCCAAATCTCATTCTGTTGGACATACCTGGTCCAAATCGAATTTCTAGAAACTAATCTAGCCAACAATGAGCATTTGTTTCTTTTGCAAGGACCGCTGAACAACTTACAGAAAGGGCATATCAACCATTAAAGTATCCAAGTAAGAATTGTTTTAGACTGAGAGAGCTTTGATAGCCACCCATCAAAGGTTCAAGGCACTTTTATGAATTAAGAAGGCATGAAACTTATAAAACAAGATGCACATCTATATTACATCCAAACCAAGGTCTCTAAAATACTACTACGTAGTTATTAGCCAATGCATATCCACAAGGAAAAAATAACGTGAACAGTGATTTGACAAACTGATATTTGCACTCAAATATGATAGACAAGGTTCAGCAAAAGATATTATTAAACCCTGATCAATCTAGTTTGTGAAATTATCTGAATTCTGAAGCGCTTTACGCAAGGAGCAGATCAATGATGATATATGCCATATTCAAGTCACTACTTACAGTGCTTCTCCCCTACTTACATACTCACACAGAACTCAACACTTGTTGAACACTGCAGAGATCACAATTCATGTTTCACAATTCTGAACATTACCGATCGATTTGACACTCTTGCCGGAACCATCATATAGTTTGTACTTCCTCCGTTTCACAATATAAGTTATTTTAGCATTTTCCACATTAATATTAATATTAATGAATCTAGATAGATATATATGTCTAGATTCATTAGCATCAATATGAATATGGAAAATGCTAGAATGACTTAGATTGTGAAACGGAGGGAGTAGAAGTGATATTAGCAAATATAGACAAGCACGGTATAATTAAGCTAGCACATCAAATGGTTTGGTCTAAGAGATTTTACCATGTCCCAGCAACAGAGCAGCACCTCGCCATGGTTCGTGTGGAAGGCTGGAAGCCCACCTGGTTGTCTGCCGCCGATTTGGACGGGGATGCTGCTCCCGTCGGCAGTGGCGATGCTGCTGGTCCGGTTGGAGGGGCGCGGTCCGCGGTGGCCGTGGACAGAGGTGTGACCCACGCGATTTGGCGCGAGATGCTATGAGGCGACCAGGGCAAGGAGGCAGAGCGTCACGGCGTCGATCTGGCGAGGGCACAGGGCTAGGCGGCGGCGGCGGCTACTGGTTGAGGACTACGTGAGGGCGGCTTCGACTGGGGATCGGCAGCGTTCTCGATGACGACTGCAACGGCGACGAGCCACGACGCTTGAGGCGGTGGATTCGACGGGGATTGACGGAGGAAGACAGCGCGGTTAGGGATTAGGGAGGGAGCGCGTGAATACGGGGAGGGGGAAGGACGTGACTGCAGTTTGCGCTGGGTCCTGGCGGCGGAGCGAATCGGCGGCGGGAAGGCCTGTGCGACGACGACTTGGTGGAGGGCAGAGTGCGAAGGGCGGCGCGGGATGGGGGTCTGACTGTGCGAGGGCCGCGGTTGACGATTCGACGGAGGGCGGAGGGCCGGCGTGCGAAGGAAAAGGGAGTGCAAACCGAGCGGTGATCCCGCATGCGCGATTTTTCGCCGGGTGACCCCATGTGCTACGTGGCTGGTTGTAATGCGTTAGATGTAAGCGAGATAATCCGGACCGTTGAGCGAGGAATGAAAGGTGAGTGATGAGTGATGAGTTAAATCATTTGTTGAACTATAGGGTAGATTAGCATCCTATTAAAGCGTGAAAAAAGGGCAACCCATCACACTAAAGCCCATCTAACTACTTACGGATCGATACAATCAAAGAAACCCTAATTCCCACGCTACACATCGATCCGCCGCCACCCCAACTGCGCTCTTTCCGCCGCTCGCCATGCTACACATCGATCCGCCGCCACCCCAACTCCGTTCTTTCCGCCGCTCGAGTCCGTGTACTGATTCCACGCGCGGAGGTCGCGGCAACCTTTCTGATTAGCGCCGCCATATCCCACTCCGGTCTTCCTCTCTGCCCTAGCCGCTTGCTTTTCCTTCTCTAGCGTTGTCCATGCTTTTCCTCATCTAGTGCTGCTCATCCCCTCGCCTGTAGAGGAGAAACAACCATATCTTACTAGTCGGCGCCGCTGCTAACCCGGGGGTGCGGGGACCCGGAAGGTGTGCGGGGGCGGGTCTTGTTTTGCACCCGATCTGTGCTTCGGGGGCGGGAACGGGGGTGAGAGTCAGGGAGCGGGAGCAGGGGCGGGGGGGGGGGCGTTCTTGACCAACCCGGCCCTGCCCCGCCCCGTTGCCATCCCTAATCTCGCGGCTGCATTTGTTTGTTTCAGAGCTACTAAAAAAGATTTCACGCGCTACGCCGCGTGGATACAGAAGCAGGTTAGCAGGCTGACTATGCTTATGTTTATGGACTTATCAGCCAAAATTTAAATTTGAAGTTTTTTTCTTTAAGAATTACACAGTACAACACAAACACTCACAACACATACTCACCCTTATGAACGCACGCACGTAAACCCTACCCCTATGAGCATCCTCACACCTATGAACGCATACACGTAAACCCTACCCCTATGAGCATCTTCGAAGACTGTGCTGGCAAATCCATCTTGGAGATTGACAAAGTCACCACGGGCGCCTCGTTGTCGACTGTTACGTTGCCTACCACTGAAAGCACAAAGCCGTTAAATCCTGGAAAATTCGCTTCCACGGGGAGTCGAACCCAGAATCTAAGGTGCTACTAAGGCTCTTATAACCACTAGATTTTGGACTTATCAGCCAAAAATTAAATTTGGAGTTTGGTTTTGGGATTTTTTTTTAACGAAGTTTATTTTTTTCAGCCTTTGTTTTTAAATCGCTAAGAACACACATATAAAAGTTTTATTCATAAATTATTTTTTATGCAAATATACCGTTTGGCTTATTTGAGGAATAAGCCAGATATGGTGAGAACGGACAAGGATTTTCTACACCTAGGTGCTATGGCACCCATCATTCGCATGCGACTTAAATAGTTGTAGAAAAAAATTAAAAAAATAGTAAGATTGTTTGTGATGATATAAGTATATACACAAACATGCAGGACTAAATTTGATCTACAACTAAAGAAACAAAAATAATAAAATTAAACACTGAATAGTGCCCGTATAGTGCAGATAAAATTTGTTATTTTTGTGTCTTCATATATTGATTGAATTTAGACTTGTATGTTTGTGTAGTGTCTTATATTATCATAGTCTATCTTATCAAATTTTATGAAATTTTTATACAACTGTTTAAGTTACATGCATACACCTAGGTGCCATGGCACCTAGGTGTAAGAAAGTGGTACCTAGATGTAGAAAATACTTTCCGTGGTGAGAACTAATTGGAGTGAAAAGATTTGTTAGTGGCACACAACTGAAAATTGCATAAAGCAAGGATAGCCTCATCCGCTGGAACCACACTGGAACTACTAGCGTGGAGTAAATTTGCAAAGCAAAATTAGCCACTGGAAAATATAGGGACCTTTAAATATAAAACTACAAGTTACGGGTTCTGCAGAAAAAGAACAATTTGTACTATCCTGCTTTTTTTTTTAGAATATTTGTACTATCCTGCTAGCATGGGTTGGAATCTTGGAATCATAAGAAAGCTAGCGTCATCTAATTAATCATTTCGCTGGTAGTGGCCGGTTTTAATTAACCAAGTTTGGACTAACCAAGTTTGCAGAGTAATACTAAGTGTTTTGTATGTTATTGCATCTATTTGTATCCACCCGTAAACTCATTCACGATGAGTGCAATTTACTCGATCAAGAATTAATTTGTAATATTTAAGAGTAGTGTCCATATATAGCAGGAATTCTGGGAAAATATAACGTACTGATAATTTAAGAAGATATGTGTTAATCCTATCTTACTATAAAGTTAATGTCCCCTAACTCCTAAAGCTCAACATGCAAACATGTCACCCACTAGTAATAATTACATATTTAATCTCATGCAAACATACAAAATCATTTATAATTTATTTAATTCTACAAATCAACATGCAAGTATATCTCTAATCGTTATTCCTCACATCATTTCCATAATATTTTAACAAATATATCTATCATTTATAATATTTAACATATACATGTTCCATGTTAAATCGTGGGTATCATTTGTTTGTTTTATGATAAGTCCTGCTAAACCCTCACGTTTTATTATTTTTTTTTCTTTTTAATACTAGCTCGATAATCGAAAAAAATATTGAAAATTAATTAGTAATTCCCGCAGCAAAACGCGAGGATCACCTAGTATTTTAGAAACGAGAGTATTTTATCAGCTTTATGTTTTGACGTTGGGAGGTATTTGGATCCAGGGACTAAACTTTAGTCCATGTCATATCGGATGTTTGGACACTAATTTGAAGTATTAAACATCGACTACTTACAAAACTAATTACATAATTGAGAGCTAATTTGCGTGATAAATTTTTTAAACCTAATTAATCCATAATTAGCACATGTTTTACTGTAGCATCACATAAGCTAATCATGGATTAATTAGGCTCAATAGATTCGTCTCACGAATTAGTCCAGAGTTATGGATTGTATTTTAGCAATAGTCTATATTTAATACTTCTAATTAGTGTCTAAACATCCGACCAGGGTTTAGTCCCATCCAAACCAATTAATTCCGTTTTATCCCTTACCTGAACTGGGATCGTTATCGATGACGTGGTGTCAACATATACAGAGTCAAGAGTAGTGATGACATCAGGATAACAATCAATATAAATAGATAGAAGCAAAATAAAGAAATAAAATACTACAACCTACGTGTCAACCTTACTTCATTTTCACATGGTGAGGACTCAGTATAATGTACATATATACATCAACACAGTAACAATATAACATATATATATATATATATATATATATATATATATATATATACATGCATGATCTCCATTTTGGTGTGCATGGCAGCAGCATCCGTGAGATGCACAAGCGAAATAGACAGAAGTTGAGATGGTGAGTTAAGATCAAGGTTAATTGACGTCCTGAATTTGCGTGGGTTGAGCTAATTTACCGTTTTCATGGGCAGATAGTCGGCTAGTGAGCTGGTGGGCTGAAAATTCGGATTATTTGCTAAACGGTTCATCGAATGATATGTTCGAAATACCGCGAATAACTTATATCCACCGATTTTTTTGCAATACCACATCTGATCCACACCTGCACCATACAATTCGCATCCGAGGGATTTAAACAAACATATACCATATCTTGCTCCAACCAAATTCTGAGAGTATCGGATCAGAAGCTATCACATCAGTTTTCACCGCTAATATCTAGACGGAGGAGTATATATAACCACTAAATAAGCACATACTATGTATACTCCTTAGAATTAGTGAACACTAGTTTTAAACATATATATATATATATATATATATATATATATATATAGTACTCCCTTCGTATTTTAATGTATGATGCCGTTGACTTTTTAATCAACGTTTGACCATTCGTCTTATTCAAAAAATTTATGTTATTATCATTTATTTTATCGTGACTTGATTTATCATCAAATGTTCTTTAAACATGATATAAATATTTTTATATTTACACAAAAAATTTGGATAAGACAAATATTCAAACGTTAATTAAAAAGTCAACGGCGTCATATATTAAAATATGGAGGGAGCAGTACTTTAACGACCCTGGTGAGTTTGGGTGTACAACGACCGAACCTACTATCCATCCAGTCATAACCCAGCTGCTTTCTTATGAAAGTGCTACTAGCTAGTAGACATAGATCTTGTTATCACCATTTTGAACAGTTGGATCAGGCTATAATATCTCACACCATCCGTTGGAGATGTGTGATTCCGACGATAGAAAATGATTTATTATCTGTTTTTATGTTCATTCTTCTCCCTTTATCAATTTTAATATATAATATTTTTCACATTTCCGTAGAATCAATTTCAGGGTATCATTCTTCCTTGTGAACAATCAAGTAATAGAATGGCCACGAGTATTACACAGATGCGGATAGGATTTCAATATGACTTTAGTGACATCAGGGATGTGCTGTTGGTTTTCGTCTCTTGGAACATGTGTTAGAGGACGCATTCGCGGAGGTACGAGTGTGGTGTTGTTTGTATAGTGGTGTGTATGTGTGTAAAGCTGTCATGTAAATTAAAAATAATAATAAAGTGCAGAGCTAGGGAGCATGATATGCATTTACCAATTTTTGCATATGACATACTCTCCGTCCAAAAAAACGAACATAAGACTGGATGTGACATATTCTAGTACAATAAATCTAAATATACGTATGTACGTATTGTAGTAATAGAATATATGTGTCATATTTAGTATATTAGGTTTATTTTTTATGGGACGGAGGGAGTAGAGGGGACAGGGGAATAATGTAACAAGGAAATTACTACAGATTGCCTCAGCAACAAGAAGCTGGAGTACGTAGCTAGCTAGGTCCAAGTCTGGACAAGATGCAATTCATCAACGTAGGATTACACGTACACAGAGCAGTGTACAGACTCAAGAAAATTAAGATAGCATGCTGATGCACGCACGGAGCGTGCAACATAAAGTATACAGAGATACAGAGAGAGATGACCAGCGCTGAATGATATGCCCCAGCTGTTATTTTTACTGTAGCTATTATTTTGGCTAGTTGATCAACTGCGAGCCAGCATCGATCGATATATCGATCGGTCGGTCTACGCAGGATTAATCGATCTAGCTGACCCTGCACCAATGAAATAATCATGCATATATACAGTGGATTAGTCAGTAAATTAAGTTGAATTAACCTGAAAAAAGTAACATGCATGGATGATAGTATATATTTTTACTTGCTGCAGTCAGTGGAGAGGCTGATGGGGAAGCCGACGTTGACGCCGCACTTGCCGGGGATGCCGGCGGCGGCGCCGAGGTTGAGAGACTTGATGGTGCCGGCGAGGGTCTTGAGGCACCGGCAGGCGGCCTGGCGGTCAGCGGTGGTGCGGGCGGCGTTGTTCAGCCCCTTGACGCCGTTGCAGCATCCCTGGGTGAGGCCACCCCTCCCCGTCACGTAAGAGATGCACGGCGCGATCGCCGACCCCACCTGCCCGCACGTTATCGCCGCCGACGCCCCCGGCGCCGCCACCACCATCGCCATCACCATCACGGCGGCCACCGCCTTGAAGTTCAAAGCCGCCATATCTATCTAGACTGATGGATGATCGATCGAGTAGCTAGGTAAGCTTCGTTCAGTCAGCGTCTCCTCGTCGCCGGCGATGGATGGATCGTCGGTCGATGGGTGGAGGGTACGTATAAATAGGAAAGGCAACAGGAGATGCGGCCACGTGCTATGATAGAATCATCCATTGATGGCAGTCGCTCTGCTAAGTCGTTGGGAGTTGGACTCCATCGAGCTAGTAGCTAGTACTAGAGTCTTCTCAATCTCAATGACGTACTACAACAACATGTGTTCCGTTAGATTAAGTTTGATAATAGTGTGGCTAAATGCTAGCTTAAAAATCCTATATCTAATCTAATAGCATCATTAAAGTGTTGGAATGGTAATTAAGGTGTTGTTTTTTTAAAAGAAAATAAGACTGTCCATCATCTTTTCTTGGAGTGTCTCTATACAAAATTCTTTGGAGAGCATTGCAATTTTCTTCTGGTTCATCCATTCCACATAGTATATCATATTTTTTAAAAATAGCTCGTGGAGGTTGATAAAAAAACTCATTCTTATAAGAGCATCTGTTTTATGTTGAGCCTATGATACGGTTGAGCAAAAATGATATGGTTTTTAATAACACTATCTAGATCATATTTACATGTGCTTTTCAGCGTAACATATTGGCTCTGATCATGTAATGAAGACACTAAGTTAATAAAAGTTGCACATTGCAAACTGGAGTCAACGTTTATGCAACTTTTCACAAATTTTGGTTGGAAGTTCACAAACAATATTCAATAAGTTTGTACTTTATTTTTTTTCAATTGGTGTTAGTGCCGGTGTGTGGCTATGTCAGTTTGGATGTGTCCCTTATGTCTTTATGTATTCTTTTGAGGTGTGATTGTGTTTGGAATTTTTTTAAATAATTAGCTCTATGAGCAAAGACCGGGATTCTATTCTATTATCTTAAAATAATAGCATCATTAATACTTGATCTATTGCTCATATGCACGTAATATCTTAAAACCCGTGTTAAAGCTTACTATAAATTTGTAGGAGGATTTTCTTCTTTTTTTTTAATACGTGCTTATAGTTTGCTTATAAATTGTTATTGTACTTGCTCTCAGTGTTCTATCAGTATCGGAAGATTTATTAATCATGGGCGAGTAGTAATCACTGCTACTATACTTGCTTCTAACTCTATAGCGCATTCATTTTCTAATTGAGGCAATTAATTATTTTTTGAACATTATTTTTTTTTCCGCTAATAATTAATATATCGAGCTTTCTTTTGGTTCAACTGATAATTGTTGAGCTACAATTATATATATTTAGCTAGGAAAATTAAGTTGCTGGGATAGTCTCTCGGTTTTGTAATATAAGGTTTTATTGACTTTTAAATATTATGTTTGATTGTTTTATTTAAAAATTTAGTGTGAATATGAATAAATAAATCCATAATAAAGTAACCTTTAGTGTAAAAGTTTTTTTAAAAGTAAATGATGATAATATATAAAGGTTTTTCAGGAAACAAATGTCTAACAATATTTTCAAAAGTTAACCGTACCATATATTTAATTAAAAATGGAGATTAGTAGTACTCCCTTCTCAAATTGATCATCATACAATGGAATTTAAAATTTCTCAAATTGATCATCATATAACCGCATGAACACGGATTTCATTATAATATAATTAATGCAGCATATGAGAATGTGTGCATGTTAAGGTGTAATTGGCATGGTGTTAAATCAATGTGTGCATTGTGAGAGAATGTGTACATGGTGTCTTGATTGATGCTATTTAAATTATACTATTTGATCTTGCTATATAAACATATACTCCCTCCATTCCAAAATATACGACATAATCACCCCTAACCCAAAGATCAAGAAATAATTATTATCATCTTATAGTTTGGATCATCCTAATAAATACAATACATGCATCCAATAGAATTAGAGGACATGAGAGTGGAGGATTTAAAAAAAGTAATAATTTAATGGAGAATGGTCATAGTTAATTGGCTATATGCATGCATGCCTTATATTATGGAACATCTAAAAAAAGTGGTTGCGTCTTATACTTCCTCCGTTCTAAAATATAAGGCACAACTACCCTTAACCCAAAGACCAAGAAATAATTATTATTATTTCCTAGTTTGAATCACCCTAATAAATATGATGCATACATCCAATAAAATTAGAGATCTTGAGGGTGGAGGATTTAAAAAAGTAATAATTTAATGGAGAAGAGGTCCTAATTAATTATATGCATGTATGCATGTCTTATATTATGGAGCATCTAAAAAAAGTAGTTGTGTCATTATGGAAGGGAGGGAGTATTATATAATGGAGGGAGTATGATGATTATTTTTGTAAGAAGGGAGTACACTGCAACGTGTATGGAAGCGATCGTGTGTGTGCGGTTACTCTGCCGGTTCCCTCAGGGTGCTGTACCTCTACAGCCATCAGAAATGGACTGTCGATCTGTCTTCTCATGCGACGACTCATGATCAGTCAACACGATGTCTGCGTGCCAAGCAAAATTTGCCCCACTGCAATCATGATAAATAGTTTGTGTCTAGGATTTAGGATTTTACCGGCGTCGATCGACGGTTATCCTGTTACAGCCAATCAACAATCTGGCCAGCAGGTCTTCAGCTGATCTTCAATCACTTCATTAAATATCGCTAATAGTGATAGCTTTAATTTTTTCTGTTGAAAAGTCATTGTTGTAATAATGTAGCCCCGCTCGATCGCTCCTCGCGAGATCGTACGTTGAACACGTATTTGGAGAAGTAACATTTGTAGTTTTCCAAAAATAATTATAAGCTGATACTATTTTTTTTTCAAAAATACTATATATATTTAGGGTCATATAGCAGGTGGCATGTATTGGATTTGTATTACTTTCAATTAATTGATTTCGTGGTTAGTGACAATATATTTAAAAATTTTAATTATTAAAGTTGGAATTTCAAATTTGGAAACTGTATCAAAAGGCTATATACACACCTTCTATCTTTTTCAGCGCGGAGGAAAAATGTACATAGTTTTCGTAGTAGCAGGACATTTCACTAGTACAGAACCTTTCATCTGTGACGGCCTCTAACATGTTTGGAATTAGCGACCGTCACAAGGAAGCCATCTCAATCGGGCCGAAAAAGCGCCCGATTGAGATAACTCAGGCCCGTCACGGATGACACATATTAGTGACATGAGTTTTATGCCCATCTAACATGTCTGTGCGACCATATCTCAACAACTAGGCCCGATTGAGATGACTTAGTATTTTTTTTTTCATTTTACATATGAAATGTTTATATTTGTAAGTTGACATAGCAAAGTAATTAAATGCAGTATAATAATTTATTTTATTTGTCAAAATAATTTTTCGGGTAGTAAATGATTTCAAATGGAAAAATTTTCAACAACAAAGTTGTATAACTTATCGATATTTACAATTTTTATTTTGGTCATTTTTCTATATAACTTTTTTTAACTGTTTGAATTTGAATTTGAAAATATAACAACTTCAAATAATATTTTCAAATACTAAATGATTTCAAATGGAAAAGTCATCAACAATAAAGTTGTATAACTCATCAAGATCTATAACTTTTATTTTGGTCATTTTTCTATATAACTTTTTTTAACGGTTTGAATTTGAATTTAAAAATATGATTACTTCAAAACAACATTTTTCAAATACTAAATGATTTCAACTAAAAAAGTCATCAACAACAAAGTTGTATAACTTATCAAGATTTACAACTTTTATTTTGGTCATTTCTCTATATAAAATTTATTGAACAGTTTGAATTTATATTTGAAAATATGACAACTTCAAACAACATTTTCAAATACTAAATGATTTCAACTGAAAAAGTCATTAACAACAAAGTTGTATAACTCATCAAGATCTATAACTTTTATTTTGGTCATTTCTTCATCCGACAAAGTGATAGTAACATGGTTCACAAAATTGACATATCTGTGTTATGGTTTATAGAACCAGATAAAAGATATATGAATTTTGTGAATAATGTTACTAACACTTTATCGGATGAAGAAATGACCAAAATAAAAGTTATAGATTTTGATGAATTATACAACTTTGTTGTTGATGACTTTTTCAGTTGAAATCATTTAATATTTGAAAATATTGTTTGAAGTTATTATAATTTGAAATTCAAATTCAAACTATTCAATAAATGTTATATAGAGAAATGACCAAAATAAAAATTGTAAATCTTGATAAGTTATACAATTTTGTTGTTGATGACTTTTCTATTTGAAATCATTTAATATTTGAAATTATTGTTTGAAGTTGTCATATTTTCAAATTTGAATTCAAACTGTTCAAAAAAAATGTTATATAGAAAAATGACCAAAACAAAAGTTATAGATCTTGATGGGTTATACAACTTTATTGTTGACAATTTTTCCATTTGAAATCATTTACTACTCGAAAAATTATTTGAATTTCTTATATTTTAAAATTCAAATTTTATATCGTGCAATCAAACCCGGATGGAGAAATGACCAAAATAAAATTGGTAGATCTCAATGAGTTCTACAACTTTGTTTTTGGTAGTTTTTTCATATGAGTTCATTTAGTATCATAAAATTCAATTCAAAATTTATTTTTGCCTAGAAGTCTGATTTGCCTCCTCATCATGTTAATACTTGCTAAATATATATTTGATCCAATTAACTCGGTTTTTCTAGTGAAACATGTGAAATATGTGAATGGATGTGAAATATGTGATCAAAATGAATGTTATGTGAATGTGGTTGTGTTAAATATATTGATGGTTGTGTATGTGAATAAATGTATAACTTCTTCTCCGGAAACCGATCACCAAAGAACTTTGAGGTTAAGCGCTCTTAGGGTGGAGCAATTTTGGGATGAGTGACCGATCGGGAAGAAAAGACCGGCCCGCGGTCACCAAAGAACTTTGAGGTTAAGCGCTCTTAGGGTGGAGCAATTTCGGGATGAGTGACCGATCGGGAAGAAAAGACCGGCCCGCGGTCGTGCCTAGTAAAGGCTTGAGAATAGCTAAAAAAAGACCAAAATTTATTTATCTTTTTTGGATTATACTCATCCGTGACGGGCTATAATTTAGGCCCGATTGAGATGAGAGTCATCCGTGGCGGGCTATAATTTAGGCCCGATTGAGATGAGAGGCATCCGTGACGTGCTATAGTTTAGGCCCGATTGAGATGATAGTCATCCGTGACGGGCTATAGTGTTGGCCCGATTGAGATGTATGTCATCCGTGACGGCCGCATGCCCGATTGAGATATTTTCTCATATTAGTGACATTTGCTTAGTGACGGGGGCACTACCCGATAGAGATGAGGCTTTAGGCCCGTTACAGATGACCGAACCTGTTCCAGTGTTTTAAAGGTAAACATTAATTCTCACCATTAATATTTGTTCTGATCGATCGATAATGACCCGCCAAATCTTCTCAACCATGCAACAGTGCAACACATATATATAGCTTCAATTAATTCCAACTGTACGCATATCTCTGCTGCATTTGTTTGTTTCAGAGTTATATAAATTATACCATGACCTTCAATTAATTCAAGCTACGACCAAGCAAGAATAAATATAGATAAATTACACTTATGATATACAAAATTATATGGTGGATATAAATAAATATAGCAACTTATAAATTTAAACATTCATTTATGTACAATATAATAACATGTTTAGTCCATGCAAACATATGTAGATTCAAACATATAGCTCGTAGAGGACTCACATGTTTATTTTGAGATAGAGAAAGTACGTGCCGCGCTAGAAATTTGTAGTATTTTTTGTAGAAAAAGAAAAATTCCAATCTTGCATCTCCCATTACTCTGCCTTTCTGACTTGTCATAGGGTAGCACAAACTAATTGCATGAAGAGCAAAATCGTGATCACCGGCTGGAACAGTGGAACCACACTGGAAATTTGTATTTTGTAGACAAAAAAAATTCAATCTTGCCTCTCCCATTACTGGGTCGTCCTTACTTGTCATAAAGGAAGATGCACTTATAGCAGTGCAGTGGCAAGGGTTAGTGCGTGGTTTCAATCCTGAAATCTAGAGTTCAATCCCCAATATGCTCATAATATTTTCTTAAAATAATGTTTAGAATGATGTCTCTTTCTCTAAATCTCCTTTCTTTTGTACTTGTCACAATAGAAGCCCAGATTGATTGCATGAAGAGCAAAGTTGCGGTCACTGGTGGAAACCACACTGGAACTGCTAGGCTGCTAGCTAGCATGGAGCCATGGAGTTTTACTTGGCAACTAATTTTCCACACCTAATCTTAAGGAAGTCATAATTTTAATAGATAGTGTTTGGTTCCTGCCACAACTCTACTTTATCCTCAACCCTAGTTAAAAATGTATGACAACATTAGTCCTCGAGCCCAAATTCTCCGATCAAAAATAGCCATTGAAAAATACAGGGACCTTAAATACTTAGATAAAGTTACATTGCAACTTTGCAAGTTACGGGTTTTTTTTTCTGCAAAATAACAATTAATTAGTACTATCCTGCTAGCATGGGTTGGAACGTACAAGCGTGTTATAGAGAGCGTCTTGTAAGATCATATTCACTTGAGTGGTCGGTTTAAACTAAGTTAGTACGGACTAAGCAAGTTGTCACATCGCAGAAAGTGTTTCGTTGCACTTATTTGTATCCACCTTAAGTTTAATTTTACTCAAGGAAGAATTAATGTGTTTTAATTGCTGGAAAATATAACAGGCAGATAAACATAAGAAGGTGTCCATCTTAAAGAAACAAGAGTACTTGATCAACTTTGTTTTTTTAAAAAAGCATATATAAATGCTAATTAAGGCACTGTTAACTTGAATTAAACATCTACAGCTATAGGATAGTGCTATCACACAAGCAAAGCTCGGCAGCTCTAAGTGGTAGCATTCATCAGTGGGCCAATATAATTATAATTTGCAGTGGGCCATGGACCATATTTTATATCGGCTTCAATCCTATTACCAATATTGGACGGGCCAATCCTAGCCCATCAAAAGCCAATCCTAGTTTTCAAAAGGAATAAGTTCACCTACCTTCCCTTAACTTTACATCGATTTTATGACATCCTCAATCCCCAATACCAGAAATGTCTACCCCTTAAATATTTGAAACCGTGCAAAATAGGTTCCATGGCAGTATATATGGGTGGTTTCGCTGACGTGGCTTCCTAATTAGCAAAGAGGGAATAAAAATTGTAGGGCCCATATATCATCCTCACTCCAATTCTCTTCTCTGTATCCTCTATCAGCCAGGAGCAGGGCAAGCGGGGTGGTGTCGGGCGGAGCAGCCATGCATGAAGCAGGCAGGAGGAACGACGATAGCCGGAGAAGACAGCGGGCGGAGCGGGGTGGCGGCGGTGGGGTATAGAGGAGACCCGGGCAACACGCCTTCTACCATGGTGAGCTCGAAACGCAGGCAGCATAGCTCCTTGAAGGAGCGGAGCACCTCCGAGGATGATGGCGCGGCCAATGGTGAGGATGACGATGATGCGGCGGGCGGAGTAGGCCGACGGAGCTCACCCATGGCTGCTACGCTCCTCCTCCGGCCACCTCCGCCCACAACCTGTTGCCGCGTTCGCCCACCGCTGAGCTCGCCCATCGCTGCTCCACCCACCGCTTGCCGACCACTTCCACGCTTGCCCGTCGCTTCCGTCCCAAAATATAACAACTTTTAGTATTTAGAATTTGTCCCAAAATATAACATCTTCTTTACCAGCATTCTCTCCCCAACCAATCACAACTCTTCACCATTCAATTTTCCCACCTACCTTCAATTCTCAACTAATCACACTTATCCTCCATTTAATTTTACTTTACTTTCTTAATAATTGTGTCAAACTCTAAAACTTCTTCTATTGTTAGATGAGGTAGTAACAATTATGTATCGAGATAATGGCTTATGGAAGATGCACACAGGCCAAGGCCGCAGAGATAGATGGAGCTCTACAAGGAGCTATAAATGTACGAAAAAGAGCTATATGTATGTGTAATAATCCAAAACAAGCACGTAGTACAAGGAGTTGCAGTACATGCATGTAGAATCTCTAGCTCTCTCTGGTACACGTACCCCTCGAAAAGGAGCAAAACGTACGAGACGAACACACAAGAAGAAGAAAGCTAGCTAGCGTGACCGGGCCGATCAACCATGGATGCATGGTGATTGATCGAGACCTTAGCTAGCTCATCTTTTATTCCAGAATACAGATATGATACTACTAGTACTGGATACAGAATTCGGCTCCACACATCGACCCAGGCAGAATCTACTAGGTGGCAACCGGCGCGCTGCTGTATATATATGATCCGTCTCTGATCGATGGCTCAGCTCACCCTGCACACACGCACATATATATAGATTAGATGACATGTATATAGTACTCCATCATGCAAAGCCATGCGTAATTATATATATTTAACGGAATTAGATGTATATATAGAGAGAGAGATGATGAGATGATTAACTAATTACCTGGAGCAGTCGATGGAAGCGCTGATGGTGTAGGGGACGCTGACGCCGCACTTGGAGGGGATGCTGGCGGCGTTGCCGGCGTTGAGCCCCTTGATGCCGCGGGCCGCGTTCTTGAGGCAGTTGCAGGCGGTGCGCCGGTCTGCGGTCGTGCTTGCTGCCGCCTTGAGGCTCCTCACGCCGCTGCAGCAGGCCGCCGACGGCCCGGCGCCGCCGCGGGCGTAGGTCAGGCAGGGCCCGACGGCGGAGTTGACCTGGCCGCAGGTGATGGCCACGGCGGCGTGCGGGGCGGCGAGGAGCAGAGCTGCCACCAGGGCGACCAACACCAACTGTGCACGGGCCATGCTTCCTAGCTAGTACTGTTGATCTAGTTGCTGGATCGATCGATCGATCGGTGCGAATTGGTTGCTGATGATGAGATGGATGATGGATGGATGAGGAGAATACGCGGGAATGCAGGGGCTTAAATAGGTACATTTGCTAGTGTGGATGCATGCACAGATGCGCAGCTGCAAGAGATCGAGCAATTAACAAAGCAAGGATGGGTTTGTGGTGTTTAGACGGTGCATGTGTCCATACGTTCATTCAATACGATTGGGAGCTAGCTTAGCAGCTGGTGGTTGGCTGTTGGGAAAACCAGAGCTTATTCCCCTCCATCTACAGTCGACTGTATTTGCGAATTGTATTGATGTAAATGTGTAGAAAGAGTAAATATATTTATATTAATTTTAGGGAACGAGGGAACATGTCCTCAAGGTTTTCCACTAGGAGGAAGGTTGAGGTTTTCCACAGGAGGATGGGTATATGAGAAATGCGAGTAGTTGACAGTTAACCTTAAAAAGAATAGTTGGCAAATGATCAAGACAAAACTAAGTTTAATTTGTTCACACCTGCAGAATAAGAATATTGTTTGGTTTACTATTATTCCGAGGGATCACTACTTAAAAAAGAGACATATATATTAGCACTATAGGTGCTGTACGTGCTAATACTGGCACCTATATATAATATTTTTCCCACCTCAACTGGATGAAAACATAAAAAACCGACACCTTTTAAATAACTATAGGTGTTGGTTCTAAAGAAAAATCGACACTTATACTATGAGTGTCGGTTTTTAAGAAATAACCGGCATCTGTAATATATTATAGGTGTCGGTTAATTAAAAACCAAGACCTATAATATATTATAAGTGCCGTTTTTTTTAACCGACACCTATCTGCCGAACCGACCGAGCCGAGCTGAGCCACCCTATCTACCCCCATCCTTATCTCTTCCTCCCCTCTCTCTCTCGAACTCTATCTCCCGCACCCACAGTCCACTTCCTCCTCTCTTCTTCTTCCCTCTTTCTCTCCATTTCTTCCTTCTCCTCTCTCCTCCTCCTCCATCCACCATGGCGGGGCCCTCCACTCCGCCAGATCCGATGGGAGGGGAGGCGGTGGTCCGGCGGCAGCACGGCTGCGTGCTCCCCTATGCCAGAGCCGACGGGAGGAGAGGCAGCGGCCCGAAAGCGGCGGCACCCTCCCCTCCGCCAGATCCAGTGGGAAGGGAGGCGGCAACATGGCAGGGCCCTCCCCTCCGCCAGATCTAGCAGGAGGGGAGACGGTGACCCGGTGGCGGTCCGGAGGGGTGGCCCAGCGGCGGGAGGTGGCATGCGGCAGTGGGAGAGAGCTGGCTAGAGGTGCGACGGTGTTGGCGGCCGTGGATCCATCTCTTCTCCTCCCTCTTTGTGATTTGTTCATGTTGATGTGATCTAGATGTGTATTATTTGATCTAGATGCATTGTTTTTCTAGGGATTTTTTTACTATAGTTCATCTGTTCATGGATTTGACGCAATTTAGTTCACGTGTTCATGGATTTGACGCAATTTTGGGATTTGGTTATTATTTGGGATCAGCTTGACGGCTCGATACATCAAACCGTTTTTTTTTTTGGCTCGTGTATGCCTCAAAGATGTCGGTTTTGACCCGAGTAATCAATGCCGCTTCCGTGGTGCTGGTTGGAAAAACCGACACCTAAGGAGGTTTCTCAACTGGCACCGATTAGTGCTTCTGTAGTAGTGGATAAGTAAGCTAGGATGTATGGGCCATGAAGCCCTTTCCCTTGTATATACTCCCCATATCCAAATAAAACTTATCTTAGTTTAAATTTTGTCCAAAAAAAATCAACTTCTATCATCTTAACTACTCTCAGCACACAAAACGAGAAGTTTTATCCCTTAAATACCTTTTACCTACCTATCACTACTACTACCTTTTCCAACAATAAGAGGTATTTTGGTCATTTTTACTCTTCACTATTTTCTTCTTGGGATTGGAATTGATATTTCGTGGTACGGAGGGAGTATGATCCAAATGAATAAATATTTATGCATGACATAGCTTCTTTTCCATATTTGAGATTAATTTGACGTGTATTTGGGCCAAGGGCTTCTTCGCCAGGAGAAATGAAACAAGGCCGGCCTGCGGTGCATCCGATTCAAATGAAGCACATGAAACTTTAGGAACTATATGTATTAGTACACCGGCCTGCCTGTATATCGTCCATCCATCTTTTCAAACATTATATTATATCAAAAGAACAAGAGTAAATTGAAGAAGTTATCATATTCACTCTAAAGGTCTAGAAAAATAAGTATCCTTTTTATTATGGGAAAAGTCACATACTAACTTTTTCTTACTAAATTCTTACTAACACTGACATATCATGCTATGAGTGCATCTAGATTTTTTATAACTTTCATCTACTTGAATCAAACAGTTGAGACGATTGTTAGTACAAATTTAGTAAGAAAAATTTAGTACGTGTAGCAGTACTCAGCAAATAGGATAATCATTCTCACACTCTGCGAGCCTATAAAATGTGTGAGGTAAGTTATAACTAGACATATCTTTTTTTTTTGCGGGGTAGACATATAAAGCTTGGTCAGATGATTGCAAGATATCTGTTGGCTATCTAATTAATACAATACTCCAACATTGTATTCGTTGAACAACTTAATTATGTGTTCTCATAGTTTTACCCCTTTCAATAGTCTTTCAAAGTGCGGCTTTGACTATATTAATAATTCCATCCAAAAATATAAGTATTATTGGACTTCGATATGGTCTTCACGATGCTACTTTGACTAACAATATTTGTAAAAGTAAGGCTGCTTTCAACAGCATGTGAAAGAGAGAAAGTTTGTTTCGTTAGCGGTGTGTTTTTTTACACTACTAAATGGTGTGTTTTTACAAAAAAAAATCTATATGAAATTTGCTTTGAAAAATCATATCAATCCATTTTTGAAGTTTAAAATAGTTAATACTCAATTAATCATGCGCTAATGGTACACCTCGTTTTGCGTATCTTCTCAATCTTCTCTTTTCTTCTCCTCTGAAACTCAGCATATTTTAAATAAAAAGAGTTGCATATTGTGACAGTTTGTTTAATGATAAATCTAGTAATATCAATTTTACATTATTGATTTTTTTTGCTATTAATAACCAAAGTTAAAAATATTTGACTTGACGCTATTTTAAAAATGCTTATATATTTCGAGATGAAGGGAGTAATTTATTAATTTATTATTAGAGTATATATATTTCAAGACAAATTAACACAGTACTGTTTTTTTACCCAAGTTTGTATATATGTGTAATGCCAGGAAGATGGAGTAATCGGTGTAGAACATGTATTTGTATACGAAAAAGAGCTATATATCTATGTATAATCCACAACGTACACGCACGTAGTACAAGTAGTACTCCATGTACATGCAGAAGTACATATGCATATGGTACAAAAACTGATCTCTAGCTCTCAGGTACGTATAGTCGATCGACGAATAAATTAAGGAAACAGATAGCGTAGTGACCGGCCGGGCGATCAACCATGTATGCATGGCGATGGATCGACCTAGCTAGCTAGCTCTCATTTTATTCAGCATAAACACAGATAACACAAGATACAAAGCGTGAGACGACAGCTGCATCTCGGCCGGCGCTGCATGTCATCCTCCGGTAGCGATCGATCGGATTAGTTCACGCTGCACGTATGTACACGCACAAATTAATTTATATGTACTTAATTAATTAGATGATCATATGCAAAACGATAGTATAAATTTATCATATTGATGGATGATTACCTGGAGCAGTCGATGGAGGGGCTGATGGTGTAGGGGATGCTGACGCCGCACTTGGAGGGGATGCTGGCGGCATTGCCGGCGTTGAGGCCGCTGATGCTGCCGGCCACGTTCTTGAGGCAGTTGCAGGCGGTGCGGCGGTCGGCGGTGGTGGTGGCGGCGGAGTTGAGGCTCCTGACGCCGCTGCAGCAGGCCGCCGACGGGCCGGAGCCGCCGCGGGCGTAGCTGAGGCAGGGCGACACGGCGGAGTTGACCTGGCCGCAGCTGATGGCGGCCATGGTGGTGTGTGGGCCCGCCAGGAGCAGAGCTGCCACGAGGGCGACCAACACCAGCTGTGCACGGGCCATCTCGATCTTGGTCGTGTGTGCTGACGATCGATCGACTTTGCTGCTGCTGCTGGTGTGTGGTGCTCGTTTGCTGCTGCAGGTGAGATCGATCGATGAGAATTCCCGGGAATGTAGGGGGCTTTAAATAGCTATGATTTCATCTGTGCCGATGCATCGACCAAGTCAAATGTAGTTACTACGTGGAATATATAGTCCACCTATAATTAGAGAACATATCCTATACACACAAGCTTTACTTATGTACACACTATACATATCAATTAGCAAATGTCATAAAAAATTTTAGAAAAAATTGGACACATACTTCCAATAGTTTTACACCTACATGTGAAATCTTATCTTCAATTTCATTATATTTTAGCCATAAAAAAGACAAAATCCTGATATTTTTACCCTTAAAACTGTCGGGTTTTTTTTCACTTTTTGTTACAGCTAAAATTCGGGTTTTTTTCACTTTTTGTTACAGCTAAAATATATTGAATTTGAATATGAGACTTTGCACATATGTATAATACTATTAGGAGTAAATATCTAATTTGTTTATAGAATGTTTCGTGACATTTTTTAATTGGTGTACGCATAGTGTAATTAAGCTTGGAGTGCTAGTGTTTAGGCACCGTTCTTAGTCGTCGGTGCGTCTAATGTTATTCAATTCAATTCAATTGAATCAGGGTGGTTGGTTGTTAGGGCTGGTTTAGCTAGCTAGTCACACAGTGTTAGTATTAGTGATGAGAAAATGATTAGCAGCGGCCTAACGGAGCTAGTCGTTTGTAGCAGCTAGCATGCATGTTGTACATTTGGAACATGCAAGTAGTTGAGCGCATTCATGATGTTTGGATCCAAGTGTCCATCATATCAGCAGTAACATCCAACGATCCTTCCAGTATTCTTCTTTCAACCACAAGGACAACTTATGCACACGCGTACGCTTCACCTGGTTACACTATAGCCCAATAATGCGCTCGGCTATTGCTAAGAAATATAAGAATCTTACAAGCTAAAAAGACTAATTAAAATTGCTCAGCTGCTACAAAATAAACTATGAATGCCAACCAACAACGACGATATGATGAGTATTTTCAGGAGTTGGTACAAACACAGTGAAATATCTCAATAGCACATCACATTTTAGTACACAAGAGATTGATATATAATTGGGATAAAAGAATAAAAGTCATATTAAGAAACTAATCCAAATATATTACTATATGATAAAATTCGGATAACGTATTTAATAGTATTTATTCATGTTCAGGACGTGTATTGTATCAACCATGCATGCATGTATTTAAGAGGTTAAACCGAAACTTCATGTTTCTTATCACAAGAATGTACTAGCTGGCCTGGCATGTGCTCCACAATGCAAAGCTCTCAGCAGATCGATCAATTAAATCTAAGAATTTTCAGTTACTAAGGTGGTGTTTGAAGGTGGTGTTTGGTTGGAGGGACTAAAGTGGACTAAAGGGACTTATATTTTTGTGAGAGGGACTAAATTTAGTCCTAATTTCTAAACACCTCCTAAGTTTAACGTAGTTTTTAATCAATCAGCTGTATGCTATTTTGCAATCCAATTAAGCTCTAGATAAGACCACGTACACTATGGAGTAGTAGAATTTTATCTTTCTTTTTCACAAGACCAAGCTGCTAGCTACTCCAGTTAGTAGGAGTATTTATTTATCGTTGACGTAGGTTATCCCTCCCGGCCGGGACGGCTGTCGGTCGCCAGCAGGTGGCTTCCAAATTGAAGCCGACGATCCATTATGTTCATGTCATTCTCGTATCGATCTACCTGCCAACCGTTACTCCTCCTCCTAGGTATTAATGCATATCATGATGCCACGTACAGCAACCCGTGGCCAACTTTCTATGTAGACGTTAGACAAATTAAAGAGGGCTACGATCGGTTCATCTTGGCCCGTGTTAGTTTCAAAATATTTCTTCAAATTTTTAATTTTTTCATCACATCAAAATTTTCCTGCATACACAAACTTCTAATTTTTCCGCCACATCGTTCCAATTTTAACCAAACTTTTAATTTTGGTGTGAACTAAACACAGCCTTGGTGTTTTCGTCAGGCTTGTATGATAGAGCACTATTCCCTTTGAAATAAGGGTGTGCTTACTTCACACCAAAATTGAAATTTTGATTGAAATTGGAACGATGTGATGGAAAAGTTAAAAGTTTATGTGTGTAGGAAAGTTTTGATGTAATGGAAAAGTTGAAAGTTTGAAGAAAAAGTTGGGAACTAAACTAGGCCTAATATAGAGAGTTTGAAAAAAAAGAATTGGACGTCACACGCTCACTAGCATATGATAAATAAGATTAGAGGCCTAACTCACATAACTTCGGTGGGCACACGTTTTACTGTTGAACGTATCTGTATATGTATATGTATACGTAGGTAGAGTATATATATATTCTCTCAAGAGATTAAATCTAAAAGAAACAAGCATATGTGCCTATACTATGGCTTGAATCAAGATAAAAAGGTTCTACCACAAGAGAAAGAGCGTTATCATAAAGTCTGGACAACTAATAATGTTTTCCGGTGGTCGACCAATTTTTCGTGACATCGATGGCTATTTGCAGTGGAGATGTCAACGACGGAGCCTGGGCAGCCACCCGAACACAAGGACCTTTACCAGTTTGTAGAGTTTACAACATTATCATCGCGCGTTTGCAAATTGGCTTATCAACCAAATCAAAAATTTGAATTTTCAACCATAATTCTAGAGTTGATTTTCAGGTTTCCTCTATCTTGGTTTGTTTTTCGCCATTGTGTTTTAAATTGCCAACATAGATATACAAGTTTTATCCTGTAAATTATTTTAGTTGCTCTGTTCTTTTTTTTACGGCTATATTAGCTACATATCAAACGATGAGAGTTGAAATTATGATTTGAGGTGCACCAGTAAATTGAAATAAATTCTTGGGATGTCCTTACGAATATATGGGCTAGGGTTTTTTTTCCATCCCAAACAAGTCCTTTAATCTTTTTATTGGGTCGAAACTCAATAAATATATGATAGATTTATTACAAAATGCTAGCTAGCTAGCTAGGACCCAGGTCAATGAATAGAACACAAGTAGATAAGAAAAATAAGGGGAGAAATAAAAAAAAGCGATAAGTTTTATTTTAGCGGTAAATAACGCATTGAGCCTCATAGTTGCCCACCTATCCCTCTTCCCTCCCTTTCCCTCGTGATGTAAAAAAAAATATACTCTCACAAGCATTGGTTTTGTCCTAGACTCTCACAACTCCCCTTGGACCCGTCCTGTCCCTCTCGTTCCTACCCTCCTCTTTGGCACTCCCTAACCTCCTGACGAAAAAAAAAGATTACTCTCAACCTTTCTAGAGTATAAAAATTTATCTTGTAACTCCCCTTCCCCACACCCGCTCTTTTTTTTTGAGAGGCCACCCCATCCTCTTACGATGAAAAAAGAAGTATCCCTTGTTTATGAACATAAAAAGAATATAAATCTTGGTGACAAAAATATTCTTTCACATTAAGAGGAAAGAGTGGGGCATAGTTATTATGACCGGACCGGACCGGACCGGCGGTCCGACCGGGAAAAACCGGAACCATGGCCTCGATCGGTCTGGTCCCCTTAAAAGATCGACTGTTCGATTGAACTGGGGAAAACCCATTGAATCGTGCAGTTTTTATATAAACCGAGCTTTGAACCGGAGTGGTCAGACCTCGGCCGGTCCAGTCCCCTTAAAAGATCAGCTATGCAATTGAACCGGGCGGTTTTTATATAAACCGGGCTTTGAATTGGAGTGGTCAGACAGGGTAACAAGCTACTAGGCTTTTGTTGATGGGCTGAGGCGAGGCCCAATGAGCAAACTCCATCAAAAGCCTTAGCCCACTGAGCAAACTCCATCAAAAATTGACTTTGGGTCGCATGGCTAAGAAGAGTACGCACTACCCAACCCACTATCTCTTCACTTTTGTTGGTACCAAATATTTACGTCATATTGTACATTGAACTGCGGTTGGACTGGCCTAACCAATGGTCGAACCACCATACTAGTGAACCGAGAGCTCTACCAGTTAATTCTTCGGTCCGGTCTTAATAACTATGGAGTAGGGGGTGGAGGGGACAAATGAAGAGCCTGCTATATAGAACTAATGTGTCACATAAAGGTGAGAGTAGTTTTTTTTCATCATAATTAAGGTGAGAGCAGGGGAGCGGGTATACACACTTATATGAGGACTACTACTTAGAATAAACATCCCATTGAACTGTGTACAGTAGTTATTTGTTTTGTTCTTTTCTTCTTCTTTTTTTTCCCATTTTACCCCTTATTTTCTGATTAACTAATTAAATTTTGTATGGCATGGGCCTGGCAAAAGGAGGTAAAAGGATATAGAGCATTCTCCCTTTGGATTGTTTGGTGGGCTAGGATCCAAGAAATGAATTGATGGGCCATATATGAAGAAAGAGAGCAGGCTAGTCTGCATTACGTTTTTTTTTTCTTTCAGTTTTGAGGCATGGTGTGCTGCCGGCCCATAAAAAACGTTTGTACGGAAGTACGTTCATCACTACGTGGTCGCATGGAGCCTCGTCACTGATCCGTCATTAATTATATTCCAGAATTCCATTTGGCATTTCTTCAAATTAATAACAGCTCATATCATTCCATCCATATACTATTACTTATTGAAGTAAAAAAACGGGGCACAGCAAGTTCAAGTGTGTGTACGCTTGTATCAGTACAACATTATTATTATTAGATTATTATATATATGAAAAATATATAAGTAGTGTACATAGTACACTACATGTAAACATTGAAACGCATTATTACATTATATAGTGCACGTACGCATGCAGCAAGAAAATAAACAAAGCTAGCAGTGAACAGTCACTCTCTAGATCTTCCCATACATATCGATCTCAGCTGGAGATGATCAAGCTAGTAATTAGTTGATCCTGCATAAAAAAGGAAAGAGGAAATTAGCTTAATTAGGCCAACACATGGATGGAGCAAATGCAGATAGAGAGAGAGAAAATGTAGAATACTTGGAGCAGTCGACGGAGGTGCTGATGGGGAAGGCGACGGAGACGCCACATTTGCTGGGGATGGAGGCGGCGTTGCCCATGTTGAGGTTCCTGAAGGAGGAGGCCATGTTCTTGAGGCAGCTGCAGGCGGTGCGGCGGTCGGCGGAGGAGGAGGCCTTGCCGTTGAGGGTCCTCACCCCGCTGCAGCACGACGACGACGGCGAGCTCTCCCTCCCCATCACGTACGACAGGCACGGCGCGATCGACGACGTCACGTCGCCGCAGCTCACCGCCGCCGACGCCCTCTCCGCCACCACCGCCGCCGCCACCACCGCCACCAACGCAACCAGCGCCATCGTCCTGCGAGCACCCGCCATTGTCTCGATCGAGATCTAGCTCTAGCTAACTAGCAACAATGTACACTGGTAGTGAGCTGTAAGCTAGAGCTTGTGGTGGAGTACTGGAGTGAGCAAAGCTGTCGAGGAGGGGTGGTATAAATAGCTAGCGATAGATGGAGGTGGAGAAGAAAGAAATTAAGGCCGGGTTAATTAGGTTAGCTTAGCTGGTTAGCGATAGGAAACTTCCAGATCGGCCGGCCGGCCGGAGATGGGAGATGATCTACTGTGTTTAGCTAATAGTATAGAGCGTGCATGCATATGCATATGTACCAGCCGGTGGTTGCGTATTGGGACCCTCGGGATCTGTCGATACGTGCGTGAATGCACGCATGTGATCCATCCATCTTTGTTTGCATGCTCAGGAACAACCTTCTTAATTGCCACCATTGTTATCTTGCGTCTTTTCACTCCGCGAATGGACTTCACCATTTTTTTTTGACAAATTGATCTTTTTGAAAAACTTATTTCGAAACTAGCCACTGCCAAAAACTTCAACTATTTCCGTCGGCTCAGCGCTGAGGTTGTAAATAGCAGCGCCACTGGACCTGACGCTGACCTCGTGCCAGCGTGGCAGCTGAGCCGACCCCCCTGCCGACGTGGCAAGAACCTCAGCGCCAATCGCTTCGGTGCTGTGTTGCCCAACCTTAGCGCCAACCGCTTCGGCGCTGAGATGCCCACCCTTAGTGCCAACGATCCCGCAAAGATTCTCTACAAGCATCGAACTCCATAATTAAGAAAGTCCAGTTCCCTCCGATAACCATATGTAGAAATCAAGTTCAATTCTTGGATAATTCATCTAGTCGGTCTTATTTGCACGTTTGTCACTAAAAATTTGCATATTACTATGTCTTGCATGTAGGATTGACATACAGAAGGAAAAACAAGAAGACCACCGATTTGACTGCTTATCATCAGACACACATCGATCGATGGAACCAGTTCGAAGCCAACCGCATGCCGGATAAAGCAATGCACAACAGGCAAGAGTTTGACGCGTACTTAGCCTGGCTCACGAGGAACTACCGCCTCGCCCTACGTCTGTCTTGGACGCTAGCCAACATAGCGGACGACCCAACTGGGGTGGAGGAGCAGAACAAGTACGATACAAGTACCCGTAGAGGTAGCACGGTCGGGGCGGGTCCAGTTTGAGATAGAGTGGTGAGTATGGGTTCTAGTTACTCGTTTTCCCATTTCCGTACTTCGTGCTTATAACTTCTCCTACAGGCACGGGAGCTGATCAGGACAGTCAACGATGCGGGCGTGGCACTTGGCATGCCCCCCGGCTCGCAACAAGAGAGCAGCGTTCTTCGAAATGCATTACAGGTAGATTTGTAAAATTTGTGCACCGTACACATAATTGGAACTAACTCCTTCCTTCTGTTGGTACTAGACTCTACGACAGTGATGCAGAAGTTGGCGGCACGTGTAGGATGCAGGGCCGATGATGCCGTCGAACCACCTTGACGGGCTGAGCGGGGGAGAAGTCGAGGAGTGGCTCAAGAGGGTGAACAAGAGGGAGAGGAGGAGGAAGAGGAGGAGCAAGTGGAGTTCGGTCCCTCCCAGCTGCAGGACGCTCCACAATCGTTGCAGGGGCCATCTCGACCACAGCGCAAGAGAGCTTATGTTTCCGACTGAAGGTACACTCCTGATCAGCCTCGCGCTCCAAGGGGTAGGAAGAAGTAGGTGTCACAGTCGATAGCCTTTTTAGTTGTGATCTTGTAAACCTATGAACTTATATTTTGTGAACTTATGAACCTTTGAACCTATATTATGTGAACTTGTGAATGGATGTGTGATGGATGGATGGATGTGTGTTGGATGGATGTGTGTTGCCTGTGTGTGTTGTGGATGGATGGATGGATGGATGGATGGATGTGGTCTGTGCTTGCTACTTGCGGCTTGTGAACTTGTGAATGGATGGATGGATGTGTATGTTGGCTGTGTGTGGATGTGAACTTGTGAATGGATGGATGCTTGTGAACTTGTCAATGAATCTGCTTGTGAACTGCTTGTGTTGGCTGCTTGCTGGAATCTGTGAATGGATGGATTGCTAGAACCAGGGCTAGATCTCAGCGCCAGCGAAAATGGCGCTGAGTAGTCAGAGCTCAGCGCCATTACAACTGGCGCTGAGAGCCGAGCCAGGGACTAATTAAGCAGGTCAGCGCCAAGGAAAATGGCGTTGAACCATGCCATCTCAGCACTCGAGGCCCGCCTGATGCCATCTCAGCACTTGAGGCCCGCTCAACACAGGAGCGTTGTTGGGCGCGCGCCTGACCGGAGCGGCTCAGCAACTAAGTGTCGGATGTCAGCGCCAAGGGATATGGCTACGTACCACTGTTATGTTGTGTCTTTTCACTCCGTGATAGACTTCTTCCAACTACTAGCTCCAAATAATCTATATTCAACTATAGAGTATAGTTAACTACTAACTCCAAATCATCTATAGTCAATTTAATAGCTAATTCATACAATAGTTACCTATAAACTAGTAATATCTGGTCTCACATATCATACACACATCGAGTCTTGTAGTCTACTATTGTACCTGCTCGGAGATCGAGGTGCTCAATGTCTATATTAATTATATGGATTACCGATTGCAAAACAAATTTAGGTATCATCTTATTCTTTTTTATGTTAAAAGCTAAAGTTAGTTAGTTAATTAAATTTAGCTACTGAGTATTTTTTTTACAAGTCAAGGTTGTGAAGGTTTTACAAGGAAGCTCAGTACAGATGGCAGGGTTAAAAGGAGGAGGAAAAATAGAAAATACATCTTGCCAACGGAGAGCTACAGCCCTATATATTCTTGTTGTTTGAGGCGCTCAGCACATAGCCGAGCTTAATTCCTGCTTGCATCCTCGCGGAGTGTTGGAGATCGAAGGCTGCTGATTAATTACGAAAGTTGTTGACATCATGTTGATTGTTCCAGAGCGATCAGCATCTAGAATAATTCATCCTTATGTAGATCTAGTAAACACTTTACGTAGGATAAAATCGTCATCCAAACCATCGTGGGAATGGATTTTCACAGATTTTAATACTGGGGTTTTACGATTGAGGAATGGGAATGAAACTGGACTCATAAAGTGAACTTTTCTTTCAGTCTGTCGCTCCAACCAAGCGTGCAAACAATATTCATATTTGGACAGGCAAATCAACATGGGCCGCAGGACACACATTATGGGCCGCGCTTGAGCCCCATTCCCGTCCCAGGCCAGCCCAGACTTATAGGCTGCACGCGGGCTAAGGGTGCTCCGGCCCAACAGATACAGGCCGCGCTCCAGCTGGAAAACGACGGTAGGATGCGATTGCTTAGTACGGACCGACGATTAAAGTTGATTGATTTCTGGAGGCAAAGATTTTACTTGAAAACATTTTACTCATATATATCCCTGATCTTTGCGCTTTGACTGACAAAACAAGTTACTATATATTACTATTGTTTTATTTTAAACCCAGTGAGACAAACAAGTTCAGCAGCATCCAGCATTATATTCCAGTTAGGTGCTAAAATACTGTAAATCATCACCCCGGCCATGAGGAGTACAAATGAAGAACATGCCAGAATCTGTAGGAGCATTATATGTAGATTAGCATATATGTATGCAGATCCAGCTAATGAACTGAAATAATTGACAAGATGCATTATTAAAAGACTCTTCATTTGATGGATATATATTGAAGCATGCATGCATGCAGTAAGGTACAATGCAAGCAGGTCCTCTAAGATTCATGCATGATTCGTCTGCCCCTCGTCCCGTAAAGGAGACAGATCAAAATCAACCCTCACACTCTTACACTAGCTATAACGACGACTATCAAACCGCGACGAAGCAACAGGTAAGCAGATAGTAACAGAACGGAGGAGTAACATGCATTTCTAGCTCGATCTCTCTGACGACGACGAATATTGCAGATAGCAACCGCAAAATGAGAGCCGCAGATCGATGGATCCATCTCTCCATTATTATTGTGGCATCACTTGACGTTGATCCACTCAGTGCACCCTGCATGCGAATGCACAATACATAGGCAGATTAACAATTAATGGTTAATTAAGCTGCAGCTAATAGCACAGATCAAAATCGTAGTAGTACGTAGTAAATATCATACTGATGGTAATCAACTATAATGAATTACCTGGAGCAGTCGGTGGAAGGGCTGATAGCGTAGGGGATGTTGACGCCGCACTTGGAGGGGATGCCGGCGACGAGGTCGGGCCTCAGGCCGCCCATGGCGCTGGTCTGCTGCTTGAGGCAGGCGCAGGTGGTCTGGCGGTCGGCGGTGGTGGCGGCGGCGGAGTTGAGGGTCCTGACCCCGTCGCAGCAGCCGCCGGTGGGGGCGGACACCCTCCCCGTCGCGTACATGATGCACGGCGCCAGCATGCTCACCACCTGCCCGCATGTCACCGCGCTCGCCGCCGGCGCCGCCAACAGCAGCGCCACCACCATCACCGCCGCCACATACTTATTATTCGCCGCGCGAGCCATCGATCGGTCACACGAAGATCAAGTTAAGTTGCTGCTTAATTAGCTAAGCGCAGTACTATGCTGGAGTGGAGTGTGGTGTGGGTGAGTGAGGGAGGGGTAGGGAGAGGGTTTATATAGGGGTTTTGGGCCAAGCCGGAGATCGATGATAGACCTATAAGTTGGAGTTGGTTTTCATCCTAGAGAGTAATTAGTGAAATCATGCACCCACGCTTATGTGCTTCAATTCCCGGTAATTTTTCAAGAAGCGCAGTGTTTCAATCCTAGAGAAAAGAGGACTTCCGAGTCCGAGTGTCCGACACATCAGTTGATACCTTACACGTGCAGTTACATGTGCAGGGCGGTGGAAAGCTAAAATTAACACTGCGTGCTTTTAGTTAACTGTACATATGACTTTTGATCTCATGAGTTGGTGGTTGTTGAGTTGTTTCATTTACTACTTGCCAACTTTAATTTGCAGTACCCCAATTTAGGATAAATTCATGGCACCTGCATCCAGCCATCCGGAGAGAGTTTATAAATAAGTACTCCTTCTGTCCTCTAGAATTTTGACATTTTACTTATATTGTTTGACCATTCGTGTTTTTCAAAAAAATTGAAATTATTATTTATTTTATTTGTGATTTACTTTATTATTTAAAGTACTTTAAACCTAACTTTTTGTTTTTATATTTGCACAAATTTTTTAATAAGGCGAAAGGGCCTGTAGCCTAGTGGTTACAAGAGCCTCAGTAGCACTTGAGGTCCTGGGTTCAACTCTCCACGGGAGCGAATTTTCCAGGATTTATCGGTATTGTGCTTTCAGTGGTAGGCGACGTACCCCTAGACAGCGAGACGCCTGTGGTGACTTCGTCAATCTTAAGGATTTGCTAGCTCAGTCTTCGAAGATGTTCATATGGGTAGTTTAATAAGACGAGTGGTCAAACAGTACAAATAAAATGTCAAAATCCCTTATATTAGGGTCCCTTATATTAGGGGACGAAGGAAGTATATGTATATGCTATTACAGCGGTTTATGTATAGTGTGAGCTACTACGAGTATTTGTGGTTAAGGATAGTGGAACATGCCCATAATCTAGATAAAAACGACATGCACAAGCAGCCATGGATTCAGAAACCAACGTGTATACATATTCTGCCCTGCAGAACAGTAAGAGTTCGAAGAGAGAAACAAAGTATACGTACAGTCTCCAATATTACACCATAACAACAGTAGATAATTTACATTGTGAATAGAATATTGCAACAGTAATGACTTAATGGCAGTATCATTTTTATGTATGGCGTATATACAAAATACAATTCACAAGCATACATATTAAAAGACAGGTCTTTAGAAAGATTGACATTTGACACGCAGCTTCAATTCCATCTGTGGGCAAACAGAGCAATGGGTACTCCACTGTTGAAGGAATCCATATTTATTGAATGAAAGCTACCAGCTTCATTTATTTGTAGCCTATCGATTGGGCAGATGGATCAGCAGCTACTTCGCAAATTTCTCCTTTCATCAGTGTGACCATACAGATACAGTAATGTGCAGTGCTTGGTCCTGGTGCAGAGCTATAGCAGCCTGCAGCAACCTGATCGATCCATTAATTCATCCAGAGACGTCGCCTAGCAACGTATACTACTCTGTTCATTTGATCCTCATCTCGATAGGTCAGATAAAACCTCGCATGCACATGAATGGCATCAACTCCATGCTCCTAATGTCACCAACCAACTACATGCCTGAAATAAGAAAATGATAGGGAGTACTAATTAATTTATATGGAATTAAGGAGATAAGATTAGATATGTCAATGACAAAGGAGATTATAATTTATAAGATTAGTCATTTTATATACCTTCTTGCCCCTAATATTCAGCTCTTACTGAGTCTCCAGAACTGTTTCATTTGTGCCCATATAAATTTCCATTGCTCCATATACACCGAAACTTAAAACTTTTACTGGAATGTCGTTCACCAGCATTGTATAGCAAATATTACAGTTACCATCTGGCAATCTTAAAAATGAAGCCAAGAAAGAATGCATTCTGCAATCCTATTTGTGTTTGCCCATCTGGATCAGCTTCTCGAGCTCGTCACCATGGTATTTAACTTCCACCGAAATACTACTTGCTTTGGTACTTGCTGAAAATTCCACCTTTCATGGGCTACTGATCTAGCGAAGCGTTCGCATTGAAATCACTTCTAGGCAGAGCACAGAGTTCAACTTCATTCTCCTTTTCTGCATTTCAGTAGCCAATTTAGCCAGTGCAGTTTACTGACAACAGACACTAAGTGGAGTAGACATCCAAAATTTCACATATTGCAATGGAAATGGATAGAAACCCAATATTTTCATTTTGTCTGATGCATGTTGGGAAACAATGCACTTCTCCAAAGTCCTAACCACAATGATTGTGACATACTCAAAAACGAGGACTCTCAGTGGAAAAATCCAAGGCATTTGATGGAACAGGCACATTTCAGCACAAGAAGAAGGTTATCTCCCATCTGCTGTGCATCAATACATTAATAGTTTAATACGACTCAAAGTTCTTACGAAATTCACAGTTCAGCAGTCTTCACTTTGAGAATTAGCAGCAGTATTGTCCTAAACATCACAGAAGGTAATTTTAGAAAATATGAAATTATGAATAAACAATATTCAGATAGATAAAAAAGTTACTTGAGAAACGTGAACTCACCCGTTGGAACTACAGTCTAGAAGTGGTAGCAAAGTGGACTTCTGGAAATGAAGCTGAATATTACACTGTACAGCTTGCGGCGGGTTTATTGGCTACCTAAAATTAACTTGGCTGTTTGCAGCATGCTTTGAGGCATTGTATCTGATCATCTCTGTTCTCAGATACTCAACTTCACTCCATCTCTGCTTCTGCCCAAACCTTTGGTACTGAGTGATATGAGTGAAGGGGCAATGATGTGAGCAATTCTTTTGCTGCCAGTTATTCATGTCTAAAACATTCAATTAGCCCGGAAGTCATGATTCAGTTTCAGAAACATTTGTTGTTGATCAACAAAACCATTCAAGCAACGGTATCGGTTAATTTTCTTGTGCCATCACACATATGTCCATCTGGAAATCTTAAGATAAACAAGCATGCCATAACAATAGTTATAATTTGCCCTTCTTAACCCTTCTGTACTTAAAATGACTTGACACCAACATCAAGATAAAAATGAAGCTACCAACATTAAAATTATTGGAGCTACAGCCCAGCAAAACTCAAGAGCTAGGGCTTCTAGAATTAAGAATGATCATTATTTCCTATAGTTTCAGGCAGATGTATTGCTTACATTACGTCCATTTGACTATGTGCAGCATGCTTCAAAGCACTGTTGCATCTGACCTTCATTCTCAGATGCTCGACATCATCCCATCTCTTCGCTTCTGCATAAACATTTGATATTGTGACAAGTCCTCCATTATCAGTTAGAATCAACTCACGTAGTTCATGAAAAAACATGTAAGCAAGATCGATGTGCCCATGCACTCGGCAAGCTGCCAACAACATCTTCCACAGAACAGAGCTTGCTGTTGAAGGGTTTTCTTTAATCATCAGATAAGCTTCTTCAATTTTTCCATAGCGGCAAAGCATATCAATCATGCAGCCATAATGCTTAACATCAGGAACAATTCTGTAGTCCTCAATCATGCTATTAAAATATTTCCTCCCCTCATTCACTAGGCCACCATGGCTGCAGGCGGTCAAGACACCCAAAAATGTGACAGGATTTGGCTCAATCTTCATCGAATCAAAGAGCTCTAGAGCCTCACGTGAGCAGCCATGCACAGAGAAACCAACGATCATCGCATTCCAGCATGTAATATCCCTCATAGACATTCTGTCAAAGACCTTCTTGGCAAGATCCAACATCCCACATTTTGCATACATATCAATGAGTGCATTGCCAACCAAGCCATCAGCTACAATGCCCTTGTTCTGAAGGTTTCTGTGGATGTTTGTCCCCAGGTCCAGCTTACCAATCTTTGCACAAGCCCCAAGGACTAGTACAAGTGTAAGCTCAGTAGGTTGAATGCCATTCTCCTGCATTTCTTGAAAAATCCCCAATGCTTGGGTATATTTGCCGAGCTTTGTGTAGCCACTGATCAAAGAGTTCCATGATACAGCATCCCTCTCTGGCATTTCGCTGAAAATCCTTGCAGCCTCATCCATATACCCGATCCTCACATTTCGCGCGATCTCAGCATTCCACCATGACAAGTTCCTCACTGGCATGGCCTGAGACACGCGGTCTGCACCCATCCAATCTGCAGCGGCACGATGAGCCCCGACCAACGCATTCCAGGAGACGGCATTCTTGTCAGGCATTTCATCGAACGCCTTCCGTGCATCCCCGAGGCGACCGAACTTGCCATACATGGAGACGAGCGCATTCCGCACATAGCGATCCTTCCCGCAGCCAAGCTTCAAGACACGGCAATGCAGCTCCATCCCCTTGGAGACGAAGACCGACGCGGCACTGGCGCGAGAGCTGTGGTTGAATGCGCGGGCGCAGGATTTGAGTAGCGCAGGGAAGGTGGGAAGCGGGGTGGGGAGGGAGCACGAGGAGGCATGATTGAAGAGGAGGAGCGCGGAGGACGGGGCCTGGGAGGAAGAGAAGGCGACGATTACCGGGCAGACGAGTGACGGCGAGAGGACGGCCGGGGGTGCCTCGAGTAGGAGGGAGAGCGCCGACGGCGAAGGCGGGAGGCGAGAGAGGAGAGCGGAGAGAAATTCAGAGCGGTGGAGCAGGCCGAGCTTGGCGAGCAGCGCGTGGAGCTGGTGGCCGCCGGCGGCGCTCCGGCGAGGGAAGCGGCGCAGGAGGCGGAGGTAGGAGGCGGTCATGGTTGTTGTGGAATGCATTGGTGGGCTCTCCTAGTGGGCCGTGGTTTGGTTAGTGGGCCAAGGAAACAAAGCCCACGAGATATTCGAGGCCACCGAATGGTCGCAAACTTTTTTTATTTTTAATTTTTTTTATTAAAAGTTTTACAAAAATAATTTTTTATTTTGAAAATTGACAGAAGTGGTCGCCTACCGCCCTCTGGGAGGGCGATTTTTAAAAATCGCCATCCCAGAGGGCGGCGAAAGTGACGTGGCAGACGGCCGTTCGCTCTCGGGCGACGGCCGTCAACGAAATTTGCAGGCGGCCCCCTTGCCGCCTTCCGCTAGGGCGATTTTGTACTGTGCGGGGGGCCGCCTGCAAATGGGCGGCGGGGGGCCTGGAATTTTGCAGGCGGCCCCCTTGCCGCCCTGGGGGAGGGCGATTTTATACTGTGCTTTATATTTTTGTATAAATATCAATAGTTATCAAATCTTTTTATATTGAAAACTATACAAGATTAAAATCTCCAAGACTGGTAAAATATAATTTTATTATTTTTTAGGGCCTATTTGGAATGTTACTGTACAAATATTTTGTTAGTGCCAAAATATAAGCAAGTTTTGGCACTACCAAATATTTGGTAAGGTAAAATTGTATTTGATCATATTTGGTTTGCTGCCAAAATGTAAAATTGTAGTGAAGAATGTTCTACATAATCTCAAATCTAGATTACGTATTACCAATAAATAGGCTTCAATCGAAATCAAACACAAGTACTATTCAAATTACCAAAATATTGGTAGGGCATGTTTTTGGTAGCAATCCAAATAGGCCCTTAGTCATACGCACCACTGCAATGTGCACTCTCTCTAGGAACCAGTACCAGCTTTCAGTGTTCTCACTCTCTACAAATGCAAAAGCCATAGGTAGAACCTGGTTGTTCCCATCACACCCAATTGCTGTCAATATCTGACCTCAGTATTTACCTGTCATAAAAGTTCCATCTATGCATAGAACAGGTCGACAATGCACAAAAGCATTGATGCAAGCACCCAATGAGAAAAAGGCTCTTTGCAGCACACTCTTTGTTCGATCATCAACCGATGTAAATGTATGTAGGTCATAGTAAGTATTATTATTCCTCTGGGCAATGGTGGCTAACAAACGAGGCAAATTATCATAAGAAGCTTCAAATGTGCCATACCTCATCTCAATAATCTTTTGTTTGGCTCTCCAAGCCTTTGCATAGCTTATGGTGTACTTGAATTTGTTCTCGATGTGCCTAATAATTGATTTTAGTTCAAAGCCAATGTTACCAACAACACTGTTGTACATCTCACTTGCCACAAAAGCTGAAGTGATGTTTCGGTGATACTTCTCCACCCCTTGTAAGTAGCACTTGTGCTCGGTCACAATGCTAACTTTCCAATAATCATTCCATTTACCCTTATATGCATGGACACGTCACGGACAATCTTCCTTCATGCACCTCACTTCATACACATAATTTGTTGACTTGACCACCCTAAACTCTCTCTGCAAGGAAACTGCCCAATGCTTCACTGCCTCCTTCATCTCATCCTTATGAGCATACCTTGCACCCTCAATTACCTCGTTCTCCTTATACTCCCAGGGTACATGATCACCCTCTGATATAACAAGTCCAGAGAAGTCCTCATTTGCCCAATCAGTGGCCATTACATCACCTTCCTCATCGGATGATGCGTCGTCGTCCGCTTCCTCATTATCCGAATCTTCCCTCTCCATTTCATCAACAATTATACCGACTCTCTCCCCCTCATCCGCCATGCCCATGGCCTGCTCCTCCTTTGGTTGATTTTCCTCATTTTGCATCGATGGTCCAACAACATCCCCTGCATTGATAGGACCCTCTACATCTTCGGTTTGCATTGAAACATTTATATCTTTCTCTTGTACCGACACAAATATAACGAGGGGCCATGACCGTTCAAAAGCCATTTCCACATACCGTCTCCAAGCAGCAGTGCTGTCCATCGGCATTAGTTCCCAAAAATAACCTTCTGTTGCACGACTCACTACAACTGATACTGACATTGTGTAGACTTCTTGGTCTATTCTAAATCCTCTCAACAACCAACTATAAATTGACTGAAATGTTCTCTCCGTAGGCCTATCGATGCCCTTAGATGTCATTACAAAATCTGACAGATCAACACCATCTGGACCAAATCTAATATTTCCTTCACCGTGAACTATCTGAAATGTGACCTTATTTGACATTGTGCCTGATGAAAACAATAACTGCGTTAACCTCGCATTTCTGTACTACGCCCTAAGTTACATTCTCTACAATATTGTTCTCCAAAATTCTAAAAGTAGGTTACATTCTCCAGATCAAACTAAACTACATCTTACAATTAACACTACTGTCTATGTCTCAATTCATACTATTATATTCTATGCTCTGGATCTACACATATGTGCTGTGTGCTACAGATATGCTAAAATATATGGAACTAAAACTAAAACGCAACATATATACTCAAACATAACATATTAGTACAAATGCAAAAGATGTATGGGAGCAAACCTGTGATGAAGTGAGCGAACCAGCAGGGCTTCGCCGCTCCCCTTCTGCTGCCCTCCCCTCTCTCTCTTTCGTTTTTTTTGGATTTTTAGTGAATATAATGAAGTTTCAGAGAGGGGGGACTGGGGTTTATAGGGGGAGGCAAAAATCGCCCTCCCCCAGGGCGGCAAGGGGGCCGCCTGCAAAATTCCATGCCCCCTCGCCGCCCATTTGCAGGCGGCCCCCGCACAGTACAAAATCGACCTAGCGGAGGGCGGCAAGGAGGCCGCCTGCAAAATTCAATGCCCCCTCGCCGCCCATTTGCAGGCGGCCTCCCGCACAGTATAAAATCGCCCTAGCGGAGGGCGGCAAGGGGGCCGCCTGCAAATTTCGTTGACGGCCGTCGCCCGAGAGCGAACGGCCGTCTGCCACATCATTTTCGCCGCCCTCTGGGAGGGCGATTTTCGGTAGGCGATTTTCAAAATGGAAAATTATTTTTGTAAAACTTTTAATAAAAAAAATTAAAAATAAAAAAAATTCGAATGGTCGCAGGGGGAAAGGAGGAAACCGTGGCTTGAAGCCGCAGGCAGAGACAGCGTCTTCTTCTCCTCTTCGTCTTCGTCTTCCTGCCGCCGCCGAGGAGCCGAGCAAAATACAATAATAATCCATCATCGGAGACGAGCACGAGCACGAGCACGCGCATCAATCATCGTAGAGTGACTCATCGGAGGAGGCGTGCGCGAACAAGGGGAGAAAATTCCACCTTTCCTTTTCTTTTCTTTTCTTTTCCCCCCCTTGTATTCTCTTATTATTAAAATCCCAACCCCGTAATCCGTACCCCACCCACCCGCGCCCATCGCCGGCGGCGCCCAGATCGCCACCGATCGCCTCCGCCGGTGGGCACCTCTTCCGCCGCCTCCTGCATCACCTTAATCCCTCTTCTAGCGGCGGTTGCTCCACGTCTCCGGAGGAGGGAGGGAGGGAGGGAGGAGGCAACTCGGGGCGTTGGACCGGGCTCCCACGGCGACGCCCATGGTTGACAACCAGGGCTGCTCGCCGGCGCTCGAGCCCGTGCCCACGCCGTCCAACCCCGACCCCTCATCCATCTCGCAGGAGGCCTGGGATCCCCTCGAGGCCGCCGCCGGAGCCGTCGTCGCCCGGATCCAGCCCAACCCGCCCTCCGAGGACCGCCGCGCCGCCGTCATAGCCTACGTCCAGGGCCTCCTCAGGTTCAACGTTGGCTGCCAGGTTCATCTCTTACTTTGCTCACGCCTGCCTTTCTAGTATTCCGCAATAACTACTACTCTACCTTTCCTTTGTGCGTCAATGGCATGTCCACAACACCTAGTATGAGCTTACATGTTAATCTTATTCAGTCATGTAATTATTCCCTCTCGATCATTTCTATGTAGACAGCTGCTCTGGGGTGTTTAGGAGGATTCTTTTATTACTGTTTCACATGTTGTTTCTATTCTCTCTTTGGATATGGAAATGTAGTCAGGACAACATGCTACATACATTGTTGCCTCTGATTTGGCTAATTACCATCCTTGGAGTTTCATATACCTACACTGTGATGGCCCAAGTGTGATTTTGCTAACACTAGCGATAGCGCCAAACTGATATACAAGTTCATATCAATACAAATTGATAGAGCCAAACTGATATACAAGTTCATATCAATACAAATTGATAGCGCCAAACTGATGTACAAGTTCATATAAATACAAATACTTTCCGCGGCCAGGGTCACAGGTGTTAAATGTTTATTCCCTATGAATGTTTTGATATCCCTTGTCATAACTGGGCTTGATTTTCAGCAGCATAAATCTGATAATCTACTTATGCAAACAATAATATATCGACACATGTTAATGTCCTGCATTTAACGACAGTTAACTTGCCGGTTCTGGGTTGGAGAGTTGGGTATATGGCATATGCACTTTAGTATCCTTTTTTATGACCTGGGTCTCCATAGCTTGCTCATCTTGTATGCTCCTTATGGATAAGTACCTCTTCTCTACCATATCTGTGCTTACAAGAAAATGGAATAGGGAAAAGTCTACTGTAACACCTCCAGACCGTGGCTGGAAACTGGCATAGTTTTTTTTAGTTTAGTAAGGAGTACTTCCTTCCTGTTATGTGGTTAGTTATTTTGGATCTTTGTCCATGTCAAACACAAGAGATCTGGTGACCATAGTGTATTTTAGGGGATTTGTAGAATATTCACTGAACAACTATAGACCATGTACGAGGCACCCAATAAAAGGAAAACGTACCTGTATGCAATCTTGCATTAGCATCAAAGCATATGTTCCGATATCAATACTACTTTGCCAAGTATATGTTACTGTCTGGTGTGTGTCCACCATGTCTAGTATCAGCAAGCAAGTCATCCACATCGTTGCTCATACTTGTTGTTCACGGACCTGTTTAAGCTACACTATGTGCGGATGGAGCTAATATCAAACTGTTAATTATGGCAATAATAGCCATCAAACGCGTACATGGTCTATTCTTTGATGTGCCAAAACATGCCTTTTCAACCTTTGTTTATACCTAATTACTAGAATTACTGTCGTGCACAGATGCACTTGGTAGATCACGAATTTTCAAGACAAAGGTGAACAATAAAAATAGAAAAGAAGTCAAACAAAAAAAAATCAGAAAACAAGCAGTTTATTGCTTTATTTCAATCCAATTCTTAACTGGAACCCTTAGCCACTGTGAGGTGTACATCTGACAAATCAATACTGAAAACTGCATAGAAAATTGAGGTTTATTTATTTAATATCGTTCATGTAATATGTGATACGTTTACTACCTTGGCATCATGTTCTTTAGGAGCCAAACACATGTTCCAATGGTGCATAACATGCTCACTGCTACTTGTTCTATGAGGAGTGCTCCTTAGTGCTCAACCCTAGGAATTGGCATGGCATTAGATAGGCAATATGGGATTCTCTGATTTTGTTGTGACTTATGTACAATACTTGAAAAAGAATTATTGCTTGCGCCTTTAGTCCTCTGCGAGCACTGGTCTCTCTCTCTCTCTCTCTCTCTCTGTGTGTGTGTGTGTGTGTGTGTGTGTGTGTGTGTGTTGAATCATCCGACATCGTGCTATTAAAAACTACAACTTTAACCTTTTTCTTTCTGTAAAGCACAGGTCTTTCCATTTGGATCTGTTCCGTTGAAAACTTATCTTCCTGATGGAGATATTGATTTGACTGCCTTTGGCCATTCAAGTGATGAAATTTTAGCAAAACAAGTACAGGCTGTTTTAGAATCAGAAGAGGCAAGGAAAGACGCTGAATTTGAAGTCAAGGATGTCCAATATATTCATGCAGAGGTTTTTCTCTTGATGCTCTTTGTTTTTTAGTTTATATATTAGTTAGTGTCTAATTCATATGCGTTTATGTTTCTGGTAGTGGTGTCTACTTATGTGTGCTTATCTATTGTGTTTATTATATAAGATCACATGAAACCATCCATGTGATTCATTAATACATGAATTCTTTTCTTTTTTCTTTTACTCCCCTTCTTATAGTTGCAATCAAACATTTCGCAGTATTCTTATCCTACTATAAAACGGGAAACAACAATAGAGAAATCCATCGTATTCACATGACATCAATGAAGCCTGTGCATATCTCAATATTTCACTGCTAGCAATAAAAATAAATAGTCAATAGTGATCAAGTAAACTTTCCACCACTGTGCTCTATTGTCATTTAACAACTAATGCATGCTTCAACATAGATTTACATGTTCTCGCACATTGTTAATGTTTCTGATGGCATCATGTTTGTCTAAAATAAGTCTTTCTGATGGCAGGTCAAGTTGGTGAAATGCATTGTTCAAAACATCATTGTAGACATCTCATTCAATCAGTTTGGTGGACTGTGTACCCTTTGTTTTCTCGAGAAGGTAATGTTTGAAAAGTTGCAACAAATATGCAGTTGCCAGTTCTCTTCCTTAAACTGCAGATCTATCTCGGTCTGATTTATCACAAGCTAGGTCCGTTGTACTTCCTTGTGGTTCAACAGTTGGTAGATGATTTCTTTAAGGTCAGACTGCTCAGGGGAAAATATATCTATAACCATTACATTTTGCAGGTTGATCAAAAATTTGAAAAAAACCACCTTTTCAAGAGAAGTATAATGCTGATAAAAGCTTGGTGTTATTATGAAAGCCGCATTCTTGGTGCTCACCATGGATTAATTTCTACCTATGCATTGGAGATATTGGTGTTATATATTTTCCATCTCTTCCATGGAACATTGGATGGTCCACTAGCTGTAAGTTCTGACTTCCAACTATTCTGCAGCATTTGTAAAGTTCTTGTTTCTGACACCCTACATACGTTGCCATAAATTACTCTATGTTTTCTGCAGGTTCTCTATAGGTTTCTGGACTACTATAGCAAATTTGACTGGGACAATAAGGGTATAAGCTTGTATGGCCCTATTTCCTTGTCTTCCCTGCCTGAGCTAGTTAGTAAGTGGATGTGGTCTGATATGTTACCTCTTTTTTTTGTGATTGGAAGTTTTCTTTTTTCATTGGTCATGCAAACTTTATTTTTTTTCACAGCTGACTCTCCAGACACGGTTAATGATGATTTTACTATGCGAGAGGACTTTCTCAAGGAATGTGCACAGTGGTTTACTGTACTCCCTAGAAACTCTGAGAAAAATACTCAGGTCTTTCCCCGAAAATTTTTCAACATAGTGGACCCATTGAAGCAGAGTAACAATCTAGGGCGCAGTGTCAGCAAAGGTTTGTTTCTTACATCTAGATCATGCGTTTTGATGGTAGGATTGGATGATTAGTCTTGGAAATATCACAACTATAGTCAATTTTGGAAAAATTGATGTGTCAACTTGTTTGTTGTAACTTCACAGTTGTTTTCAAATTCATCTTCATCCCATGATTGGTCACTCAGGGAAAAATGCTTGTTTACTTGTCAAATTTTAGTACTTATGCTCCAGATAGCTTAGTTTTTGGGCATTTACTGTGCGTGCAAAAGGGATAAATTGTCGCTGCGCCCCCTAGTTCACAAGCTATTTATCCATGGGCCAAGAGATTTTAGAACAATTAAGCACAAAAGAAACTCTACGCCACTTAACTAAGCAGTAACACTTAGTACATTGGATATTTGCATGCCAGTGTATGCAACGTGCCCCTGGACCACCTTACTTTAATACCATACATGCCGCTTACTGACATGCTGTAAGTTAGTGATTCAATTGTTGTTTGTTATATGGGTATTTGCTCACATGCATAACTTCCTTTTGCTATACTGCACAATTGCTTATGTGCATTAAGCTGTTGCAGTGCTATTTGTTTACCTGGCCTGATCCCGTTGTGCAAAGCACAGGTAACTTCCTCCGGATACGCAGTGCATTTGATTTTGGTGCCCGGAAGCTTGGGAAGATTCTTCAAGTGCCTGACAATTTTACTGTGGATGAAGTGAATCAATTCTTCAGGAACACATTGAAGAGACACTGCAGTAGGGTAAGGCCTGATGTGCAAGAAATAGCTCTGGACTTCAATGGTGAAAGAGCCGACAACGATAGTTCGCCTTTATACAGTAATAATTCCTTTGGTGATCTATCTGATGAGTTCAATAACATCAGCATTTCAGATTCCAGCAACCATGGGTCGCTAAGGCAAAATGGATGGAATTATGTGGCTGAGAACAAGGAAAGGAAGTCTGTTTCTGGTGGCTGGCTGGCAAGCAAAGCAACAAATCCTGCAGCTACTAATTCAACTGGTATGACGAATGGCAGTGACTCTTGTGAGCCTGCATCACCATCAATTACCGGAGCACATAGCTTGCCATCTGAGGAAGGTCATGACGCACTGGATCTCTTTAATGAGTCAGAAAGTGGTACGAAGGCTGGCATAAAGTATGACACAAACCCATCACACCATGGAATGTCAACAGTGAGTTACGCAGGCAGATCCCACCAGTCCTTTGAAGAGGTGGATAATGATGATAGAGGTACCATTGATAGCAATTGGTCAGATCTCACCGGAGACTACACAACAAATTTTAATAATCTTCTCTATGCTCAAGGGTTCCACCAAGATTATCCAATGAACCAATATTATCCATTTGGTCCAGTGTACTATCAAATGCCTTCCCCACCACCTGCACGATATCAGAATAGGCGATCATCAAATGGTCATAGCAGAAATAATGTGTATGGATATGCTGGTACAAATGGAATAGGCCCTGCTCCTTGTCCACCAGGTTATTTAATTATGAGGACATATAGTCAAATAGATGATTCACATCGAGCTCGTGGAACTGGCACATACTTCCCTAACCCAGTATGTTCCTCCTTTCACGATCTTATGTTCATACTATTAAGCGTATTATGCACATAGAATTCCCTGAGCTTTGTGAACCATTTAAGAGTCTAGGTTTGGCACAAGTGGTAGATAATCCACCTTCTATATAACTCAAATTGCTAAGGAAGATGCACATTTGTGAATAGTATTGTCCTTATTCTTTTAACAAGTACAACTTTAAACTTCATTTTGTGTGAACTTTTGGCACTTTTTTTCACATACTATGCATATCAATGCATGAATCAATAATTTACTATTCCCTCTGTCCTAAAATATAGCAACTTTTGAACGGATGGGACACATCCTAGTACTACGAATCTGGACAGACCCCTTGTCCAGATTTGTAGTACTATGATGTGTCCCATCCATTCAAAAGTTGCTATATTTTGTGACAGAGGTACTTTTTAGTAGAATTTTTCATTGTTGGATTTGGCCATATCATCTATAGAATTGGTATAGAGCATACCCCCATTAGTTTTATGTTTCTGCTGCAGAGCTTTTTTCATTTTGCAGGGTTAGCCATTATATTTGTGTCATTTTGAGGTGCTATCTTGTGTTTTGCTGACTTTGTTCACCTTGTTCGATTTGTAGAACTTGTCCAAAGACAGGTCACCTTCTGGACGAGGCGGAAGGGGAAAAACTCATTTCCTGTCACATAACCATCAAAGACCACACCACTACGGTAGAGCTGATATGTCAGCAGATTTGACTCCTTCGGAGGAATTGAGACATATTTATGATCCTGATGCAAATGACTTGGGAATCCCCTCTTCACTGCACATATCAATACCTTCTCCATCTTCGGAATCTCCAAGGGAAATTGTGCATGGCAATGGTTTTATTCAGCCTCCAGCTAAGAAACTTGAGTTTGGGACCTTGGGAGCATTGCCTTTGGAAGTTACATCCCAAGAGCTTGGTATTAACAGATTGAATACTGCTTCTGACAGCCAACCTTCTGCATCTGCAAGCCCTATGTCTCTGGCACATAATCCTGGAATTAGTTCTAATCAAATGAGGTAAGTATGTTTCGTTTTTTTAGCTGTCAGTCAGCAACGTGTCAACGCCAAGTGTTTATCAGAGTCATGCCATAACTAATAATTTCCTAAAGAGAAATTGCGGTCCACATGCATTTTCCAAAAAAATATGGTATGGCAATCATCAGTATTTTCAATCTAAACATGAAAAGCATATTTACCGAAAATGAAAATGCTGTTTTCCCCTCTTTTCCTTCATATTACCTCATTCACCTTGTAACTTAACCTATTCAGTTCTAATGAATTTTTAAGAAATTATGTTGCATAATTCCTCATTAAACAATTTACAGGAATGCTCAGCCATATCATCTCAAGGACAACGGTGATTTCCCACCGCTATCTAGTTGATGCCATATAGTTCATTGCATATCAGAGGCAACTTGGTCCAAGAAAAGATACTGATAAATGGTGCGAGCACTTGGTGCAACAATAGCAGGGGTTATTCCACAAGACAAACATCATCCATCATGTACATCCTATCATTAACTTCACATTCTCCTATCTTCAATTCACCCTTGCTGTTGCTTTCCAAAAAAGAAAGAAAAAAAAACAGAAGGCTGATGCATCGCAGCTTGCTCTGCCATAACATTCCCTGCAAAGGAAATATGGAGGAAAGATAGAAGCACAATGTAGATACTTATGTTCTCTTTACCTTTGTCCCCTTGAAGAGGGAACAAGTGTGGTAAAGTCAAAAAATGCTAGAAAGAGGGTGAGCTGTGTCTTGCTCTGTTGTTTTGACCTCATGAGCATTCCAGTTACTGGAGGGCTCATTGAGTGTGCTCTGTTTTGGTTTGGAGAGGCCTTCTGTTGAAAGGCCCCATTGTTTGAAGTAACATTTGCTGCCTCAAGCAATGGGTAGTTATAGGGGATAGATATGTACGAAACTTTCACTAGATTTACTGTCTTCATAGAAGCAGTTTAGTTAGTCTATACTAGCTCAGAGTAAAAATGATCCTTTTACTTTGCCTGTTGTGCTTCACATGTCTTTTTTTTTGTAACTAATTTGACTTGTAACATAGTTTTGCTCTGCTGTTGTTAGCTCGGCTCCAGGTTAAGAGAAAGTGGTATGATTTTGAGTAACACAAGCATGATTTCTATTTACGTTTTGATTAGCATAGTTTTGCTCTTCTGTTAAATCGGGGTAGTCATTTAGCAAGTTTTTCATAGCTCCATGTCAGTAAGATCCTAATGTAGTGTTGAGATGGCCAAGTCTTGAGATGTTCAGTCGCCACGTAAGCAAACCAAGGTGGTTTTGGTTTGAATGGGGTATAAAATGGACATCTTGAGAAGTTTGAGGTCGTGAAATGTACGCTTTTGTAGTTTAAGGTCGATTTCTAATCTTTTTCAAGAGCTTAGGTAGTAAAGCAGACTAAAGTTGAAGTCATGTCGCTTTCAAGATGGGAAACTTCAAACTCTCGATGGAACTACAATTAGACGAATCATGAACCCCATCTTGATAAAAGATAAGACTGTCAAAGCAGAGCAGTACTCAAGGACATGTTTGGAGTTTTTCATTGGATGATTAGCCGAAAAAATTAATTACCGCTAGTCACTGACTCTATTTCTGTTATATGATTTCACACTAGATGCCACTCTACGTCGTAGCAATCTTACAATTATTTCTATAAAATATTTCTGATGGTAGCATTAAACTACATGAATTATTGTATTGATACCCAATTATGTCACTTCTTATATTTTGCTTTGGTGGCTGGGAAATAAATAGATTTGGCAGATCAATTATTGTAGTCAACTTCAGAAAGCTGAAGAAGTCAAAGCTCAGCTCGCTAATGTGTATGGTCCTTCGTTCTTACTTTAGGGTATTAATTTAGGTTGACAAATGCTCCTACTAGAGTTTAAGGGTAGGTTACTTACCCTTTGTCTAACTCTGAGGGGCTGAAGAAAAATGAGCCTAAGATGTATATTTTGTCTCTGGACTAATTGACGGTATAAATAATTCTCGTTTCGGAGTACAATTCTCGGTAAAATCAAGAAATTGTGGCACACGTGTTTGTTTTCCAGCTCTTACATTAGCTTTTTATAAGTACGAGGACAAAAGTAAAAAAAAATCAGGTTCATTTCCACGAGAAATACTTGTGATATTATGAAATTTATGTACTGCCCTTTTGTTTAAAAAAAGTTAGTCTCATGAACAATTGAACGTAAGTTCACAAAATCCATAGAAGAATGAACCATTCACAAAATCCATAGAAGAATGAACCAGTCAATTCTTATCCTGGCGACTGATGATGTATCATTCTCTAGGAGTCCTTTTCCTTTTCTCTGAAAAACGCACCAAAATTGCATTTAAAAAATGTATAATTGAATCGTTGACTTTGTGCTAAATCTGTCGCAGCATTCTGCTAGTGGATAATACCTTTTGATCTTTAGATCGGATCTTTCTGAATTATTGAGAGACAAGCTGATTGTCATCGGCCATCATTGGGACCCAGATCCATTTTGCCTGTTCTCATTCTAAACCACTCGTATGCTGAGTTTTTGTCCAAGTGTCATGAGAGCTGGGATAGAATTTTTCTAAAGTTGAAATGGCATAGCTCCTGCCCGCTTCCTAAAAAGAAAGAGAGAATTTTTCTAAAGTTCCAAATGGTTGCAGCAAGATAACTTGTCAGTTTTTGTTAGCATGAGTGTTTTGACATGCATAATAGACTCCTTTCTCCCAAATCATGCGCTTTCCTATGTGTATAAAGGTTAACATAGTTTGAAGGTTCGTATTGTTCCTTTTTAAGAGAAACAAATATGAGTATATATAAGCTTAGTCTCTTTTCTTTTCTTTCTTTTTGTTTTGTTGTTCCTTTAGTTGTGGACTACTTGAGTCTATGTATTCCTGTAATCCATTATCTAAAAAGAAAAAACCTAACAAGTACTCCTTAAGTAGTCTGAAGATGCTTACTTGTTAATACTACTATTTAATTAGTTAATCAGGTGTCAATCTTAGGAGAAGCGTGTGTTCCGGTTGAAGCCGGTGGTGGTGTTACTAGCACCCTGGCCTACAAGGGAGGTTGGACATGACAAGGACTCCAGGAAGGAGAACCTGAAACCCAAAATGAAGATAGAAAAAGGAAAAGAGAAATGATCGTTTGTCTGAGTTCAAGATACAATATTCAGTCTAGTCAAGGAAAGGAATACTACCATTTATAACAATTTATTAGGCATGCTCTAAAATTTGTGAATACTCAAAGGAGTTTTTTTTTTCAAAATAAGAGTATATAAGATACCCCTGACATTGCTTAAGCTAAGATAAAACGTGAAAACAATATGTCAGATTTTTTACGAAAAAAATAAGCAAAGTCAAATACGGATCATGTGAACATATTCTGAAAATTCAGTTGTGGTTGGTCTTGTGCTGTTCCAACGTAACCAACCTTTCCTCCTCTTCCCTCTGCACATCTGAATTGTCAAGCAACCACAACTCTTTCCATCCTCTCCAATCTTAAGCAGGATAACACAACGAATTCTTCCTTCCCATTCCCATTCACAATCCTTCCTTATTCAACAATTTGTCTGATACTTGCATGCCCACAGGCAGCTCAAAAAGCTAGCTACTTGTTTCTGACTTGTATCATTTCTACATAGATAGCTCAAAGCCTCTCAAAATCCTGCATTTCTTGCTCAAATGGATTTTTCAAGGCATAGATTCTTCAAATTCAGATCAGCAGCTGTCTCCTTCCTCTCCATGTAACTAATTTCAAGCTCTCAAGATCAGCAAGTTCAGCAATCACCAGACTAGCTAGGCTCACTCCTTCCACATATAGTCACAGCTGCTCTCATCAATCAATCTATCTTTCCAGCTTCCAGGTGACAATCGAGACCTGAATTTCTGAACTTTTTTTTCCCTCTCGTCACTTCGTCAGTAGAAATCCAAGGTTTATATTCCTCTGTACTACTACACAACAGAGTGAGCGTAGTACGTGTCTCATCAGCATCAAAAAGTGACATACTGCAAGCACGCCACAATTGAGGCCGATTGATAGAATCGAATTCCACTCAAATTTGCACGGTGGAAGAGAATCCCCTGCGTGCTTGATTTGATCAGGATTTATATTGGAGGCATCCAATTCCATCACTCAACCGGAGCTGTCTGTCTGTAGCTATCGCCCTATTTCTGCTAGCTCGTGGCGTGCTAGTTTAATTTCTTCCAAAATTCTCCGGCCTCACCTCGCGTCGTGTCGTGTCGCGTCGCTTGCGTTAGGAGGTGCCTAAGTACTGGCTTGTCGGCGTCAGATGAGTGCAGGGCCGTGCTGCTCAGAGGCGCCCATGGCGTGGATCGACTGCTCCCTCCTCGCCTGGCTCCTCTTCCGCGTCGTCTTCTTCTCCTGCCACGCCAAGCAGTTCAGCATCTTCTAACACTCGATCTCAGCTAGGCTGAAACCACATATACTCCAGCATATATACACAGCAACTGATTAAGTAAGCTGTTGCTCGCCGACGGTGGCCGAGCATGTCCGGTGCACGGCGGTGCGGTGACCGGAGGTCGGAGAGAAGTTCGGTGGTGGGCGACAACAGGAATGGATACGTCGAGACTGACCCAACTGGTCGCTATGGCCGGGTAATTTATTTACTTCTTCTTCTTGCAATCTGAACTTGCTCACTTTCTTATTCCAAAGAGAAATTTGACTTGTTTCCTTTCAAAGTTCAATATTATCATGATTGCCAAATGATCAGCAAGCAATTCCGAGCTATTCAGGGTCAATTCAGTTCATTGCTTTTTTTTTTCGTTCAAAAGAAAAGAAAAATCAGTTGGTTGCTTTTGATTCTACTTGAACATGGATTGTGCCTATCATGCACGAGTTTAGTTGTTCAGTTCTATCATGTTCTTTAGATGTGGGCTGGTAATTAGTAATTACATTTCAATACACGTTGTAAGCATCAGTTAAAACATGTTGGCTTCATTCTCTTTCAGAAAAGCATGTAGGCTTTATGTTCTTTAGCATAATTTTCTAGAGTAGATTCCATGTTGATGTACACATCGGAGCTAACACCTCTAAACTATGCAAGACACAATTATTGTGTCTTCAGTACTTTCATCGGATCCATTTGGCTTTTGCTGCTATCTATGGGCTGCATAGGACAATTGAATACTCCATCCGGTTTTATTTTAATTGACGTTTCGGACAACGACACGGTCTACAAAATATATCTTTAACCTTATTTTTCTATTATAATATACAAAATAAATAAATGCATGTTTACTTTATTATAGTGCTTTGAAAGACAAATCTATATATGTTGTTCTAGTTTTTTTAAACTAAATATTTTTAAAGTGATTGATGGTCAAAGTTATAAAAGTTTGACCTCAGCCTTATCCAAAACGTCAATTATTATAGAACCGGAGGGAGTATTGCACATTGAAACATATCAGGTTTGAGGCTTCGTTATTAATCCTAAGCCATTGCTGTACTGAAAGATGACATCGTTTTTTTCTATATTTGGTCAAATAACGGAAGTGCATCATAAATTTGAGATGATGAGCGAGAATTCAATTATGATTTCTCTTCCAATCCAATCAGGGAAGGTATAAGGTGTTCCTTATCAAACAAGCTAGAGTTGTTGTTTGGTTGGCATTTGAAGTTTCCTAATATGTTGGATTTGATCTGAATAGATAAGCATGTTCCATGTGTCAATATGCCAATAATCAGATGTTGAAAAAGTTTCAAGAGTGGAGTATATGCCCTATCTGGTCATGCTCATGCCCAACGATTTGATACGATCCTCTCACCTTTTTCTTAGTGGGTTGAAGACGTATTGGCAACTTTATTAGTTCATCTTTTTTTCAGTAGTTTCTCTAGGGTTAGAGGTGTACTTACCGGCAACTTATTTGTAGTTATGCGAGCTTTGCAAAAGTGTCTTACTTTTATAAATTTGACAACTATCCACTACTTTGAGTTAACTTTTTATATGTATAGTAATTTTAACTTTTGATCAGAAGTACTGGTTCTTTAGTGCTAAATTAGGGAGAGTAGTTAATTGAGGTGCTAAATTGGTTCTCGTAACTCAAAAGTGTTGATTTTATTTGACTAGAGATTTTCTAGGCATTACTGTAGCAAAACCCGTTTGGAATCTGCAT